ACGACTTGAAAGTCGCCAGCGATATCACAAACGAGAGGGCGAACATCGCTGCGGAGGGGATTCGGACCAACCACACGGAGAGGGCTGTGCCGTCTTCGTACAGCTGGAAGCCGACGAACCCGTTGACGAGAAGACAGGTGCATAGCGCGGATGTCAAGCCGTTCTGAACAGCCACGAAGTACGGGAATGGGTCGCTCCCTGGAGGAACGACACCTGCATCAATGAGAAGAGAGAAAAGTGTCAGAGCTAGATAGATATAGAAGAAGGTGACGATCTCTTTGCGGCCTATCGATAGTGAAAAAGGTTAGTCGGTTTGCGCCGAGTGTGGAGCGGAGAGGGAGTCAGAGACGAACCGACGGCAGTAAACTTGGACCGAACATGCAGGATCATGATCACCGTCATGCTAAGCGAGATGATATGTATGAAGGCTGCAGCACCCTGGAAGATTATGGTATTCGCAAGCTCAATATTTCGCGCATAGCAGTTGGATATGATGCCTGTTGACCCGGAGATTGTTGACGCCGGGCCCACCAAGGAGCACAAAGGCACGGGTGCCCTCTCACATATCGTGTCGAACTGACCGAACCCCATGATGTCTAGTCGGATGTTGAGCAGTGCGACAGCAAATAGTTAGAGTTCCAGTTGCGGTGGAATGTCGAGAGTGGACGGCTGGTCTCCACCACGACGGGGGTGGGACGGTGGAGGAAATATGACGGTATGTATCTCGGTCCCCAATGTAGGCTCTTTCTGCACCCCGGCTGCAGTATTTCAATCGGCTGATAGCCCTTAATAACGAATGTCGACGGTCAGATCACCCCTATGTGAATCGTTGATGCGAGGGGGAAATGTCTCAGTTTTCTCTTTCAAGATCACGGGATTAGAATTGCCTTTGTAGGTTTAGCGCTGTTGCTAGGGCCTGGGGAGCCCTGGAGCTCTTACCCTTAGTCATTCGGACATCGATCGGAAACGCTAGATCTAAAGGGGGATAGCTTCAAAGAGATCTCATGTGACTCGGGTCCGAGCTCGGCCCAAGCCGAACTATCACGAGGCGCTGATACATCAAGGGTCAAGGCACAGTTCCCAATTTAAAAACCCGACTAGGCACCGTTGAGGCTATACCCGGATACTACGGCAAACTACTATATCTACTTTTCCAGTCTCCACAACTCGATAGTACCGTGCTGCCCATTATTATTGGACAGTTGGGGTTGTCTTAGACAATTTATATTTCTTTTTCTATTTCCTTTTGCTTCTTTAATCCCGACTACCGACGCCAAGTACACAGTGTATAGTACACGATTAGACTTGCTCTGTGGACTGACCTCTTGTCTCCACACCCTACAACTGGGGCATTGTCGCACCATCGCCTGTTTTTACAACTGGGGCTGGCTGACAATCTACTTCACGTAGATCGAGATCCTTTCAATCATTCGCCAGACCAGCTGCCCAGTTAGGCAAATTGTCTCTGCGAGTATGACCGCGATCCTGCAGAAGGGATGGCTTGATTTTAATGGAACCGTTGTCCCCAGTAAATAGCCTTTGTGGACAAAATATTATAATTTACGGAGTAGATGGCCTGATGATCAGTTTTCGAGTCTTCGGAAGGGATTAAAATGAAGTTCATTGCACCCGGTTTCATCTATGGGGGCTTCTAGAGTCTTCGATAAAGTAAAACAAAAAGCTCTAACCATATATACATTCCCCCTTTTCCTTTTGACTTTTTTTGTATTCATATAGATGTTACAAGTGCGGAAAGCGGTTTTCCGGAATCCACAGATCGGAGACAAGCTCTCTCCGATCTTTTTGGTCTGCTGCCATCTACGCTACTACGTTGAACGACCCTGATTTGGCCAAGTCCCAAAACAGTTTGTAGAATTCCGCCAAGACTTCCATCGTTGTGTACTCGACTCATGGTCTGATTCTCGGATACATACTCGGCTGTTCAACTTTATGATTAAAAATTATACATTATATACGAATACACAACCTCTCCCCGGTGATTAGTTATTCGTGGTTATGTGACACAGAGACTAAGAGGTGTGAAGCTCCTTACTTTTTTTTTTCTACCCAAAAATTAAGGAAAATCCCTCGGCTTGATTATTAGAGCCTATCACCGGCTCCGATTGCCCAACGCGTCCTTTCTCCGGGTTTTCCAACAGGCCTACCGGTCTTGCACAATGTTACTATCGTCACCAGACCCTTGAGGAATCCTCCGTGTTCGCCTGACTCTTGGACCAAAGAAAAAAAAAAAAAAGAAATAGTGGCACGGTTGTGGCGATTTGGCTTCTCAAGATTTTATTAGACTGCCGAAGTTATTTGTCTCATGCATGAAGATCCCGACTAGCGCCACGTGTGAATTGAAGAAGCATCAACGGCTGCGAGGAACCGTGTCGATCTCCCATCTACCCGATGTTGATGCCTCTCAACAAATTCTCTAAAATACAATAAAAAGGGATACGGGGGATAAAAAAGCAATAAAAACAAATACCGAAACCCGAAACTAAACAAGTTCTCAACGGTCATACTAAATTAAAGCCCTTATGCAGGACCCGCTTTGAGGGTTTTTAGGGGTGGAGATGGTGGGGGATGCCGTGCAGTACTGTATACTCTTTATCCTTATGGAATTTTCTTCTTTTAATTAAATGTTTTATCTTTTTTATATTTTATTCTTATATCTGGTCGAACCTCCATGACTTTTCTAATTTTTCTATATATCTCATCTCTCTCACGGTTGAAACCCCGGTTATACTTCCTCACAACTGGCCAATTTCACAAACCTCCAATCTCTCCCCCGGTGGGATCGAAATGTGCAACTTTTTCAAAAACTTCTACATATACTCCACTTGCTCCAATCCCGCTGCCCACTTCCTCCGTACCGAAATGGAGGGAACAAAAGACAACAGCACTTGCAACGACAGTCCACACGACCGCTTCATTGTGGTAGTCGGAAAATGTGTACTGTGCTCTCGGTGATTGCTCCGCCAGATACATTGAGCCGAGCATTCGAAATGAAAATTTTCATATCTGAAACTCAGTCAAGCGCATTTTCTAAAGTTTCCTATCCCGCTTTCTCCTGCCTGGTCTTGGCGTGCAAGACTCCATCACCCAGGAACTATTCGGGTACAGCCGACCCTCCGACAAACGCGGCTCTCTGAGAAACATTTCAACCTTTACGTGACTACGATCGACAAATTTCTAAAATTCCGATTCTTTTATTTGAATTTGTGGGGCAGAGTGCTGGTTTAAACTTTGCTTTGCGGTCGACTGCGTTTGATTTCTCCGATACTTCGGGATTATTGGCTTTTGCAAGCGTTTATGTTTTCCGGTCTCATTGTATTTCTTCTTTACCCTATTGTCTTTTCTAGCGTCTGATACCTTGTTTCGGCGTCTGGTGGGCTTCATATATGAGATTTAGACGAACCGTTCTGATTCTTGGGCCTTGACTTCCCAATTTGGAGATTTTCGTCATACCATTCATTTCAAAGCCCTGGATCTATTTGTTTTAGTTCATTTGTTACAACCTGAGAGCTCGCTACTTCCAAGGGACAGGATGGTGGGGAAAAAAATACATTGTATAAGTATACCCAATTTTCAATATCCCTAAATCACATGCGCGTTGAGATACACGGAACGGATATATTTTCTTCGACTTCTCTGACTGGTTCTCAACAAACGTTCGGGCCCAAATTCTTACAGATAGGCAATTCAATTCATTCAGTCTAGGTCTCCAGGGGCCGCATGCACGACGTGGTTGTTCTGTCTTCCATCACATTTCGCCATGCCTAGGCCAGGGGGAAAAGGGGGGCTTGCCCAATACCGTGCGGCAACAAAACCGCCCCAAAATAAAAGATAAAAACGGCCTATGACGACAAACAAGTGACTTGAGAGATGTATTTCGGTACCTATGTCTCATGAGCATTGAATGCAGGTCTCATGTAGCTAGTTCCCGCAGGGTGACTATCTACGGCAATGGCCCCTCGTGCATCTTCGGCTGGTCCGCTTACAACGGTTGGATGTTCTCCCCGATCGAGTCCGTGCTTTTTCATGATAGGACGCTATGAAAAATGGGGATTCATTTTCGTCATCTGCTGAGCAATATTACAGGGCATAATCCATGGAATGAATTCCCAGCACACAGCCAAGAACACGCAATCTCCACTCCGGGATCCCCGATTGAAGAAGTAGATGTTGAATATAGTGCACCCCCTCCCCCTGCAGGGATTGTATACTGTCTCCTTGGTCGTGCCCTTTTTCTCAAGTTAACTTCCTTTTTCATCTATACCGTCAAATTCACCTTACACCTTACAACTCCCCGTTCTATTTGGAATTATATTCACGATGCCACGTGTAACTTTTGCCAAAGATAAATAGAACATATATAGGTAGACTCCAAGGTCCCCAGAAGGGAAATACACAAGGACTTAGGGCTTTGGTACCCGAGGAACCCGAGGTGGTGGATCCACGGCTGATAGATGGCCTTCCGAATTAGCCTTCCCAAGGACCGGCGGTCCACGGGTCCGTTGAATTAGCGGACTACATAGGTACCTTTGTAGGCCTAGCATCGTCTGTTCCAATTGTTTGGACTATATCGAGAGTTCAAGGGGAAACCCGGGAATCTGCCCAGTCCGTTGAGTCCGTTTCACACATGCATATTTATCAATTTCTCTTTTCGATTTACGCTAGTTCGGGGCTTTTCCGGAAATGAACCGACTATTAGAGTTTCCTTTTCTTTTTCCTTTTTTCCTTCTACGTGAAGTCTGTGCGTTCCACCGTGGACTTTGTTCAATATAATGCTAGGTCATTGCGTTGTTCTGCATTAATTACTTGCTTGGCTTCCGGCAATTATCATAGATTGTGAATGAGCTTGTGTGTCGTGTCGGGCGCTTATTGGAAACTATATCGAAAAACCCCGGCAGTAACAGGTTGTGATATTAATATCACTGTACATATCGGGACAAGTACAACGTACGTTGTACAATTACCGAAAGCCAAGTCTTATTATGCCACTTATGCCACCCCTGAAGATTATGGATACCATGCTGACGGCCGAATCGGGTAAGTGGCACGGATAGTGATCTATGGAAGCTAGACCAAGGTCCGGGTGGTTTGTATATAATATTCCTGTTTATTTTATTCTTTTGTCGGGTTTTCTTTTTAGTTACCGAGCCTACAGTTTATAGTATGGCTTGCAAAACAAAGGTATGCTGCACACGGTCCCTGTATAGGCTAATATCTAGACTGTCATGCCCAAAGCCTTTTTGCTGAGCTAGCGTGCCTTGTTTTTCACATGTTCATAAATACCATAGCTTAAGATTCCAACGGCCGCGGCGCGGATAGCCACGGACGAGGCTGGTGCTCGGAGCTTGGTAGCCATGATAGTGGACAACATAGCTATCATTTCCACGATTGAGCCACCGACAGGGGTCTCATCCTTTGAGGAAAGAAAGTTACGCATCTAGACCTGTATGGCCTACGTTGTAGTGACCCCTAGAAAACCCGTCGACTCGGAATATATCAATATCTAAATAGAATATTAAAACAGTTTGCGCACACTTGTTCTTACTTCATTTGTTCTCTTTGTGCCGGATATTGTGGCGACAAACCCAGTTGGGCCGGAAGCCATGCGATTCGTTGATACAACGGGTCGTATGTTATCGCTGAATAGTTTTAATTGGAACGGTTCTTTTCAACGAAACATTAATATATTTCAACAGCGGGGGCTGTTGATCTTTTTTTGATCTTTGTTTGTATATTGTTTTCTTCAAATAGACTTCTCATAGAGCGGTAGTGTCTTGGCAAGTAAAATCCAAGATGCCCCCGAAGGGTCAAGGTAATGGTGATTGGCTTCCAAAAGACATATGCAGCCTAATCACCCGGTCCTAACCCACGCACCACGTGTTTTCACTCATCTGCGACTCCACGTTTTACGCCATGGATAATATATCTGCCGCTATGAACCTTATTAGGCGTAATATCAACTCCAGTACTCCGTAAGAGAGATGTATACGGCCAAATCCGACAACCGACACAATACAACCCAAAAAGAGCCAATATTATTGGCGGTTTTGACAACAGTTTGTGCCTAAATCGAGTTTCAGGATGGAATCCCGAAGCCACAACCGGTTACATACCTCTTCCAGGAGGGTCGTGCTCGAGATACGTACCTCAAGATCGAGAATAAATAATGGAGCAAAGGGATTGATCGGCAGTGGGGGCGAATCCCGGCACTTCTACCAATCTGAACTAGCTGAAACGTCTGGTTTCAGGTTTTGCCGTTGCCGGGTCCGAATATCACTGAACATCAATTATCTTGTGTATCACGGAGATGAGCCCGCCCACAATGTTATATACACTACCATGTAGATCACATAAATAACCCGGCAGGTGATGTGAAGTCTGTAGATCCCCCTATTGTGTCAATGTGACAAAATCGATCGACGTTACGTATCTTGTACATAGACGTGAATCTCGAGGTCACTCCCCCCCCCCCCAATTCACGTTCGCGTCTATCCCGTCTGACAAAAAGCAGACAGCTTGTACAAGCCCAGTGCATATGTAGTGGACTATGTCGAGGATATAAAAAAAGGCTAGAGCTAGAGCGATTCCCATTTGACAAGCTTTCTAGGCAACCAATCATCTTGTTACAGATACAGATATCTATGCTGTATAGTTCCAACTATTGCCAAGTACCGGGATTTGGTTCCACATTCATCCAGCCAAGTGCAATATAACATATTCCATGACCCAAGATTGATCCCGGGACGTTATTGCTTGGAAATGAACGCCGAGTCGTTACATAGCCTTGACGAGCCGACGATCTGCTCCATTTTCGCAAGTTAACTCCCCGAGAGTGGGGTCCGGCTTCGGTTTCATGCAGGGGCTTTAAGGTGTGGGTATGTCATGTGCTTTGTGTGTTAGCGTGGGCAAACAAGTTTTCAAGCTTAGCGGCTACCGGGATGCCCTGCAGATCACGTCTTGGAGATGATAATACCTCTTCTTTGGTACAACACGGTATAATAATATAGACAGCAGAGCTATCCTGTGGAGAATACATGTAGGTGAAGTATAGACCGTATGGTTACAGGACGTACTACATTGTGGATTGCATAAATACCTACATAGGTAGTCTACGCTGAAGATCATTATCAATACCGAGGTACATAGTATGTAATAAGAATAGTTAGCCATTTATGCTATGTCCTTGACAATATAGTCCAGTTACCTGATATATTTAGCTCAAGATGATATTAATCACGTTAACTTTATTAAGATATCAGTCTCATGTCTTCGGATGTCCATTTTACATTTTTCTCCCATTGTTGGTGGTTTAACTAGTTCACAGAAGAATGAAAATAAGGGTGATAATGAGCTATAGAAGTGCAGCCAGGGATGGGAAGAGTAGTACGGAGTAGACATGTCGGGCTTATCAGTCTACGATGTACAGTATAGGCCGACGATAAAACGAATTTTCCATACATATATAATCAGGGTTTGGTAACAACGTTTAAAAAAACAAGCCAGTAGCAGTACATAAACATGAGATAGACGATAGATAATAGACAATATACAAATACAATATTTTCACCTGGGATATCATAAAACAAGAGCACAAATATAAAAAACCCAACTTGCATGTAAAACAGCCCAAGCAACCCACCTGGTACCTAATTCCGACCCCTAGAAGCGCACCTCAGGCCGAATAGCAAGCCTCTTCTGCACAAATAATGGAGGAAGAGGACTATATCTCGGGCAAGGCTTGCACGAGACTTTCCCTTTCGAGGAAAACGGCAAACTCGATAGATCACCGAGATGCAAGCTCAGAATCGATGACGCTCTCTTCCGATCAAAGATTTGACTTTTGCACTTCCCCGATTTGGAGCCTAGTGTTGAGGCTGAAGGTGTCGGTGTATGGGCTGGCATATGCTGCGGTAAGCAGGAGACTGTTATCAGACTACAAAGATGGTAGAATGATTCTTCTTCTTCTGGTTGCTCTGGTTTAGGGTTCGGTGCTGCTGATTGGGGCTCTGCCACGGGGGGAGCAATCGACAATGAGGCGCTGTTGCTTGATGTATTGCTCACGGTAGCTGCAAGGGCGGCTAATTGATGGACGATCTGGTCTGTTTCGTCGTGTTGTGTTGCCGTAGTCATTGTTTCAGGTAGATTTGGTTCTTTCTCTTGAAATTCGTGCTCTTGTGACGTAGTTGGGGAAGTGGAAGATTTCTCCGTGTCTGATCTTCGTCGTCGGATCCATAGCTTTCGTAGTAGAAGGAGAAACATGGTATCGATTAAAGGAATGCAACTAAAGAAGGAAAGTTAGCATTTCTAATGTCTAGGTATGCCCTAGGAGAAGTGCGCACATTTCAAACAAATTGTGAAGATAATGACTTTACCCGAGTCCAAAAGCGTTGTCCTCAAGTCCTTAGCTGGTGATCCAATGCTCATCAATCTACGAGTTCATTCCAAGTCTCAGATATATATGTCCTCAATCGATGCACGAGCCTTGGTACAACAAGGGAATTTCCAACGAGCAAGAAACCGACCAATCCGTGCAATATTCAAACTAGACTGGATCTGGAACACTACCTAGAACCTAGGATGATCGGATATTTCCCGGAAAATTAGGCCGTTAGAACTTCGGCGTATTAGCTTGAACATGACTGGATAAGCTTAAAATGTAGATTCAGAGACTATTGCCCCTCTCGTGTAGGTGCAGCAATTTCAACAGATCAACATGCAAGTATCCTAGCGTGGGAAAAGATTCGATTGATGGATTGATGGATCATTCCCCGAATTGGATCGTTGCAAACGGATGGACTAGTGTGGATGTGCATCCCACGGATCACTTTGGTACTCCATTGCCGCAAATATTACGGAGTAGATTTGATTAGATTTGAGCTATCTTGCCCCGTTTGTGGATTAGGAGATGGGTGGATCGGATCGTTAAGGCTGGTTTACAACGGGGCCGAGTTAAGATTACCAGGAGATATTGACTCCATAGTTCGTTGTCAGATGAGTGAAACCCTTTATTTAAAGGAAATCTGTTCACATTTCTTCAAGTCGCATTGCGCACGGCTCCATGGCATACTCATAATTCGGCCAGGAGCCAAAACCATAACTTGGCCCAAACATCCAAGCTAAGTCATAAAGGCAAAAGCAACAGCAACAGCAGCAAAATCACTGCGTCCTCGGATCCCGGACCATGCAGTACAACTATCACAATCAAAGTCAGCAACAACTCAAACGAATCCCAACCCGGGACCAAACACCACAAAACAAGTACAATGTACATACCATGCAAGCATCCACCCCATCCCGACACTCCATCTCCTTACTCATGTGAAAGCCCATACGCTCATAGATCGCCACATTGGGCACACTCTTCGAGCTCTCAAGATAACACTTGACCCCCTCATCATCTGCTATCTTTGTAACAGCTTCAAACAACATCCTCCCAATACCCATCCCCTGTGCCTCGGGGCCAACAGCAACAATATTGCAGAAATAGTACCCGCGCGGATCATCCCAGATGGCAGCCTGCGCCTCGGCCTGGCGCTGTTTCCAGATCCAATACCTGTTCGTGCGCAGCCCGCCGCGGCCAAAGTACCGGATATTGTTCAGCATCTGGTTGAATGACAGGGTCCATGATTGGAACCAGGAGTACCAGCTCTCTGGTTGCGTGGGCGGGTGAGGCGCTAGCCAGCAGGAGACGCCGAGAATTGGGGTTGGGGTGCTGGGGGATTTGGAGTCCGCGTATTGAGTTTCTTTTGCGACGTGGAATAGTGCATTCTTGATTCCCCAATGGCAGCGTGCTGCGAGGGAATCGTAGTTTCTTTGCTTGTTGAACTATACGTGCAGTTATCTCTCAGGAGACGTAACTGCAGGTCACTTTGACCGCGTCACGAGAGAGATGCATGTTAGTCTGATGATTAGGAGTAGATGGATGTCTTATGTCTTTTTTTGGCAGCTGTCTCTCAACATGCAACGTACCTTGGATGAATCGAAGACCCACTTGAAATAAGGATCGTCTGCAAATGCCTGCTGGATTACTTCAATAGCACCGGGGATATCTGCCTCAGTGAGAGGTACGACTTCAACAGCCATAATGACAGCTTGTGGGGTCTGTACGGCGGGTAATTCTCCGGATGCAAGGATCGAATATCCGGAGAATTGAAGAACGCGGTTGTCGAGGATGAACCAGAGCGGTTTTTTGCTCACTGAAAGTAGTCAGAATTGTTCTTTGCTTCTTCCAGTTCATCTATAGCACATATGCGAACTCACCTATGCTACTAAGCGTGAGCCAATCAGCGCAGTCTGTCTGGAAATTCCCGAAGTACGCTAAGGGACCCTGTAGGACCTAGCTCTGTAGTTCTTCGTAACGATTTGGGCAAGGTACAAGTGCTTTGAACAGCAGAAGCAGAAGGGAAAAAAAGAAAAGGCTGTGACTATTGGAGAAGCAGATGTGGGGAGAGCTAAACCGGGGAAGGCAGGTCGATGCGTCCCTTGGAAGGTTGCCCGGCCTTATCGCTGACACACCAGTTCTTATCTCAAGTTGTTTTTATACGATACCTACAATACGTAGTTCAACATATCTGCATAGTTCTGATATTCTGATACTTGATCATAGTTCAGTCTACTACATGTATCCATATAAGATATCTGACTGAATGACCCATTTCGCCTTTTGTCCACAATCAGAAAAACAAAGTCCAGTATTAACAGCCGAAAAGTAAAATCGGTCCTGCATAAATCATAAACAAAGTGCTGTTAAACAGACAGAAAGTAATCCCAGACATAATCCCAGAGAGAAGAAAGAGAAGAAAGAGAAGAAGAGAAGAAGAGAAGAAGAAGAGAAGAAGAAGAGAAGAGAAAAAGAGCCGGACTCAAGATTCAGACTCAGATCTAAAAGGATAGATAGCATCGCTGGAAAAGATGTGCCCGACACCAATCCCAATATGAACAGTGGCGTAAATTCATGATTCAGACCTCGTGACAGCTCGTTTTTTTTTTGGAAGAAAATGCTTCAAAAGAGGCGGTATTACTGGAAATAGTCTTCGAGTCGCACCCATTCGCGGGGCACGTCCATGCTGCGGTTGACGCGTCCACCCGGCGTGAGGGGTACATCAACGCGGCCGCGACCGCGGTCGTCGTCCTCGTTTTCTTCGTAGAACGATAAACGGGAGAAATAGTCCTCGAGAACGGCCTCTCGGTCGTCCCCGACGATGCTATTATATTCCGGAGGTGGGGTGACAAGCGGCGGCGCGGGAGGAACCTCATCAAAAGCGGGGGGCGCGTAGGACGGTGCGCGGAGAAGGTGCATTGGGCGAGGTGGAATGAGGATGTTGCGGTCGTGTGGTGGTGCTGCAAGGTGTGCTTGTGGTGGACGGGCGAGGCCGCCAGAGTCATTGGTGAAGCTGCGGGAGAAGTTGTGGCCTGTTGAGCCGCGGCGGGTGACGGTTGCTAGTCCAGGATTGCTGTCTTCACGATCGGATATCGCCGGGGCGATGACTTGCTCTCGAGGTGCGAGGGATGCACCTGGGCATCCGCATTCAAACTCTTGGGCCGGCGGGGCGGGTTCTTCGGCTGGGGTTGTGTAGGCTGGTAGGTAAATGTTGGCCTGGGTGGCCTTGCAGGAGAGAATGTGGAATGGCGAGTCTATGGATATTTCGAAGTGTCTCCGTTTTGTGGGGTCTCTTTCGTCGACCTTAGATAGACGGAGGACAATCTGCGTGGATCGGTTAGTATCATTATAACACGAAGAAGAGAGAAGACGTTTTGACATACTTTGATCCAGTGGTTGATCTGAATGTTCTCGTATGTGGTATCGAAATGCAACCGCTGACCCTCGTCCCGGCCCTTCATTTCATGGCAACTTGGCAGTTGCACGTTGAATTCCATCTCAGTTGGGCCGACACCAGAATCATTAGCCAGATTACCTAGCAGATTCGTTCGATTCCGATCCACAATCTCCTGCCCTCTTGCGGCAGCAGCGCGCTGGTCCCAGTCGATGCCGCCGCCTGCGGTGACACGCATAGAGCTGCCGGGATACGTGCTCACACTGGACGAGTCTGCTCGTTTTTCGAAAAGTAACACCTTCTTAGCTGGTTGCAACCGATGCACGCTCTTGTCTGCCGTCCAATGCTGGATATTCTCCGTCACATAGACCTTGATTCGGTGGCACTCTACTTTTGCGAGTGGAGTCAACTTGAACGCAATCGGGATCTGCGAGCCTAGGGGGAAGGACTTCCCCGAGATGACGATGTCATAGTGAAGCTGGTCTTCCCAGTTCCGCGAAATCGCAATCGGCTCGACTTGCTCCAGTGAACCCTCGGCAGGGGTGCGAATCACGGGGACTTCCATGGCGCCGAGGAGATTGGGTCGGAAGGCGCCTGATCGTTCCACCATTGCTTCCAGGTCATACTTCACAGACCCCAGATCCGTTTTAATAGTCTCTGGTAATGATCCATCGATTGGGAACTCGAAGCTGTATAGATAATCGCCTACAGGGAACATGCGGTAATTTCGCTGAGGTTGGGGTTGGGAGGTCGGGGGCTCGTTCTTGCTGAAGCTGCGCGAATGACCACGGTTGGCTTGCAGGGAAAGACGTTTGGCATCTCGAGAGATTGGTAGGGCGAGTGTGGCGGCAGAATTACGGTTGGAAAATAGTTCTCGAGTGGTCATCGTCACTCCTTCCTTTCCCGGTACAGATGATATCGGTTTGGCATGCTGATAGTAATGCGCGCCATAGTCATTCTGCATGAGCGCAGTGTCACCGTGGTTAAAATAGACCACACCATGCGTGAAGAGATCCTTTTTGTCATGGAAGTGGATCTTCTTAGGGGGAATACCTGAACAATGTAAGCTTGTGTCGGAAATGTAATTTTCTGTAGATTCATACCATCTGGCCAATCGGTTTGGGCATGACCGCGGAAACAGACCGAGATCTTCTTGATCTTGACACATTTAGTAATCTTCAAATGCATCTGTCCCCGCAGAATTGCGGACTTTTTGCTGCTCGGGTCTTGCTGATCATAGCCCTGCAAGTAAAGAACGGGTTCGGTGAGGGCAATACCGACAGATATGCCACTCCCAGTGGCTACGATTTTCTCATTTCGCAAGGGAGTAAATGGGGTAGTAGTTTCCGTAGTGACAGTGTGTTCAGGTACTGGCCGAGGCAGCACCTCGGTAGATGACGAATCCGATCGCATCTCGTCCTCTAAATCAACCGATGTCGGCGACAATATAATTTCCGAAACTGGTCGTACACGAGGGCGTGACAAAGGTGCCTGAATTCCAGACGACCGCAAGCGAAGGAATCGCTTTGCGTTTTCACGTGGACCCGCCAGCTTTCTGAAGATTGAGTCCCGATGACTCCTAGGGACCTGTTTTTCGATACACACGGTAGCCGACCGTGTGATGAGATTGGAAATTGATACTCCTAATGACGGAGGTCCTGTGAACTCGGAGTGCGGGGTGGGGTTGCTAGAGGCCGACCGCGAGGATAACTGCGCTGGCAGAGGGATTATGTTAGCACCCATCATGATATCTGGGGCCCGAAGGTTCCCCCAAAATTGTCTATAGCCCTTGAATGCTTATGTCGCCAGATTGGACCTTGGAAAGACAAATGGTCCGACAAAGGGAATACAAAGTGCAGGGAATGTGTAGGACGGACTGTAACATACCTTCGATCTTTAATCTTGTGCGATGTTTTGTTTCTGATCCCTTGAATCCCACGCAAGGAGACTGTAGGGAAGATGGAATTCTCGGGGGTGCTGACTTCACAAGACCACTCCGATCATTATGCAGATCTCTATTTCCGACGTGTAGGATTGGTTGCCAAGGAGTGGATTTGTGGTTCCTTTTCCGTCTTTTCCTTGATCTTCTTATGATTTTAGTTGTGTAAGGCGTAATGCGTAATGTGGCGTTGAAAAGATAGTGAATATATAGAAAGGAAAAAAAAAGGCGAACTACTTAAACTAAAAGGAACCTTGATCCGCGGAATAAGAGAACATCGAACCAAAAAAAAAAAAAAAAGAGGGAGCTAAAGAATAAATCCGAGTTCGATGACAACACCATTGAGAAAGCCGCGGGGGGGGGGAAGAGAGAAGACAGGGCTGGGGCTCACATCCGGCGATCCGAGCCACACGTCTATACGGGTTTGGTTCGGCATTTCTGTGGAGAAACATTCCCTAAGGTCTAGAGTTATCTAGTCTTATAACTCGGATCACACGGCCTCACGGATTCACGGCAGAAGGCGTTGCTAACATGAGAATCTTGGCCTGATCTAGCTCAAATGCGGGGGAATCGTATCTTTCACATGACCTTTGAGGTATTTTATGGATTTTGAAACCGAAATGTATGAGCCTTTACTTTCCTATATCTCTGACTTAAAGAGTAACCTATTGTAGGGATGTTCTTACGATGCGAATGGTCGGAAAATATACCCAAATATGATTCTAGTTCGTCACCATCACTGTACAGAGATGTTATATTAGCGTGACGACATTACCACCTTTATATATGACATCATCAGCCACATTTTGCCTAGACCCCCGGGGCACTACGGGGCATACATAGACATATATGTATAGAGTAGATCTATTTCGGGCCTTCTCTCTGGGGTGATCGCCCTGTCAAGGGTTCCCTTTGCTTCTCCACTCAACCTACGTCACCACTTATATATTACCTATAATCTACGATCTCAGCTAAAAAGGAGATCCTTCCAGGTACAGAGAAACGTGGCTCCGATTCACGGTTTGGCGCTATGGTCCTCACAATGAGAGCGCTGTGTCACCACTGGGTTCATGCTTTGGGTTGTCTAGGAGCTGTGGGCCTAGACGGGTTCATCTTCTTTGAAGCATCCCGTACCTAGATAGGTGTCAGAACTGCTGTTTCTTAGATCCTCTACTTGAACCATACTTCTAGACTTGATTGGACCTGGCTACTAAATGCTACCTAGTATTCCTCATTGAAGTTTCACAGAATCCACCCAGTCAGGAGCCTACCTGAACAAAAGAATTATGTAGATCACAATAATTATGTATTCCAGCCACAGAATCAGGGCATATGTCATTAGATCTATGCTTAGTACTACCACTAGTGCTAGATGCGCACGCCTGCAGATCGTAGGATACCTTTTCCAATTATCTCTCACTGGTCATTGCTCATATCTAGACTATATAGATTCCGCTAGTGCCCCCCTCTATGATTTTATCAGTTGAACCAATTATCATCCAGCTCGTTAACATTCATCAGGCTGTCCCCCTCTAGCTGATTGAAGTCCCCACCATTCTCCCCGAAATTATCAGTGTCCATAAACAGATCGTCGAAGTTTGATTCAGCGGGCCCCATGAAATCCTCCCCGGAGTTACCCTGCAGGAAATTCCCGTCGTCCCCCTCTGTCTTCTGTAACTCCATATCAAATGCATCACCGCCAGCAGGGACATCTGAGGTATTCCCAGGTTGGGTCGTGCTTAACCTGTCTGCACCAGTAACGCCAGAAGCTGTAAAATTCGACCCAGATAGGAAAGCTTGATTGCCCATGTCATCGTCGTTGAAGTCTAAGCTAAGACCAAAATGGTTTGTGCCCCCAGTGTCGTTGAGGACTGAATCAAAAGTGAGATCTCCATTAGGTCCAGGGAATGATTGATTGGGGGCAGTATTGTCAGCTTCTTTTTTGACAACTATATCATCGCCCGATTGGGTGTCGGGCTTGATCTCTGCCGGAACTGATTGGCTCGCGGAGGTAGCCTCTTCTGATTTAGGCATAGTAGGTTCAAGCTCTGTGTCCATTTCGACTTTCTTGGCCAGGGGAGATGGAATTTCAGGTTCAACCTGTTGGTTCACATCGCTCATTGCCACATCTTCGATGGGTTGGGGAGCGGCGCTAGTGGCCTTGAGAGCCTCATAATCCCTTTCCAAAAAGGCTTTTGCAATGAACTGCAGTGTGTCAGAAAAGAATGAAAGAAAAAAGGAAATAAAAAAAGACGAAAAAAGCAAATATTAATCTATTTGAGATTTGTACTCACAATTTGCTCTGATAGGTTATCCAGTGCATTTTGGAAACTATCATGATACAAGGGGATGGATCGTTGCAGGTGGGTTCTCGATGGCATAGAGCCAGATTTGCGGAACAAACGACCAGTATCAATAAGCTAGAAGCTGTCAGAAGTGCCAAGAGCGATGTTCCAGAGCCAGCGCTTACTGTCCGTTCTATTATGCTTGAAAGCTCTGTAAGTGAGTCTGGGTTTGAATAACTTGAATAGGCCATGGTTGAAAGATAGTACCATGAAGACAGTGATGGATATAGAAGTAGATATAAGTTAAAGAGAAGAGCTGTAAAGAATTTGGGAAAGTAAAGGCGGCTAAACCCATTGGGGTAAAGTGTCCTCCCCCCACCCCTAGCGGTTAACTTCCTCCCTTTACTTTGCTGTTCAGTTCTTTTTTCTTTCTATCCTCATCTTCTTTTTTTTCCTTCCCTTTTTCCTTTTCTCTTTTCTTTCCTGTGTTTGGCTTTCCCCCGTAAAAGGGACTTGCATGCTTTGGTTTTCTTTGAGCTTTCTCTGCCTCTTTTTGTTGGGCTTTCTACCTCCCCCCAACACCGCTTTGTATCGTTTCAATCTCCGACCGCAGCTTTATCAGGCCACAGAAATACCTCCCTAGTTATTTTACCGGAGCTTGATCGAAAAACCAAAAAAAAACCCCCCAAACCCCCCACCCAGGTTCCATTTCGGTGTCTCTTTTACCAGCACTGTTTATACCCGGTGCTCTTTGTTTCCCCAACTTAGGGTCTTTCTTATTGGACTTCTTCCACCCTGGTCCCCCGCGGCCTCCTATACCACATATATTTTCCCAGTCTTAATTGCGATTGTGGCTTTCAGCGACGCTCTGCATTGTCTCAAATTCCGAATTTGACAGATCACCTAACACTGGGCTCTCCCGGTCCGACATTTAACTCCGACTTTCGCATCGCTCGCTTCCTCTGATCGCCTTTGGAATATATTCGTATCTTTTCAAGCAATCATAATGGCTGAAAACGCTCAAGCCTCGGCTCCCTCTTCTCTCCCTCCCGCGCCTCAGCCCGCTGTCGGTCAAAACCAACAGTACGATGCTCCTCAGGGCAACGGCCAGGGCAACCAGTCCCACATGCCCCCGCCTCCGCGCCCTCCTGTGATCATTCCTCAAAATACCAACCCGATCCCCACCGCCATGACCTCTCCCATGTCCGGAGTCGCTATGATGTCCCCAACAAGTGCTGGTGGATATGTTCGCCGGGCGGCTCCTGAACCAAACAAGAGAGCTTTATATGTGGGCGGGCTAGATCCGAGGGTCACTGAGGACATCCTCAAGCAAATCTTTGAGACCACTGGCCACGTGGTCAGCGTGAAGATCATTCCCGACAAGAATGTGAGTTCTCCTGACAGTCAACCCCCTGCATATCAGCCCTCCCCCCACCTCCTGAGTTACAGTAATGGTATCTGAAGCTGTTATCTATCTAAATGCCCTTGGTTTCAATTCTTGATAAAGTATGTGTAGCTGACTGTTTTACTAACTCCAGGGGCAATTCACCACCAAGGGCCACAACTATGGTTTCGTTGAGTTTGACGACCCAGGTGCGGCCGAGAGGGCTATGCAAACCCTGAATGGTCGCCGAATCCACCAATCGGTAGGTTTCTTTTTTTTTCGTGGTACTTTTTGACCGTGTCTAATTGCCGCAGGAAATCCGTGTCAACTGGGCGTATCAGTCCAACAGCACCAGCAAAGAGGATACTTCTAACCACTTCCATATCTTTGTCGGCGACTTGAGCAATGAAGTCAACGATGAAGTGTTGACTCAGGCATTCTCTGCTTTCGGTTCAGTATCCGAAGCACGTGTGATGTGGGATATGAAGACTGGTCGCTCCCGTGGATACGGCTTCGTTGCCTTCCGCGATCGCACAGAGGCAGACAAGGCCCTCAACTCAATGGATGGTGAATGGCTCGGATCTCGTGCTATCCGCTGCAACTGGGCCAACCAGAAGGGTCAGCCTTCAATCTCTCAGCAGCAGGCCTTGGTTGCTATGGGTATGACGCCTACCACTCCTTTCGGGCACCACCACTTCCCAACCCACGGCATTCAGAGCTATGATATGGTTGCTCAGCAGACTCCCCAGTGGCAAACTACTTGCTACGTGGGTAACCTAACCCCATATACTACTCAAAACGACTTGGTCCCCCTGTTCCAGAATTTCGGCTATGTCCTTGAAACTCGCCTCCAAGCCGATCGTGGCTTTGCATTCGTGAAGATGGACTCGCATGAAAATGCGGCGTCCGCGATCTGCCAGCTGAACGGCTACAACGTCAACGGCCGTCCTCTGAAATGCAGTGTAAGTTATTGCTAGTTTTGGGAATCTCCGCTTATGTTACTGACTACCGCAGTGGGGTAAGGATCGCCCTCCTACTGGCCAGTTCGACAACTTCTCTCCTCAGCAGGGCAACGCCGTCCCCTTCAACAACAGCCCTGTCGGTTTCTTCCCTCAATACGGTGGCCCCGCAAACCCCATGAATCAAGGTAAGCCGAGTATTCATACTATATCTGAGCACTTACTTACTGGTATAATAGGTCCTGCCCCTGCTGGTCGAGGCTGGGATCAACAACCCAACAACTTCAATGGGCCTGCTATGGCTGGCCAGGGCTATGCCCAGGCAGGTAATGCCGGTGGCTACGGCCGTGGTCAGCCCATGTCCCCGTCCGGCAACTGGGACCAGTCCAACAACTTCAACGGAGGCTACCAGGCGTAGCTCGGTTTGTGACAGCCTCCAGTCGGTTTGCTCACATACGACACTTCGGGCATTTGCTCACAGAACTAAGTTTATTTAACACCCCTTCTGTGTTTCTTTCCATAGCACCCTTCTACAATTCCCCCTCACCGTTGATATTTTCTTTCTTTTATTTAAATTGAGTGGATTTTCAAGCGAGCAAGTTGCTTTTGTCTGAAGCGGAATTTGTGTGTTGCGCACCCATACCCCAAGTCCACTACGTTGATTCGGTTTTTATTTTGTTTGGCTTTTCTTTTCCTTTTCCTCTTTTCTTTAAGCGTGCTTCGCGGTCAAAGGTTCCTTGGACTTTTGGCGCTGTCACGCCCCCAAATAAAAGCGACCTCCCTACTCTTCACCCGCGTATTTGGATTGTTGCCATCTTGTTCATTTCTTTTCTCTAGCTGTTTTATCATCCGAGTACATGTGTTGTATCAAATTTGCTTTCCTGTCTTTGCTTAAGCTGTGTTTGATACTCATTCCCGCTCAAAAGATGCTTTTTATGGGCCATGGATTTCTCGGTTGACACATTGGTCTGGGCACCTTCCCACGAGTATGCGTATATGCTGTGATGAATTTCCTTGGAGCAAGCAAACACCATTGATCTTTTTTCTAAGTATCTCTCTGCCTTGCTGGCGTTCTAGCCCAGATACCAATTTGGCTTTTTTTTTTCTTTTACTGCATTCTGCCTTTTTCTTTAAACTCATTGCCGATGGCATTTTCTTTGTTTATTTTTATATATATATATATATATATCATGTATGATGTACAGAGCAGACAGCGGGTTGCATGATATTCTCTGCCCATAGGCTACCAGGTGAAACTGAGCATGCTGTGTTATGCTCCGCAGGGCATTTGAAGTCAGCCCGGTTTCATGACAGTTATTATTCATTGTAGCGTAAGTTGATTGGTGAACTGCAGCCCTTTTCTCGCGGCATATGTATTGCAGTGTGACAATGATATCGCATGTTTTAGACAGGGTAGACAATATGTATATATATATGGTCCTAACCTGTCTATGTGTTTCTCTGTTTATCACCACCCAGGTTGGAAGCCAGGGCTGGAGGGTCATTTACTTATTACACAGTCATACATGGATAGGTGCATATACATAAGAATTACCCTTTCGGGGTATTCGATATCTACCCTTATGGTTATAATAGGGCAGAAGGGGATAAAAGACACCATACAAGACAAGGTCTCTAATATCATCTCGAGCCAACTAGATCAGATGATTAAAGTCATATGTCTCAGTAGTTTCGATCAAGCCTGCCTCTGTTTATAGAATGCTGGTTGCTTTTTAGTATATTGATAATAGGAGCCACGGCTGGTATACTTTTTATAATAATCTAGACCCTTGCTCTTTCTCTTCCTTCTCCTACCCTTACTCTGATAACTTGATAAAGGCTTAAATTTGGGGTCTACTGCAAAGAGAGGACCATCAACTAGATTGGCCTCGAGCCTTCCGAGTGATCTTGTCATCGCGAGGTATAACAAAGGTTGTCCACGGCTATTTCTACCGCCATGCTTATCCACCCTATTTTAAGCACATCTCGAAATGTAGACCTTTGGCGGGTCATCGATGTACCTTTCGGCGTGGAGCTGTTCCTGAACCGCGAGTAACGCATCAATCCTACACTTTGATCTAGCCTCCGTTGGCTTTGCGGAGCGAGTGAGTTCCTCAGTGTAGTTCAAACAAGGCACTAGATATCGTGATCGTACCAAATAGGGCAAGGCACATGATATTAAGCACTAAATCACGGGGTTAGGCTCACAAGAGGCTCTTTCCAAGCTTGAATACCCAAGACTTTAGGCCAAACGACTGTTCTACATCGAAGGACATTTCTGCCAGTCTCGCCATTTTCCGGGGGATTTTCGATAATTTGATTCAGTCCATACTCATCGTGGCGGGACATGTGTAATTCTTCCGAATTCCAGAATTTTACAGTATTAGCCAATGGTGGCATTTTTACGAGAAAAAGCTGGAACTAGAATCTTACTCCGTCACTCTAGGGCCGAGGGAAAGTGCATATCATTTTGAACAATGACGTCAGGGAAATTGAAATAAGATAAATATAAATCCTTTTACGCCTTGCATTGGAGACATAATTTAAGTGACGCGCCATTGCTGCCCAGGTGGCATCGCGATATTGATATATAGTTACACCTGCGCAATTTCGTTGCTGCCTGATACTGCAGGCCACAACACTACTCCTTTAACTAACTTCCCTATGCAAATCGCATATCTCTTTGCAATGTGAACAAAATACTAAAGAAAGAAACGAACACAGACAGTTCCCAAGTTTCAATGCAAGAGGATTGACCGAGCTGACGTCCCAGCTCCCGGTTCCACTCGCAATGGACGATGACAACAGAACCGCGGACTTGGCGGTCCACGAACCATCTCCTCGCACGCGATCAGGCAGCGCAAGTAGCGGCCACAAACGAAACTTTTCGGGTTCCCTCCTCTCGAGACTTTCCTTCCTTCGCGTGAACCAGGCAGCACACACCTCCCTGGACCGACACCACCCAGACATGGACCACGATGGCGACGAAGACCTCCACTCCGGTATGCCGCAGAGCACAGGCAAAGGGGGAACAGCCAGCAGCCGGGCAATGTCTGCCGCTCTCGCACAACACCGAACGCGTCGCCGCCGCGGCTCCCTCCGCAAAACCGCATTGCTAGGCACCAGGCTCGAATCACGCGACAAAAGAGCCACCGCCAAAGCCGCCGAAGCTCTCGAAGCCCTCCGCGCAGAACCCGGCCGACTCCCCGCCGCCGACCTACAAGCCGCTATAAAACTAAATAATCAAAACTCCTCCGATAATGGGCCTACGCGATACTCGCCCCGCGAGAGCGAGGCCTTCGACGACGACCGCGACGATGCCCAACAGCCGGCCTGGTTCAGCGCGGCAAATACCCAGAAACCCATCCGACCCTCAATAAGTCGCCGACGCCAGGGCCTTGCACAGCATAATCTCCAAGAACCAGCCACTGACGACGAGGACCTCATCTCCTTCCCTCACCTCCACTCGAATTCAAATCCCCCAGCGGCCGGCACGGGCACCAGCCCCAAGAGTTCTGCAACCGGTTTACACATTTCCCCACCATCCTCCAGCTCAGGTTCATTCTACTCGCTTCAACCTCAGCCCGAACCGACATACCTACCCGTCCACCGACACAAGTCCTCGCCCCTGGTCACACACCCGGTTGAGTTGAAGAGCAGCCCCGATGTGGACGTGGACTACTCTGAGACCGAGTGGTGGGGCTGGATTATACTGATTGTGACATGGCTCGTATTTGTTGTGGGAATTGGAAGCTGTTTTGAGGTTTGGAGCTGGGCTTGGGATGTCGGGGAGACGCCCTATGCGCCGCCTGAGTTGGAAGATGATCCTACTTTGCCGATTGTCGGCTATTATCCTGCACTTATCATTCTCACAGCTGTCATGTCTTGGGTTTGGGTTGTTGTCGCATGGGTTGGTATGAAGTACTTCAAGCATGCTAATATATCCGGGGAGGATATTTGATTTTCTTTTCTTTGTTCTAGCGTATACCATATTATAATACCCTTGTTCTTGTGAGCATTAGTTACATGGCATATTTCTCAACAATACCGTAGTTTTTCGTGGTAGGCTGGCTGTGTTTGAATGGCGTTCGATGGTCAATAGGCTGCACAAACGTTACAGCTATACTGCCGCCACTGCGAGATCAGTTTCTGAACATGAGCGAGGAAAAGTTATAAACATCGCAAGAATTATTCCCAGCAAATCGTCTTGCTGTCATGGCCCTATCTAGTCTATAAATTGCATATGTATATATGAGGAACCTTTATAAAATCACAAGTTTGCAACCTTCAACTTCCTCAAGCGCAGCATACTATCCTGCAATGAAGTCGCCACCAGCGTCCCATCAGGGCTCCAAAGATGACTCTCATGCGTCGCCCTATTCTCCCCAGCCCGAGGCGTCCACCCCTCCTGCACGAACCACTTCATAGGCAACTTACTCACTTCTCCAACATCGCCATCGCCGATACTCTCCCAATCCACCATCCGCAGAGCCTCTCCATGCTGATGCACAATAACCGTAAGTGTAAGACTCGCCATCTCAGCCCAATGCGTGATCCCCAGCGCGCGCGGAATCAGAAGAAGTGAGTTCTTATCACTGGAATACATATGCGCACACGCATACAAGTTATCATATTCCCCGTTCTCTTCTCTCTCCCGGATCTGCGCCAAAGTCGCAGCAGGATCCTCGTCCGGTGATCCTTTGAGCCGGTATTGCGTGAGCTGGCGATACCGTTCAGGATGTTGCTTGATTTCCTCGGTGAGGTTATAATCCTTCATGTCGGTCTTGCGCACGTCTAGACCGGGAAACTTGTGCTCGGAGATGTTTCCCAGCCGTACAGCATCAATCCACCATTCTGCGTCCACGCTGGGACTGGAAGGCTGGTCTTCTGGCCGTTTTGCCGAAAGGATTGAATCGAAGCGCGCTTGTGCTGATGTCGGTTGGTGCTGGAAGAGACGTTCCTTTTCATCACGCTTGAAGGAGCATATGCACGAAAAGCAAACTCTGCCTGCTTGACGTGCGTCGACGGCTCGTGTGCTATACATGAATCCATCGCGGATATGTCGCACTGTGTACACGTATGGCGTGTCAAGCCGTCCCCCTAGGATAAATGTGCCCGTCATATCCTGTCGGTACGTTAATTTGAGGCTCTTTGTGGACAATTGATGTATAAGATCTTACGTGAATCACTAAGCCCTGGCCGACGGTCTTGGACGCTGCATAGGCTGATTGGGCGTAGACATGTCCGCCGAACGAGCGCGTTCCCTGCCCAGGATTGTAAGGCGTTGCTAGCGAACGGAACCGCTCAATCTTTTCTGGCTCGGTGGTGTCGGGATGTGAGATCAATGTATCTTCAAGTCGCTGCAGCGCCATCAACTCAATAAAAGAATGCGGGGACATTAGTTCGCCGTCATTGTCCGGGGCCCCGCGTTGCGGAGACATAGTGCAAAAGAGGCGACAGATGTTCTGATCTAGGCTTTTTCTTCTCCTAAAGGATACAAGCTGCGCGAAGCAGTTCCTTGTCTCGAAGGGCGAATTTCTTTGCAGGCCGATGGTTGTCCGATCAACAGTATCGGCCCCTGGATCCGATGATGGTCCTCCCCGCAATTGTGGGAGGTGGGACTAATAAGCCAGGTTTTGTACCGTCTGATGTTATAGAGAGAAACCTGTATGGTGGTACTGGTACTGTGGTGAGTAGAAATGATGGATTTGATAATGGGATATATGGGATTGGTACATTGGTACCCCGGACTAAGAGACGGGACTAGCCGGTGCCTCGGCTTGTCAATTTGAGTCACGCGTACTTCGATATAAAGGTGAAAGTTCTAAATGTAGAAGGTCTGAACAAAGTAATTGTATAACTTTTGTATGAATCGGTTGTCTATGTACCAATGGGATGCTTAATCCAAATTCAGCACTCGAACTTGATCGGGTAGGAAATGCATTTCCGCTGGATCATTTCACTCCTCGGGTTTACACAATGAACAATGGTGGCGTCCAGAGGGTGCCGCATGTCGATCTATATAAGTCGAAATAGGGAGAGATATATTGGGCGTTTCTATCGGATGCATGGTTTGCTTGCCATGCTCGTCGTTGCCATATTTTATGGAGGACAGGAGAGAACACGAATTGTAGTAACAGCCACAAAATAGACTTGTAGATCAAACTGGTATTTTGTACAATATGCGCCGATTGTGCTGATAGGCTCAAGTGGCAGTTCCCAATGCCTGTGCCATAATAATACAAAGAACAAAAAGAAAAGTGCTGAAATCCAAATCCACGCTTCTAAATCTGATATCAACAATCAATCAAACTTTCGTCAAAAAATTGCATCAATTAGATCTGGTCAGTAATGGTGGAAACGTTGTTCCACTCGACCTTGCCCTCGATATCCTTGATCTCCTCAAGCTTGTCGCCGAGCTTGACCACGGAGAAGTTGATCATACGCGGGTCGAGACCGAGAGTGCGGCGGATAGAGGACTGAACAGAGCCGGAGGAGTCGAAGCGCATGATGAAGTGGTGACCTTCGGTGTATCGGGCCTGATGTTTCGTGGTGACCCTGGGCAGGCGGAAGGCGCCCCAGTTGGTGTAGCCGCGAACGACGCCGCCGGAGCGGATGACTTGGGTACCGGCGTTACGGGCGATTCTGCAGCAAATTATCTATATTAGTATTCGATAGGTTCGGATGATGGAGACCGTGGCGAAGGTGTTGATTCAGACATACTCTCGCACTTCGTTGAGGCTGCCCGGGCGGACCTGTTAGCAGAGCGGTTAGCAAATCCAGACATATCTTTTAGAACCAATATGACAGTTCCCATAAACCAAAAACATACAATGGCAATCAGTTCGTACAACATGGCATCGAGGGGTGGCGCGCACTGGAGACTGTAATGAGGCAATGACCATTCAAAGCCAGCAAAATCCGACGAGGTTAGCGCGTTGCTTATCAGAGGTCTTGGCATTTCGTTATCGGGGAAACTCCGCCGGAGAAGGGCATCACCTTCTTTCCCTTCTACTTAAACTCTCCCCTCTTCCCATTTCACTTTCCACGCTTCCAATTCCTTTCCTCTATACCTCAAAATGTCCTCCATCGCTCGTGCCATCCGCCCATTTGCTTCCAGGGTCCTTACCCAGAAGCCTCTTGCCTCCACCTGCCAGGTTGCGCCTGCTTTCCGTTTCCCGCGGGGAACCAGGAGCTTCTCTCAGAGCCCTCTCTGTGAGTTCCATGAACCCCCCCAGTGTTGCCAAATACTGTCCAGGGTAATTTACAACACCCTTGGACCGGTGCTGAAGCATCACAACCGTCAACCATGCTTCCTGAAGCTCTATGATGTCACATTTTACTAACGACGCATCAATTCGCAATTTTAGCCCAGCTGAAGAAGTACACAGAGTCGCACGAATGGATTGAGCTGGCCGACGGCGGCAAGACTGGTTAGTTTACTACCATCCCGATCGATTGGTCTCATACACCTGCCTTGGACCCATTGAACCGACATGCCGGGTGTATAGGGCCTTCTATAGTATACAAAATATGGGGCAGGGAGATAACTAACACACGCTCTCTACAGCCAAGATCGGTATCACTGAATACGCTGCTCACTCCTTGGGTGATGTCGTCTACGTCGAGCTTCCCGAGGTAGACCTCGAGATCGTCGCCGGCGAGCCCGTCGGCGCTGTCGAGTCCGTCAAGTCTGCCTCCGATGTCCTCTCCCCTGTCGCCGGAAAGGTTATCAAGGGTAACAGCATCCTCGAGGATAAGGCCAAGACCATCAACGAGAGCCCCGAGGGTGAGGGCTGGATCGCTGAGATTGAGGTCGCTGATGTTGCTGAGCTCGATGCCTTGCTCGATGAGGCTGCCTACAAAGAGACTATTGATGCTTAGATTTATGGAGTGTAAAGACTGATTGTGATTCGTGGTTTATAAATACCTGCCTGTGCTGGATGTGCTGGATGTGGTTAATTTCCTTTTCTTCAAGTGTGATGTCATATCGTCATGTATGCCCAATGGTGACCGATTTCCTTCAACGAGAGCGTTTAGATTCGTCGATCCGTTACGGATCAATATACTGTTCAACAAGATTTCTGTATGTGAATGGCTTTTTTTATTTTCTTGTAGAGAAATCATAGTCCATATATCCAGGTGGATGTGTATTCAGAGCCAGACCATGCAAGTCTCAACAGTGTAATGCAGCAAGTCTGTGTACAGGAGGATGATATCATATATGAAAAGCATTACAACAGAAGCTATACAGGAGGTATGGTGTCACGGCAGATCGGACACTGGAGGCGAAGTCTCATCCAGCTTTCCAGACAGGCAGTGTGAAATATATGACGACAAGGAGTGACCATGTACAATCGGCGACTCAAGATGCTTGAGGCCCCATCGGCGACGCTACTTCCACTCGAGGCAGAAAGCGCGGGAAGGACAGGCACCTCAATATCCTGCATGCAAATAGCGCAGTCGAACACCGCCTTCTTGCGATCTTTCTGCTGCTTATCGTCATCCTTGGAGTCGCTGACTAGATCTCTTTCATCGCCTCGCAGGGATGCAATTGACAAAACACCACCACCAGCTTCCAGATCCTCGTCCGCTCCAGATAAATCGCGCAGCATGGGATGGTAATCGTATGCATGCGGCGCCCAGCCACGAGGCACAAAGAAGCGCGGTCCGAGAACGTCCTGGCTGACTAGGATCCAAGCTTGAATCCACACCCATCCAGTCATGATGAATGCGCTTGTGTAGTCGGGGCGGATAAACAGCACGTTTCCCCGCGCTGTGAGGAAGTACAGGAAAGGGAAGAGCCGAAGAATACTCTGGCCAGCAACAAAGTCCCATCGAAGGGCCTTGCGGCAATTTCGCATCACGTTTCGGTAAATCTGTGGAACCCAGAAGGAGAGATAAACTGCAGCCAAGAATCGGGTGTAGATCGAGCCGAGGCGTCTCGGCAGGAGGAAAGCCCATATTGACACGATGAGCATGCCAAACAGCGCAAGATAGAACCGCGCGTACATTGTTCCTACGTCGCTGCGGATTTGCCTTGGAGTTGGGGGAGTGGTTCGGGTGGCTGGCGGCGGGGAATCCATCTCATCGTCGGGGGCATCTTGGTCGGGCGACAAGATAATTGGGGTGGCCCCCGAGTCTTGCACTGCCGGAGCAGTGGCAGGCAAAGGCAAAGGCTCAGGGCGAGTAGTTGGAGCTGGTGGATTGGGCGGACGATCTTGCTCTCTTCTTTCTGGCTCTTGCACTGCCCATATTTCCATCATGAACTTCATTCCAATGTAACTCACCGACAGGAACGCCAAAAATGATGCAGTGGCCAGAACCAAGAAAGATACCGCCTCGAATAGTTCCAAAACAATGAATGTTAAAACAAATGCATCGCCGAGCGCCATCAATGCGATGGTATAGAAGCTGATTCGACTCCGGGTAGAAGGAGTTGAAGCCTCTTTAATTTGTCGGAGAAGCAAGGTGATCTGTGCAACAAAAACACCAGAAACAACGAAAATGAGACGAGCTGCATATTTACTGTACTCTTCATGCTTGGGCCCAGTCACATATAGCGAATCAGAAGGAGGGAACTCAGGGGTTCCTTTCGTTTGAAGTATGTACCCGCAGTCTGGAGAGAAGACAACGGCAGACATGACCATAAGAGGAGGAGCTGGGATTGGCGCTCCCATAGGATATCTGAGCTCTTGCTCCATACGCTCCAATAACAATCGGTCAGCAGCGGCATCCCCGAGCATCACTGGATGCTGCTGCAAGTAGATGATATGTTCACATTTAGGTGCAGGGAACTCCATCTGCTCTGTTCCTGCCAGAGAGGACCAGGGAAATAGTGTTGGGTGTCGATTTTGCTTCTCCGAGATGGTGTCCGACAGCGACTTGAGAAGAAGCTCGTGGGAGAGTTCGTAAGTGTCAGGAGATAGCATGAAATGCGGCAACGAGAAGATCCCGCCAAATTTCTCGCTAGATGTAGTCAAAATGATACTTCCGGTGTCTGGAAAGTGTACACCAAATAACGAGAGGTACCAGGTACTTCCCCAGAAGTCCTCGCTTTCGACCGTTAAACTGGCTCGCATCTCTCTCAAAATTCCATCTCCCATCTGAAGCTCTTCGCCACCTCCCTCTTCAAGATCGAAGTAAAATGTGCCCCCATTGCCAGTGATATTATGGCTGAATTCATGGGTGAAGTATTCATGTTCTTCGGCGATGGCAGTCGTGTTCAGAGGTTCACGGCGATCACCACCTTCAGTTTTCCGAACCCAGTCCCCCCGAAGCTTTCCGGTTGAGTTGCGATATACTGGAAGCAGGAGCTTGGTCAAGTTCAACGTAGGCGACACGGTGGGGTCTTCTAGACCATCCGGGGGTTCTAAACCGGCATTTGAGACAGCCGATTGTAACTGGTGGCGAGCTAGGCCTTTAACCTGCGGGAGAAGGTCCCAAGCATAACTGTCGTTTGCCCTTAAGCCCGAAAAAGGGAGCCATCGATTGGCGGGCGGATCGAAGTCGCCATATTTTGAACCATTCAACAGCTGAAGGACCTGTCGCTCATGATCAAGCTCACGTTGCCGTGCTCGATCTTCATCGATCAACGGCGGTCGAGACTGAGAGCTGAGGATAATGTAGAACACTAGCAGGAAGAAGAAAAAGGAGCCGCGGTTATCCATCTATGCCACGGAGTCTCGTCATCGGACTCTTCCTCAAAGACAGACAATAAGCATCGCGAGAAAGAGAAACAAAAGACCCGAGAAGAACCGGGGAGCTTGACTAAGTTACAAAGGGAGCAAACAGGAAAGAAATAATGAATGACGAGCGCAGTATAAGTAGGTGTCTACGGAGCGGAGTTGATGATGTACTCGACCCCGGGGAGCCTGCCCGGCGGGCACCCACTCCTTGCTGACTCATGACGCCTCAGACTTGATGGATGGGTCGATGTTAACCTTGGAAACGTTCTACTTCGGGATTTATACCCCGTGAAATTAAAAAAGAAATAGGCAAATTGGAGACTATTCTTATCCAGAATTTTGAAGAACAGATCAAAAAAATAAGAGATGTCAATGCATCTGTGGCAAGAATTGTCCACTAAATGCGAAGACCCGAATGCTGATATCAAACCGGTTGAATTTTGGTACAAATAGAAAAACGCATACACACAATGACCATCTCAATCATAATAGCTCTTTGCTTTATGATGCAGCAGCCAGGACACCACCTTCGGGCTTCTCATCCCGTCGCCGACGCTTCTCGAGAATGGCCTCACGGCGCTGTGCAAGCATCTTCAATTGTCTGCTCTCAACACCCTGGAGCCAATAGCCAAAGCTTCCACCAACACCGGCGAAAAGAGGGTAGACCCAGAGGGATTCCTTGGCGAGAATCGGACGCATCTCGATACCGAGTTGCCAGAGGCGGACGGCAATGCCTGTGGGATCAACGCGGTTAGTTCCAATGGCCATATAAATAATTTTAACAGTCGTGCCTCTTGGTATGAAGCATTCTCTTGCAATAAATTGGAATCCGGGGAAGGATATGTACGTACCGAAGCCACTCCAGAAGAGTACTTTGTGCACCATGATCGCGGTCGGGCGCGGGGTTTGTGTTTGTGATTCGAGTACGAAAGGGGATCCGAGAAAAAGGATCAGGAAAGCAGATGGGTGGATCGATTAATTCAACACCGCTGCGGCCGGGGTAAATGGAGGCGGAATTGGATGTTGCCGTCGCAATAGTACAGGAGAGACGAGGTTGAAGCAAATCAGCGGGCCGCAGTTCCCAATCACGGAATAACCATTCTTCCGATCACATTTGTTATCGCTTATCGCTCGCGCGACTTTGAATCTCTCTCTTGTCCAGGCCAGTCGTGTTACTATGGCTTCTGATGAGGTAATGGACAATTCTCAAGGGATAGAGTATGTCCATTCTACAGCTACACGGTCTATTGATATTGAGAGCGTGAAGCGCAAGAAGTTCAAGACCGATGACCTTCCCTTGTCTGCCGCGCAACATGCGGTCATTGACAAACTCCTACATTCATTCAAGAAGAAGGGTGGCTTTGATAGTGTTCGCAAGCAAATATGGGCTGACTTCAATGATGGGGTATGAGGGTTTCCTGAGACAGTGCTTGCGAGAGACTGTTTATATTTTTCTGCCGTCTGCTAATCCTATCCGAACAGGAACTTCGAACCGATTTTACCAACAAGTTAGTCGCCCTTGCAGAGTCAGAGATCGATCGCGAACCCGCACTACTGTCCCGCGAGAGAGGGAAAGCAGCAACACTCATTGAGGGCGCGGTGGACCGTGGTGATGTTTACAAGAGCGTGGAGGACTCCATCGACCAATTAGCATCCAAACACCTGGATTTTATCCTCGAATCTGTTCGTGAGATCCGATGCCAGGACGTTGGAGGGGAAGTAGCCGCCCGTGAACTGCAGCTAGGGAACAAAACCGATGCAGATTACGAAGCCTACGTCAGTGCCCAGCGAGAGGAGCGGGAAAAAGTGTGGCGCGAAGAGGAGCGCAAGCAGAGGGAGATTGAGGAGGAGGAAAAACGCATCAGGGATGAAGAACGTAAAAAGAAGCGCGAACTTGAACGTCAGAAAGATGAGGAAGACCGGGCCCGAAGAAAGGAAATTGATGAACAGAGGCGAGCTGATCGTGAGCGCCAACGCGAGGAGCAACGAATTCTCGACGAGCAGCGAGAACGAGAGCGAGACGAAAGATATGAGCGACGAAGGCGAGAAGATAGGGAGCGATATCGAGGCTGGGACCGCGACCGCAGTCGAACTCGAGATAGAGACCGTTTCCGTGATCGCTCTCCGGCCTATCGCTCTGACCGTGGCTTATCCCCTTGGCCACGGGATTCGAAGCACGACAAGTCATCTACGTCTAATGCTCCAACTCCTCTGCTAGCGCCGCTTGTGGATGAGAAGTCACTTGAGGAGGCTGCTTTGCAAATGCTTTTGAAAGAAGGCGAAGAACTTGCAGCCAAGGCTCGACAGAAGCCCGAATTTGACTTTGAAGAGGCCGAGGCTATTGAAAATGGACTGAAACCGCCAGGATCAACATTAGGGCCGGCGAAGAGCGCGAATGATTCCAGATTTTCCAATACATCTACCAGAGCAGCCAGCATTTCCCGAGATACTGACGCAAGGCGTGGTTCAATTGCAGACCGGGGTGATCGGACCCGACATTTGACACGGGATCGAAGCCGTAGTCGCTCGCGCCGACGACGCACATCCCGTTATGACACAGACCGTCGACGTGAACGGTCCCGGGATACTTCTGTGAGGTCTCGAGATCGTGATATGGATGCACGCCGTGGCTACCGCGACTTCCGGGATGAAAGAGGTGGTGGAAGCTACAGACCAAGCCGTCGCAGCCGCAGTCGATCCGTCGGCCGGCATGACCGGGACCGCAGTGTTGGCCGAGATAGAGATAGAATACGGGATCGATCGCGGTCCAAAGACCGCAGCCGCAGCCGCAACCGAGATCATGATAATTATCGCCCTCGGCGCAGTCGGCCCTCTCGCTCACCCGTACGCCGACGTTCTCGCAGCCGCTCGCGCTCGCGCGCTCGCGCCCGTGACCGCCCTCGGTCACGCTCTCGATCTACTCGACGGAGATCTCGATCTCGGCGTCGCTCGCCTTCTCCTACTCTAGATATTGACCGATACGTGCCCTCCACCAGCAACCGGAGCAAATCACCCCGCCGCCGGGTCCGATCCCCAGAGCGAGAGCGAGAACCGCGACCCCGGTTAGCCGACATTGACCGTTACAAACCTGTATCTGAACGAGATAAGGATCCGACTCAAGCAAAAGAGGGAGATCTTGAGGTTGGCATAGAAAAGGAAAAGGAGAAAGAAAAGGAAAAAGGTAAAGACAAGGAGACAGATGATCGCCGACCTCGTCGACGGACTCCTAGTCGCCGAAGGAGCCCTAGCCGACGAAGAAGCCCAAGCCGACGACGAAGTCGCAGTCGCAGAAGGAACCGGAGCCGATGATTTTGACGGAGGTGTTTTGCCATGTATAAAAAGACCCGGGAGGCTTTTTTACTGGCTTGCTTCTTATTGAACTACCTTGTAATAATAACATGTATGGTTAGAGACTACATGTAACCATTTGAGTCTCCTTACGATCTACGATTTGTGCTCTCAGTGTTCCGCCTAGGCTTAGGGTTGAAATCCATCTAGATCACATGCATCGATAGCCGATAAGCTTATCCGTTATCAGTTCTCCACCCAAAAAAGTTGAAAATGCCCGACCTGCAACCAGACTCAACTTCCACTCTTCCAAGACACAGACAAAATCATCGGGCTATCGGACACCGAGATCACAATTAGCCATATACAGAATCTCGAAATATCTTCCCAGAACCCATTCCAACCCTCAACCCCAACATCCGCGCATCACAATCTCCCAGAAATCTCTGCGAGTCCCAGCAAACCGCATACCTCCAAATACCCAAAACATGACCAAAGCAACGACAAGGTCTGAGGCTGCTGCAAGCAATCCGTCTGCACGACCTCTCAACTTAACAGACCGCACCGCGTCTCGTCGACAGCGCGCCAACTCTGTTCAGTCATCCGACTCAGACCCAACCTCATCCTCGGGCTCATCTTCGGAGGACAACAGCGAGAGCGAAAGAGAAGATGAACAACACTCTGACCAAGAAACGGCTCGCACCGGAGAGTCGAGCACCCACGCAAATTCCTCTGATCCCTCCTCATTACCTCGCATCGCCGGCCGCCCGAAACCGCGCATACATCGCATGAAAGGCGATTCGGATATTTTGTCGCGGCTCAACTCTTTCTTGCCAAAGATGAAGGATGCAAATGAGGATTTGCAGAGGAAGATTGAAGCTGGGGAGGCTGGAGATCTGGTTCTCGATAATGCAGATGAGAATGGGGAGCAGTACATTGAAATGGTAAGGCTCATGATGATTTTGATGGGCTTTGCTAACCGATATCAGGATCTTGGTCTTGGAGTCTTGGAAGAGAAGCGAGATGGTGATTCTTCGAGTGGCGAGGAGAGTGATGACGAAGAGCATAAGGGTGCCACTGGGGCTGGAAAGACCGCCCAGGAGATGAATGACTCGGATATCATTGGGAAGCTCATGGGAGGTAAGAATAAGAAGTCGAATACGGATAAGCCGTCCATCGAGGAGATGGCTCAGTAGACATTGGCCTAGTGTGGTGGTGGGTTGCACTATTTATGACATTTGATGGAGATGTGTGGCCTTGATTCAATCATGACGATTTTATGGCTTGACAATTACTTGCATATCGTGGGCTCTGTGTTATCATTTAGCGTTTAATGCTTTGCTTTTTCCATCTATAGAAGTGGCTCCAAACCAATTGCTGCACAAAAACACCCATACATTCGTTCCCTATGTATGCCACTCGTCAGAAATCAAGTCTAGGTAACAGGCATGGAAGAAGAAGAAAATAGTAAAACAAACACGAGCATATCGCGAATCTCTATATATGCATGAACCCATCACACACTATGACCGAATGACATTATTAAAAAGTGATAATTTTACGTTTCGCTGTCTCGTTGTTTAGACCACTTCCTTGATGCGGCAAGTCCAGCCAGATTCCTGGCTCAGAAGAGGCAAGCTGTAGCAGGTCAGTATACTGATTAGAAAGAGACGGGAAGGAGTGAACTAACCTCGCACCAAGACACCAGCCCAGCTCGTTGTTCTTGATCTTCTTGGCGATCCTGACCTCGCGGGACAGGGGCATTTCGTAACCAGTGTGCAGCAGACCCATCATGAAGCTGAGGTCCATACACCAATCCGGACGATCCCGAAGTTGCACGAGCGCATTATCCTCACCCTCGAGCTTAACGGCCTCGAAGCCCTTCCATTCGCTCTCGCCAGCACAAACAGTGGAGGTCAGCTGGTTGAGTTCATCCAGAGTGAAAGATTCCGGCATGCCAAGAGGAGCCGTGCGGTCGAAGAAATAAGAGAAGATGTACACGTCCTCTCGGGCGAAAGTCTTCGCGAGAGAGGGCTGGTGCACGCCGTTGAAAGAGCAGGGTGCAAGCTTGCAGTCGCCGCTCTTCTTCAGAATCTTCTCGGCGATACCACGGCACTGGGCGGCCATAGACTTGTCCTTCGGGCCGACCATGGTCACTTCGACTTTAGGCCCCAAGGGATGGTCAGCGGGGAATTTGAGTGTAACTGTCTTCTTCATTCCAGGGCCAATGCAGGGGTTAGAGATGGGCTGCCCAACCCAGGTCAGGTCCTTGGGGCTCTGAGCTAGCATCGCTTCCACGACGATGGTGTTCATGGCCTCGCGGGCAGACATGAGACCGTATCCTAGATGAGAGTGCTGGTATAGCTCGAATTGGCGGCCACCGAACTTAAGGTCATACTTGTGATCACCGGCGGCGAGGTGCTCCGGCATACCACCAGCCTTGCTCTGCTCGAAGGTAGGCTGGAAGACAATCTGGGTGGAGCCGCCACCCAGATCAAAGATAGCGGCCGTGGGAGTCTCATCTGGGCCACCGATCTTGCCCAACAAATAGTTCGTCGTAATCCAAGCGTAGACACCTTCGTCCGAACCATCCATGATCTGGACACCGCCCTTCTCCCTGGAGACAACGGGGAAGGGGTAGGCGGTCTCCAGGCGGTGTCTTACGGCTTCCAAAATCTTGTCGCTCATTTCAGGACCTAGAAGACGAAGTCCGGCTGTGGCCTTGACAGCAACCGGAGAGCACGACCTGTACTCCTCAGGAACCGACTTCACAGCGACATCCATAAGAGGGTCCAGACTCAGGGCTGCACCCTCGGCATCCTCTCTAAAAGAGCTGAGACCGGAGCCTCCATCCTTCTTCTTCGTTTGTTCGAACACCTCGTTCTCAAGTTCTGGGGTAGGGCCGCAGTTGTTGAATCGGTACACGTGAATCCGAGACCCAGTGCTACCGGCATCGATCATAAGAGCATACTGAATAAGAGGCTTGGACGAATCAAATGGCTTGGTGCATACTCTCGAAGTGGACGCGCCACCGCTTGAAGGTGGTTGCTCTGCCAAATAATCAGTTCTGCGAACAGTAGCGCGCAAGGGGGATACCGACCGTTGGTAAGACCCGAAGCACTTGGCTGGGATGGGGAGAGCCAGACCAAAACCATGAAGATGAAGGCAATAATTGCCCCCGTCTTCAAGTAACGCGATCTCTGGGTCTGTGCCATGTTGACGGGTTGTTTTTCGGATATTTGATTGAACTCAATAGACTGTGAGAAAGCAGATCCGTCGCTCCGGGAGATTGAGCGGTGACGGCTGGCGGAATCTATGTAGTCAGATTTGCTGTTATGGTTTTGATTGTCGACTCCAGTCGACATTCGAGCAGTTGTCGAATTATAAAGGTACAGTGACAGGTGGCGTTTGTCGCTGGCGCAAGGATAGTTGAACGATTGTATGGGGTTAAGAGTAAGAAAGAAACAAGTAAGCAACCATTGATCCCGATGTCCTCCAAAAACACCAAGCCAATCTTGTAAGAAAAAAGTGGATGGATGTAAAAGGGAAAGTTGTCAGGAGAGAAAGGAGATTCAGAGTTTCATGGTTGTGGCGCAGATGTGGCGTTGAACGCATGCATGGATTGATTGTACATAATACAAACCTCGGGGGAGAACATTATTGAACTTCCAAGATCTACATACACTAGGAATGTATGGTATAAGGCAAAACATATCTCTCTTCTATTAAGACTCACCTTCCTGCATAGTACAAAGGGTACAGCTTGCATTGTTAGCGCGTAGTACATGATTGATGGATCTATCGCCACCTGGGCAGTATATTCCGACTACCAAACTGAGGGAGAAACGTCTATTCTCCATGTATCAAGATGACTGGCTTAGACCATGTGCTGGATGCCCTTGATGTGCAGTAATGTCAGACTATTTGGTAAGTACATAGGCATCATGAATTGGCCGGAAGCATCTAAGCTTGGTATGTAGGTAGTCCCCGGGGCCGGCCAGATGGTGGTTTACAAATGTTTGTCATGTTTGCATTCGGCGTATTTGACTTCCCCGTATTAGCGACCCATCGACTGTTCAATTTAATCCCCTCTGTGTTTCATCGTTGCAAGGCATTATATTTCTCCTTCTTGGTGAGCTCGCCATCCTTCTACGGCTCCCACTGTATTACCCGCTACCAGCCGACAACATGAACCACACACGCGGTCTCCTATCATCCGCCCAGGCCCTACGTCAGATATTCACCGTGTCCGTTCGCAGCTCCAGAGTTGGCATTCTTCCATTCAGACTTCCTCAGAATGCCCCCCAGACTCGATTTTTTCAACAATCCCGCTGCCTAAAGCTTCGAGAATATCGACCCCCCGTCGAAAAGCCCCCGATAAACGAAGCTATCCGTGCGTCATTTGTCCAAGTTGTGAACGATGAAGGCGATCTCGACCCTCCGACCAGACTAGAGGATGTCCTTGAAAGCTTTGACCACGACGAGTGCTTTCTTCTCCAGGTGCAAGAAGGAGACTATGACAACCCGCCAATTTGCAAGGTCTACAATAAGAAAGAAGTGCGAGCACGTGAAAAGGCCAAAGCAAAGTCAGCTCGCGAATCTAAGGTTACATTCAAACAAATTGAGTTGAACTGGGCAATCGATGCCCATGATCTGTCACACCGCCTGAAGCAACTCTCGACCTTTTTGGAGAAAGGCCGCAGGGTAGAAATCCTATTGACCACCAAAAAGCGCAAGCGCAACCCCACAGTTGATGAGATCAAACAGGTGATGCAGAGTGTGTTGGACACAATCAGAGAGGCCGGTGGAACTCAGACCAAGGCAATGGAGGGAGAACCGGGAAAGCAACTCAAGATTACTGCACAGAAGATGAACTAGCGGAGAGGACTGGTCACATGTATATTATATCGCATTGAACTGTACAACATGGCATCAGTTGTATAGCGCTGTTTGTTATCACTGTTAAGGATATGAAAGGATATGAACTTGTTGGATCCGTACACCATGATACCTGATGTCACTCCTACATACCTCGGAAGTAGCCCTAGAGAGCTTAGACCTGAGGCCCTTCAAATTGAGATAATGTCACTGATCATCAAGAAACATCTATATATACGTTGATGTTTTATCCCCCATGTTCAACATATTCTGTCCGCAATTCGAGGCCCGTGATTGGTTGATGACTAAGCCTGCCCTGAGGATCCATCCATCCCGGAAGCCATCTTACTAAAAAATTTGGTGTTGATCTGGGCTTCTTCTCTCCCATCCTTACTCCATCTGTTTAATCTTTCCTTTTTGTTCTTGTTCCATCGTTTTTGTTTCGATTGAACCAAGATGTCGACCATCTCCCGTTCATTGAACCTCCTGGCGCGCACCAGCCGGTCCTCCCTGCTGCGTCCGACTACCGTCAACCCCGTCCACCATGTCTTCAGCAACAAGGTGACCGGCCGTGGATTGGCTACTGCTTTCGAGCGTAACAAGCCCCATGTGAACATTGGTAAGACCCTGTCTCTGGCGCATCATCCGTCCCCATGCTAAAGGTTATTTCCCAGGTACCATTGGTCACGTTGATCATGGCAAGGTAAGCTATTTGCGACTTGTTCCGATGTTTCCGCCACCCGAATATCGAATTTAACGCATACGCCCATAGACTACCCTGACTGCCGCCATCACCAAGTACCAGGCCTCCAAGGGTCTTGCCAACTTCCTCGACTATGCCTCCATTGACAAGGCCCCTGAGGAGCGCAAGCGTGGTATTACCATCTCGACTGCCCACATTGAGTTCGCAACTGAGGACCGTCACTACGCCCACGTCGACTGCCCCGGTCACGCCGATTACATTAAGAACATGATTACTGGTGCCGCCAACATGGATGGTGCCATTGTCGTCGTTGCTGCCTCCGACGGTCAGATGTACGGCCCCAGTCTAGAAAGCTAGTTTGAAGAATGTGCTGACGCAAATCACGCAATAGGCCCCAGACCCGTGAGCACTTGCTGCTTGCCCGTCAAGTCGGTGTTCAGAAGATTGTTGTGTTCGTTAACAAGGTCGACGCTGTCGACGACCCTGAGATGCTTGAGCTTGTCGAGCTTGAGATGCGTGAGTTGCTCTCCTCTTACGGATTCGAGGGTGAGGAGACTCCTATCATCTTCGGCTCTGCTCTCTGCGCCCTAGAGGGCCGCCGCCCCGATATTGGTACCGAGCAGATTGACAAGCTCATGAAGGCCGTCGACACTTGGATCCCTACCCCCGAGCGTGATATGGATAAGCCTTTCCTCATGTCCGTTGAGGAAGTCTTCTCTATTCCTGGCCGTGGTACTGTCGTCTCTGGCCGTGTCGAGCGTGGTCTCCTGAAGAAGGATACTGAGGTTGAAATTGTCGGTGCCACCGACTCCGGCAACCCCATCAAGACCAAGGTTACCGACATTGAGACCTTCAAGAAGTCCTGTGATGAGTCCCGTGCCGGTGACAACTCCGGTCTCCTGCTCCGTGGTGTCCGCCGTGAGGACATCCGCCGCGGCATGGTCGTTGCTGCCCCTAACAGCACCAAGGCCAACAAGAAGTTCCTCGTGTCCATGTACGTTTTGACCGAGGCTGAGGGTGGTCGCCGTACTGGCTTCGGTGCCAACTACCGCCCCCAAGTCTACATCCGTACTGCTGGTAAGTTCAATTTTTCCCAATCTATCTTAATATCAAATCAATACAAGGGATACTAACTATGCTCTAGATGAGGCTGGTGATCTCAGCTTCCCCGATGGCGACATGGCCAGACGTGTCCAGCCCGGTGACAACGTTGAGATGGTCCTCAAGACCCACCACCCCGTTGCTGCCGAGCCCGGTCAGCGCTTCAACATCCGTGAGGGTGGCCGCACCGTCGCCACTGGTCTGATTACTCGTATCGTCGAGTAAATGGTCCGCTCACACCCATGGTCAGACAGGCGAAGTGTCTGACCCTTGTATTATGAACCCCTTTTCTTTAACATCTTGTTTGTTTTGGCACCTTTTATTCCACAGCCCGGGAATCATCGATCAGCACGAGGGATCCGGGGGGTAAACCGGAGTTTTCGCTTGAATCTTGTTCATGTACCTCTACTGTCTTGGAGATGTAGTCGGATTTTCTTTCATTTCTCCACTCCCGTGAAAATGTATTCAGATCAAATTCTTCCTAGGCTCATATATAATTTTAGTCAATGCCCAAGTCAATGTACGATATCCCACTGCTCGACCCTGATTTGGTCTATTCCATAATAAGAACGAATTCAGAAGCTAGGTACATCAATGCTTGACTAGCATCTTGCATCCTACGCTACCGTAGGAATCGCAATTCGTCCGCCCTGTTGATACCGAAGAACGCTATATCGGTCCTTTTGACTGATTAGTGCTTTGCCCAATGCTTGATTTCCTTATCGTTTACTAATAAATACATGTACGCTGTGGATTCTCAAATACCCTGGGCGCAATCAGGCATAGACATCAATCAACCACTGTAATGAGCCTGGGCAGCTTCCCTTTTTCAGTACTCACTGGCTTATCAAACCTTCTCAGCCTCCTTATGAAGTTGTAGGATATTGCTTATCATGTGGTGGCGTAAACGGGCTGGGCCCTGTTACATATATATGTACAACAAAAGGTGGCGCAACTATGTGTGTTTGACCAGCTCCGTACTTCGTATTCAACAGCCCCGAGAAGTGCTGGCTCAATATGAAAGGCTGTATATTGAAGCAGGGATGTCATGATGTTTGCCCAAAACACTGTGCTACAGCCTACATGTACATACCTGAAATATACACTACTAAACATAAGTAGGTTGGCGCGCGGACATGATCTTCAGCTGTTCTTAACTCTTCTTCAAAAATGATGTAACTCGACTTGCTGGTATCGACACTATATATTGTATAGAGCTAGGCCTTGACAAATGCGTCAGGGAGGGGGGTTGAAGTACAAAGATTTTAGTGCTGTACGCTGTGGCACCTTGGCCTGCAGCACCTCGCTACTATATGCTGATATGCTAGCAGCTGCCAAACGCCCCAAACAGATGGATAAAATGCTAAGTTATCATAAAATACTGTTCAATATATTTACATGCCTCGAAATAGCGCTACACTAGTATAGTGTTACGGACTTCTCTCCTCCGAAGTGCGGGGGTACATAGTAAGAAGTATACTCCGCAAGCATTGGTCTCTATCTTGTACTCCGTACAGAGATCAGGGCTAATTACCTTGAAATATTGCAATGGCCAAGCGGTTTTACCAAAAGACTTGCATCCTTGAACTAGAACTTTCTAGTAATTCTTTTTAGGGATATTATAGTGATTATGAGCGTAAGGGGCGCTGAGATCTCTCATTGGATCTCCATAATTTCCTATCGTTAGGCCTTCTAGATCATACTTCATATCAATTCACTGATACGTTATCAGACTTCGCTTACACAGTTCATGTTCATACGTGTTGCTAGTAACCTCACTAAACCAATCCGGAGAAATGGAGAAATGCAACCAATATTATATTAAATATACTAGCTCCACAAACAATACCGGATAAAAGGAAACAAATCCCAAATATATATAGGGAAACGCCATGGGCACATGTATAGCGGGCTTTCCTGGAATTTTACTTATTTTCTTCGAAGACTGCGGTAATATTCTATACTACCATGAAGCATCGAGATGATCTTGGTTCTGTGGCCGGGGGTGGGCCAGTTGCTACAGCACCATTGCAAGCTCAAGATGCATCGACTTACCTTTTCACATTGTAAGATATCATTTGTGCGTTAATCGATCGGAGAGAAGCCTAATGACCTCCACAGCGGAGATTCCTACACCCAAACCGAGTTCACTGTCGATGGGACACAGCCATCTACCACAAACCCGATGGGAAACCCAACGTTAGGTGGGCACTATTCCCCTGAACAAGTAGGATTGAATCAAGAAACTCATGAAGTCAAATAGGGACCGGTACAACGAGCGGTGGGACAAATTGGGTCGGATACCTGACCACTCTATACAATGCCTCACCGGTACTCAGCTACAACTTCGCCGTTGGAGGGGCGACAATCGACAACTCTATTGTGGATACCAAGGTCAAGGATGTAACAACGCAAGTCCGGGACTTCGAGTTAGCGTATAGCAAGAAGCCTGTATCTGCACCGTGGTCTTCAGAGAGTGCGGTGTTTGGGTTCTGGATTGGAATCAATGAGTATTGCCTCTTAATACCCCCGTTGCTGGTTATGTTCTAATATTCTTAATGTGTAGTATCGGCTGGGGTCATCAGGACACCCAACCTAGTGTACTTGTGCCGAGATTAATGGCCCAGTACAAATGTCTCGTTGAGAAGATATATGCATCTGGCGGACGGAAATTCCTTTTCCTCAATGTCCCGCCGACAGATCGGAGTCCTATGATCATCAAAGAGGGGCCGGAAGCCGTCAAAACATACGCTACGTGGGTGAAAGCTTATAACAATGGCCTTGAAACAATGATCAATGACTTCAAGTCAAGCCACACTGACGTACGTTTTGATCTCTTACATTGTTTTCACAAAACTAACTTGATCGTAGACTACCATCGTTCTTTACGATACCTGGTCCTTTATGCCAAAGATTCTGGACGATCCTCAGACATATGGATTTCCGAATGCCACTTGTTTCAATGAGAATGGCATCTCCTGTATCTGGTGGAATCATTATCACCCCGGACAGAACTATCATAAACTACAGGCAGCGGATATGATACAGTACTTGCAGCCTCTCGGTGCTTGGTAGACTGAGGCGGATCGAGATGGATAGAAGTGAATTAGGGGATATCAAAAAATAGATAGAATAAATAGCATTGAGAGAAATCCTCACGGTCTTATACATATTAACTCCGTCGTACGGACTTAACGGAAGAAGCGTATTGCATCTGATTGGCCCGGACGAAATATCGCACCGATTCGGCCGAACTTTGACGGACGAAGACATCTATGAGAAGCATTCAACTGTGTGGACTCCTTTTTTGTTTATTTGAGATTACATAGGATTGATCTGAGCTTTAGAGCTAGCTTGACTCGTTAGAACTATTGCATCCCTTTCTCTGTCATCTCGTCTTGCTCGCGATATTGTTCCTCGCCACAGGATGCTGCACAACCTACAGTCACTGATCTGATCAACTCTCACAACAGATCAGTGGACATATAATCTTATCCTTGCCTTTTCGCTGTACGGGCTAAGATGGAAAACTGGACAGACCAAGGACCGGCGCGAAAGAGGATGAGAAAGGGGACCAGAAGTTGCACAGAATGTACGTGTCAAACAGTAGATTTGATATGTCTGCGCTAATGATGTTCAATTATAGGTCGGCGACGCAAGATTCGATGCACATTTCACCCCAACCGCCCGACAGTCTGTAATGAGTGTCGGTCCAGAGGTACGAAATGTGTTGATCAAGAACATACAGTTATTACCCCTCCATCATCCGGCTACCAGCGGAACTCCCAACTAGGCGAACAGCCATACAGTCTCCGCGAGCGAGTCGCGCACCTGGAGAACCTTGTCGAGGGGTTGACCAAACGACTAGACCAGCAGGACTCTCGCACTCCGCTCAGCGAGCACCATGGGACAAGTCAATGTTGGTATATCCCGGACGCGTGTGGATGGATTTCGCGTGACTGACATTATGGGGCGGAAGGTGTACAAGCCCATTCGAGGCCACTGGCTACTGAGACAGACGAACTAGGCCCGTCTAGTGACCAGATTTGCAATGCGCCGGTGCTACAACTGTTTGATAACTATATCGTGAGCCGCGAAAAGGACTCGTCGAATAATGATAAATTCGCCGGTGTTCAGGACATGTCGCCAAAGGCCGAAGCAGTGCGCGCAGAACTCATGTCTCTCCTTCCTCCCGCAGAGGATATGAATAGTATAATAAACTCGTCCTTCCATTGGTTTGTGTGGCATGATCATTTTCCAGATATGTTCGATCGACATGCCGACCGACTCGTCTTTAATGAACATTGCCACGATGCTCTAGTGGCGCCCGCCGAAGTCGCCAAGGCACTCATCTGCCTGTGTATCAGTGCGATTCATGCCCCGTCTAAGTTTGACTTTGGTACTTTAATCGTACCATTCGAGCCTCAAAAGTTCTATGAGAAATGCACTGAGACCGTGGACCGCTTAATTGTCCGTGATGATGACTTCGCCGCTACCTTGCCCGGTATAGAATGCCAGCTGTTGCTCCAAAGGGCTCACATGACTGATGGCCGGCTCCGGAAAGCTTGGCTGGTCATTCGTCGAGCAATCGAGTTTGCCCATCTAGCTGGAATGCATTTGTCCACTAAGATTCCAAGGCCAGGCGATTCTTTATATGCAAGGCGCTTGAAAATCTGGTGTTACCTGGCAACATCGGATCGATTCCTAAGTTTGATTCTTGGCCTGCCTTATGGTATCACAGATCAATTCTTTTTGCCACAGGCAGAGCAACGTCTCAAATTCAACTTATCAGCTCCTGAGGAATACCTGTTGCGCATTGGCATTATCACGGGACATATGGTTGACCGAAACCAAGACCCTTCCAAGATGACTCTCACAGCAACTTTACGATTGGATCAAGAGCTGCAGGATTCTTGGAAATCTATGCCCAGCCACTTCCAAGCCGCAGAGCCTTGCCAACACGAGAAACGGGAACACTACAATGAGAGGGTCCCGTTGCAATTCATGCTCAAGCTACTGCGTGCTATTCTCCATCTCCCATTGATGCTGCAATCCCCCCTTGAGCCTCAATTCCTTCCCTGCCACACGATCGCGATTCAATCCGCAAGAGAAGGACTCATTCTATACAAGGTCCTTCGATCCACCACCAAACCCTCTTTGTGCAAAATGATCGACTTTATGGCCTTCACGCTGTGTCTTCTTTTGATAATACACCTGCAAGGCTATTCCGAAGAGAGTCCAGATCATAGCAAAGAGCAAGACGAAGAAGACTGGGATATAGTAAAGAAGGTCGTCGAGACCCTTCATCTGGCGGCAACAGAGCTAGGAGGCTCAGTTGCTACCGAGTCTGCGAACATCCTCGGCGCCATCTACAACACCAGACATATTAAACCTGATTGGGGCTCCATATCGAGCTGCAAAATTACAGTGCCCTACTTTGGTACTATTACGGTCAGTGCAGGAAGCAAGTTCTTCAAGGGTCGCCCCCAAAGCAAGGAGCAGGCATCAAAAGTATTAGGCACAATGGGGCCAGAGGCCTCTCCCTCGGTACAATGCCCTAGTCAGCTCTATACTACGCCGATGTCTGACCCTGAAGGTGCATCAGGTACCAACACTGACGCCTTGAATGGTGCTTCCATCACACCCACGATGGCGCCTGGATATCCAGACGAGTCATGGCTTCCGAGAAGTGAAACAGTGACAAATCCATATGCTGGCCTGGAGTTCAACGCGTTTAGTGGACTGTTCGATGATTTCGGGCAGTATATGTGGCCAAACCGCAGTGTTGACCTCGGACTTGATCAGGGCTGGAATCTAAATTGGTCAGATGGTGTGCCACCACCATGAATTCAGATACTCTTGTGACTTGACTTCACTGTCTCAAATCCGTACACGGTGTAGATTAGAACAGTTGAGAATATACATATCCTGTGGAGGGAAATGCAATTTCTATCATTTGATTGCATGATCGGGGGCACTGGATCTGTTGACAAACACGGGTCAGATCCAAATAGCCAAGTGGTATTGGTTTCCTGAAATGTCAATATTATTAAATAATATCTCAATATGTTGATAAAACGTAGAATAGATTAAAACAAAAACAAGAAACCAAGTCCAGAGTGGTCTAAAAAGTGACGTTACCGGGGTTAAAGGGGTTTATGTAAGACTGTTTCCCCAGCATCGACCTCGGGAGTTGATCATCTTAATGAACCCGTGAAACGACCGTGTGATCCCTAAATTCTTCCCATTTCTTCCATTTGATTAGTCTGTTGCTTTTTCCAGTTGCATGGTCCTCTAGATCCTAGTATATCTTTGCTCTTTCAACTCGCTGTTGCCACAACACCTCCCCCTCCCCCAAAATACACAGAGCAGAGGAAGATAAACATGACTGAACGACGCCCCTCGGGCTTGGAAAGGAGTCCAACTGCGCCGCCGATTCTCTCAAATGGCCACTTTGCTTCGATCGGCGCCGAAGGCGATGCTGCTTCTTATGAGCATGGCGTGCAGGTGATTGATGAGAATAAGGAGTTCAAGTACGGCAACCTCCCTTTGCTATGGTTCATCCATTTATAAAGCTTCGAAGCTGATCGCATCACTCTAGTCCCAACCTGTCCAAATATTTGTCCCTTGAGAACGTCACGTCGGCTGGTTTCAACTACCATCTCATCTCCGTGTTTGGTTCGCAATCCACCGGAAAGTCCACACTGCTCAATCACCTGTTCGGTACCGAGTTCTCCGTGATGTCAGAGCTGGAAAGAAGGCAAACGACAAAGGGTATCTGGCTGTCGAACAACAAGAAGCAGGGCGCACCTGGCGCAGCGGAGCGCATGGCGGATAACATCTTGGTCATGGACGTGGAGGGAACTGATGGTCGCGAGAGAGGTGAGGATCAGGACTTCGAGCGCAAGAGTGCGCTTTTTGCGCTTGCGACGAGTGAGGTCCTCATTGTCAACATCTGGGAACACCAGGTGGGGTTGTATCAAGGAGCCAACATGGGGTTGTTGAAGACCGTGTTCGAAGTTAACTTACAGCTGTTCCTAAAGGATAAACAGTATGTATCATTGTGATCGTCCCCTTCTCTATGCGTTTTGGATGCTAATCTCTCTATAGTACCACCCACCGGTCCCTCCTATTCTTCGTCATTCGTGATTTCATCGGCAACACACCACTCAAGAACCTGCAGAAGACCTTATTGGAAGACCTCTCCCGTCTCTGGGACACTATATCGAAACCTGCGGGCTTGGAGAAGTCGACGATTCACGACTACTTTGATTTCCAATTCTATGGACTGCCGCACAAGGGTTATCAGCCTGAGCAGTTTGTGACTGAGGCAAAGAAGCTTGGCCTACGTTTCCGTGAAGGTCACCGAGACCCAAAGAGGGATGCGCTCAAGGGCGAGTTCTCGGAAGGAGGAGTCTTCCTACCTGAGTATCATCGCCGTATCCCAGCCGATGGATTCTCACATTATGCGGAGGGAATTTGGGATCAAATTGTCAACAACAAGGACTTGGATTTGCCCACACAGCAGGAATTGCTTGCCCAATTCCGTTGTGACGAAATCTTGCGCGAGGTAATGATCGGCTTCGATGAGGCGATCGTCGCATTTGAAGATAAGCAGGCCGAATCAGTGCGTCTTGGTGCGCCTGAAGTCTTAGGGGGACTTGGCGTTGCCATGCGTGCTGCGCGCGTCAAGACCCTAAAGAGCTTTGAGACGGAAGCCAGCCGATACCACAAGGGTGTTTACCAACGGAAAAGCGCTGAGCTCCAGGGCAAGGTCGACACACGCCTCAAGGCACTTTTCCACGGCCAGCTATCTGCAGCTCACAAGTCTGGAATTCGCGACTTCAGTGATTCGGTCACCGCTGCTGTGAAGGATGGCCAGAAGAAGGGCGCTAACTACGAGTTCGCCGAAATCGTCACAAAGGAGGCCCAGTCTTCGTTGGATAAGTTCGAGGAGGTTGCGCGCTCCACATTGGTGGATGGAGCTTCCTGGAGCAACTACAAGCAAGAGCTATCTTTGTATAAGAAAGAATTGGATGAGGTCAGCGCCCGACTACGCCGAGATGAAATGAGACGGCTGGCTACCCGCGTCGAGCGGTGGGTTCAATCTCGTCTGGGTGAATCTGTTGGCCTCGAGTTTAATGCCCTCGGGTCTGGAAGAGCTGGCGGTGGTGCCCCCGAGAACGGGGAGAAGCCTGCCGAAAAAGACTTCTGGGATCGGATCTGGAACTTGTTTGAAGATACTGTTCTTGACGCTGAACGGAGATTCACGGACCGTGCGAGCAGCTTCGATGCTAGCATTGATGAAGTCGATGTTGGCCTTTGGCGACTGCGCCGCAAATCTTGGGGTGTTCTCCGCGCCAAGATTGAAGAGGAGATGATTGAGGGCAACTTGCTCCTCAAACTTCGGGAGAACTTCGAGGACAAGTTCCGCTATGACGAAGCTGGTGTGCCACGCATTTGGCGCCCAACTGATGACATCGAGGGCATTTACACCCGTGCTCGCGAGTCCACCTTGACGCTGATTCCTCTTCTGTCTCGTTTCCGCCTGGACAGGACTGGTGGCCCACCCCCGCTTGACCGATGGATTGGACACACCCCAAGCACTGCGACATCTGCGGATGAGGAGGATCTGGCCCCCATCGGGGGTGTGGACGAACACGAGGGCAAGAGTTTGGAAGAAGAGATGACAATTCTTAGCGATACGAAGCGCCAAGAGCTCACTATACGATTTAAGAAGACCGCAGACGGTGTCTATGTTGAGGCCAAGCGGAGTGCCATCGGCGGTATGACACAGGTCCCCTTGTATTTCTACGGTTTGTTGCTGGCTCTAGGCTGGAACGAAATCTGGGCTGGTAAGTTTTTATTGATGAATCCTTCATTTTCGCATTTACTAATATACTGCACAGTCTTGCGCAACCCGGCTTACTTTATTCTGCTATTTGTGTGTGCTATTGCCGCATACATCACATATCACCTCAACCTGTGGGGTCCCATGCTGAAGATGACCGAGGCCGCCTCCCAGCAAGCTCTGGTAGAAGGCAAGCGCCGCCTGCGCGAGTTCCTCGAATCCTCCGACACTGGTCGGCAGGCGATTGCTATGTCGGCTGGGGAGCGTGCTGGATCTTCAGACCGAAAGGAAGAGTATGAGATGTCGGATATGCAGAAGGGTGGCTCAAGCGCTAATGACGACCTGGATGACATGTAAATTTGCTTTTTTGCTGTGCTCTTCTGGCGATCCTGTATCCTGTACTTTACTTTACTTACTGTAGCTTCTATATGCATACTAGTACAACATGGACTTTTTGACTACAATATCATTGCCTACAACAGGACAGGACATGCGGTGTTGATACCAACTCCACTTCTCCATTTAGACAACATAGAGATGGCGACTACACAATATCATAGTATACGCCTAGTGCTCTTGTCGACGAGAGACGGTATGCTACGAACGGTCTGAGGTGGGCGTTCTAGGATAGGAATTTGAAGGAGGTCAAAAGCGAAGGGGGGGGGGGGGGGGATTATACTCGCAGGTGGAGACAACGCGCCTTCCAGAAAGAGAAAAGATGATTACAATTACCTCATTAGAATAGGGAAGGAACGACCGAAGACGCTTCCTGGATACCGAGGAAGCGGTGATAGGGCCTGGTACATCCAATGGGCCTTGACATGCTTCCAATTTGCATCAGAACTCAACTTCTACATCACCTTTCTTAGTACAAATGTAGTTAACACTTGACGGGTCTGTTGTCATCCTGCTTTGATGGGCTCATACTCATACCCTACACTCAAACACTGCACAAGTCCACACAAAACACATCTATTGAGTATTCAGTTTCGACTAAATTGGCATTGAGCTCTGCGGCTCTCTCATTGTGGGGGGTCATACGTCAAAAGGGACCGGACTTCCTCCGAGGTGAGGGGTATATTCAACCATTCGTTGGTCGCTCTTGCTACATGAATCACATAGCTTGTGTTCTTCCTAGCATTGAAAGTTCAGCTAATCTGCTTCTCCGATCCCCCCCCCCCCCCCCCCGAACCATGTCTGGCATTCCCAATCTCCCAGAGACATACGATGATCTCCCCGACAAGCGTCGCTTCTGGTCTGGGACCGCAGGGTCAGAAGAGGAAGGGCTGGGAATGCTCCGCCTTTTAACGCCCGACATAGTTGCTCAAGCCGCACGAACACAAATCCAGACCGGCGAGCGAGTATGCTTAAACTGGAATATGGAGAATTTGAGCCCACCAGGTAAAACAAGGGCACCTAATTGTCGATAAACTATAAAAGATCTTAAGACTCACGACTTGAGAAACTAGGGTTCGGCCGCAAGCCATTCGAGCACCGAGTTAAATGGGTCGCTGAGGGCGTCGCCTTCGACGACGAGTACCACTTCAACCCACAGCAATCATCCCAGTGGGACGGCCTCCGGCACCACAATGCGCCAGCACCGACACCAGAAGATCAAGATCGACGTCTTTTCTATGGCGGCACGACCGCAGAGGAAATTCTAGATGAGAATTCGTCACGGATTGGCATTGGATTTTGGGCGAAGAAGGGCATTGCCGGGCGTGGCGTGCTAGTCGACTACGTCTCCTACGCGGAGAAGAAAGGCCTCAGTGTAAACGCGCTGAGTCGGCAGATGATCTCACTAGATGAGGTACAGGAGATCGCGCGCGAATGCAACATCAAATTCCAGAAGGGCGATGTCTTTTTCTTACGGGTTGGCTTGCCTAAGACGTGGGAGCAGATGTCGGCCGAGGACCGGGTGGCTTATAGTCAGCAGGGAATGCCGCAGCATGCTGGAATCGAACAGAGTGAGCGGGTGCTGCGCTTTATATGGGATAATCATTTTGCGGCTGTTGCGTCTGATGCTGTTAGTTTCGAGGTTTACCCGCCGCTGAACCCCGAGTTTGATTTGCATCATCATTTGCTGGCTGGGTGGGGTGTTCCTATTGGGGAGATGTTTGATTTGGATGAGTTGGCTGCAACGTGCAAGCGGTTAGGTCGCTGGAGTTTCTTTATCTCGAGTAGCCCGTTGAACTGCTCCCGGGGAGTTTCTAGTCCGCCCAACTGCATGGCTATTTTCTAGGAATATCCCAAGGCTTGTATATATTCCTGGCAATACATCGAACAACCCATACCACGTGGTCCCAAACACTAGTAACTCACTAGACACTAGACACCTAGATTACAAGGCCACAATTTTATATGGCGCACTTTCTCCTTTTTTTTTTTTGCTTAGAAAGCACTTTCATTTTAATGAATTTCCAAATCCAGTTGTCTCGACAACTTCGAAATTCTCATTCCTTTTGAGATATGACGAAATGAGGCTATCCCGAAAGTCTAAATATCGTGCCCTAGCCTTATCAACATCATTTTTTCCCTTTAAAGGGGCGTCCTGCTATCTAACATTTTTATTTTTCTCCCGGTATGCCGACCACAATCAAACGGTTGGCGGGTCTTCTGCCCTGCATCCTCCTAGTTATAGGGCTCTATATTTACTATCAACCTGAACCACGACCACTCACCCACAACGGAGTACTTGACAAATTTCCTGCTAAAAAGCCAAACAGAGAGCAGTTATTTGATGGCTCCTGGGATTATCAGCGCGATAGGGATAACCTGATGCTCACGCAAGTCCAATGTGACCAGGCATTTCCCGATCTATACGCCGAACTTGATCGCGCCAGGGACGATCGCAAATCTCGTCCGATATCTCTCAAGGAACTGGATGCGATCCCAGCCCGAAATGGATATATTCGAGCTATGATATATGACCAACAGGTAAATAACATGATCATTTTGTGGATTATTCAAGTAGTGCTAAGCATGGTTTAGTTGTATGTAATCGACAAGGAAGGCTCCATTTGGTCCCGAGAAAAAGCTACACTGTCTGCGATAAACCGAGCGATCCTTTCATCGCCGGAGCCGCTCCCCAATATTGAATTCGTTTTCAATACAGACGACTCGGTCGATGAATTGCCCCTTTGGGGATATGCCCGTCGCGCAAAAGACAAGTCTATATGGTTGATCCCGGATTTTGGACACTGGTCCTGGCCGGAGACAAAAGCCGGGTCTACACGCGAAGTGCAAGCCAAAGCTGAATGGGCGGAAGAAGAAGGGCTGGCCTGGAGCAATAAAACGGCCAAGCTGCTCTGGCGCGGAGTGCCCAACATGGGCCCAACAATCCGGAATAAGCTTATCCAGGTGACGAAAGACAAGTCCTGGGCGGATGTGAAGGCCCTTGTGTGGAACGACAAGGACAGTTTGAAAAATGACTACAAGACTATGCCGCAGCACTGCGAGTATCAATATGTTGCGCAGACAGAAGGGAATACGTACTCTGGTCGTCTGAAGTATCTCCAGAGTTGCAGGAGCGTGGTTGTCTCGCACGAGTTGGAGTGGGTCCAGCATTACTATCATCTCATGAAGTCCTCAGGACCCGAGCAAAACTTTGTTCAGGTGAGGCGTGACTGGTCAGATCTGGAGCGACAAATGCAGCATCTTTTGTCTCACGATGATGAGGCCAGACGGATTGCGGACAACAGCATTCGAACTTTCCGCGAGAGGTATCTCAGTCCTGCGGCGGAGGTGTGCTACTGGCGTCGGTTGATGCGGGAGTGGAAGAGCATCATTGATTTCGAGCCTGAATTCTTCAAAATGGTGGATGGGAAGAAGGTTTGGAGAGGCATTTCCGTGGAGAGTTTCTTGTTGATGGGAGAGGTGGAGTATGATCCCCGGTGAAAGAAACAAGGTCGTATCTCCAACCATATTCTCAGACCTATAGGTACATAATAGACAGAAGAAGAGGAAGAAGGAGCAGTACATAGTCCAAGAAGGAGTGAGACTATGGTCTACTGTGGTCCCAAGGGAACGAACCTAGGACATTTGCCTCATTACAGAAACATATACACCAACCGGCTATACTAGATCATATCTGATTTATGCATCTTTCGTCTCTCGGAACAGACACCAAGAATGGGTCGTGCTTGAATGAAATGGTACTCGGTATCTTACCGTGAATATAATATGGAGGATGCACAAACCGAGCCTAAGAGGAATATCACGAGGCTTGCGTTTTGGTTCTTACGTGTTACTGCATCTATGTTGGTTATGACGTAAAAAAAGTTCATATTATACAGGGGTATCCCGTAGAATGAATAAGACTTATGAACAGGTCAACAGTGAAGACATCATGCACGCTCAATCGTAAATTGCAAAGAAACCTCCCATCTTTGACTCCCGGTGCCATACCCGCCACCCAGCCTGTTGCGAATCAAGCTGGAGATCTTCTCCCGTAGCCGGGCAAGATTGTCCTCAGAACCAGTGACTCGTAGCTTGAGGTTTGCCATACATAGCCCATAATGGACCTGCCAGAATCGAGCGTCATCAATCCCGAACACAGAAGGGTCGGCTTCAATATCCTTGATGACATCAGAAACTCCTTGGCCGGAGTAGGACATGAGAAGCATGGAGCCTAGAGTCTTGACTAAGCGAGTTCCTAGGAAGCACATTGAGAAGGCAATGGTTCCAGACAGGAGCTTATCGAGCCAGTCGTAGATGCGGATTGAGACCAGAGGTAAAAGCAGCAGCAAAGTTGAACAAGAGAGAGTGAGGAAGTGAGACGGGTTGCTCAAGACCGACGGAAGAGACTGGATGTACCCAAATCGCATAGCCTTCCCAATTCGAGCGTGGTTCTTGAGACCAATTGCCGACACAAGCGTCGACGAAATAGCTAGAACTGCAGTCACATCCACGCTACCCAGAGATACCCGATCATGCTCATGCGGGCGATGAGGCTCATGACCAGACTTCTCGAGGAAATGTTGCAGATTGTGGGAGATAAGATCCATCCCCATAAACAAAAGAAGTACAGCCATCGCAAACCCGGCTAGAACTTCTGCACGTTCAAGGCCGAACGGGTGGCGGATAGTCGATCGCTTCCAGACTTCAAAATTGCCCAGCACATCAACCGCAACACACAGGAGAGCGCCAAGTGAATCAAACAGAATCAGATGCGACAATGCTGTCATGGCAAGGGACCCATGCGCGGTCCAGAGTGTGTATGCCGCAATGAACATATGACAGAGACTCCACCAGAAGCGGGTCTTTTGGTCCTTTGACATGCTAGATCGGCATTCTTTCAGTGTTGGCATAGGTAGGGAGTTCGGAAGGGCTAGGGGCGCGCGAGGAGGAGGCTCGAGGAAGATCTGATGCGATATGCTACTGTGTTTGTACTTGTGGCCACGACGTTGTCCCATGTTCTAAAACACGAGGGAACAAGTTAGCATCACTGCCATCACAAGTCATCGACGCGGTTCAACTCACCGATTTGATCACTGGGCTCTTCGCCATAACAGTAGTATTGAAATTGAATGGCCCCGTAGGGGACGAGTCGTTAGGGCCATTTTCGATCGGTGTCTCTGCATCTTCAGGCGAGGTTGCCAGGTTGAAAGAGGACTTCGTTGGGCTTAGGGTATCTCTGCTTTCATCATCCATAATACCCTTCGGAAAGGAAGCCTTGAGCGGCGATAGGGCATTGCGATCGATAGGGATCCCTGAGTTAATCTGGGAGGCATATTCGTCATCCGCTGGCGGAGTGGGGGTGCGCGGCGGAAGAGGAAGAGGAAGGTTCGAAGCCATTGCGCTGGCTTTGCGAACAGAATGCCTTTATGAATTGATGGTTATGAACACATTAGGTTGAGGCTGGGGGATATCAACCCCCCGGACGAGCCCCGGTGTTTCTGCCGATCATCACGTGGGCGGCCTCAAGGTACCCTAAAACCTAAAAGCCTTAGCGCATTCCTGCCGTATCTATAGCCTCTTGAATTAGGGATTGAATGTATGAGGGTCGGTTCATGGGTATTATTTGTACAAAAAGGGTCCCGGGGTGGTATCATCAGCTTGTTCCCGGGCTTAAATCTTATCCAATAAAGATCTGAGACCTGCAGGATCATGCACAAGTACGACAGACTGCATTAAGGGAAGATTAACTTGGCGGCCAGTTAGGGAATATTATAATACAAGTGTCCAAGGCCCAATCTTGGATAATCAGGTCATCCATGTTAAATCTCGGTACCGGCTTCTCGCCTTGTCAACGTCGTCGAATCCCTAGGCCTAATTCAACTTCAAGACGAACACTCTGGCGTCCCCATAAGTGAAGCGTTTGGAAAAGGCCAGCCACGCCCACTTGGAAAGCTAGATTATTAACCTTCCAAATGGGAGATTGTCTATACAATAATTTTCGATTTTCTTCCACGCTATACATGAGGTCCAGTCCGCAAGTTCGTAGGGGATAAGGATTTCGTACTCTAGTTCGTGGATCCGGGATCGCTGAATAGAACGATCGTCAGATGTGAGCTGGCGAAATTATATCAAGGGAATAATTCCGGGTTGTCCCTCTTCTTTATGTTGATCGTCGCTATACACGACTAGGTTGGAGTAGATCAAGGTGTTTCCAGGGGGTCTTTTCAATGGTTATATTTGAATGTAGGGAAGGGTATTCAAAGCCGAAGCAAAAGGTAAAGGAGACAATACCAAAAATAGAGAGAGAAACAAGGAAAAAGAAGAGAACGAAAAGGTTCTTACGGATTATAATTGCGGACTTGGCGCAGTCGTTTAACCACATGGGCTCCAGACACTAGCTTAGGTTGATAAAGACACAGAGTGCACTAGAACAATATATATCAAGTGGTAAGAGAATCTCTATAATTAGTATCTCTAGATGAATACCCGGTCAATTTGCTTCAAAACGCTTAGCAATGATTTACACTATTTCAATATATCGCTTGAACTCCCTATAATTGAGTTAGCCTTGCATCCATAAGCACAATACTTTCGACTTACCAATCAGTCACAGCCTCTCTCCAAAGACCCAATTCGTGCTGTCTTGTGGCTGTGAAGAAATCTACGAACTCCGACCCCAGAACCTCCCGTGCAATGCTTCCTGGAGCCGAGAACCGGTCCAAGGCCTTGTCCAAAGTATTGGGCAGAAGCTCTGGACGCTCCCCGGGCGTGCATGCGGACATAGGTGGGACCTTGATCTCAAGTTTCTTCTGTACACCCCTCCAGCCTGCTGCAAGGATGACACTCAGCGCATAATGGGGATGTAAATCAGCCCCAGGGATGCGAATTTCCATACGTGTGGCACCTGGCTTGCATACTGGTGGAGTGATGAGACGGATTGAGGCAATCCGGTCCTCGAGTCCCCAGCTAATGTGCACTGGTGCCCAGTAGTTCTCAATGAGGCGCTTGTATGAGTTCACAGTCGGCGCAAATAGTGGCATGATATCTGGCAGAGCTTCCAGAAGCCCGGCGAGGAAATGACGTCCTGTATCAGAGAGGTGTGCGATGTCTGACCATTGAGGGTTTGCCTCGGGTGTCTCTCTTGCAAACAGGTTCTTCCCATCCCTGTCGGCGAGTGAGATGTGGATGTGCCCGGAGCTGCCTGGCATTCCTTGCATGGGCTTAGCCATAAAGCATGGTGTTACGCCGTGGTCGACACCCAGGGATTTGGTTAAAAGTCTGTCCACTTGTTAGCTCTGGAAGCAACAGATTGTTTGCGGTATTTGCGGCACCCACTTGAACAATGCCACTTTGTCTGCCATTTCACTAATCTCGGAAACCATCAAGGCCTATGCAAAGTATCAGAGTAGTTCAAATGACCTGGATGGATGTCATACTGCTTCATACACACCGGGCCCGCCCTCAGTGTGCCATCCTTCAATGCCGCAGTTGATTTGTGCGCAAGTATTGAAAATATCGTAGAAGTACTTCTTGTTGGCAACCGGTCGCGTTGAGCTATAGCAGAACATGCCAGCTGTAATTGGCCGCAGGGCACTGGGGGCATTTTTCTCTAGGAAAGTAGCAAGGTTGGGATGCTGGGAGCCTGCACTGCCGTATCCGTCTTCGGAAGGAGTCTGGAAATTCATAAATTCAAGTTCGACTGCCTGGTATCAGCCTTTGAGATCCTCCCGCCATATTTCTCCGTAACTTACCTCCAGCCAAAGCATGAAGTCCCTCTCCCGCAAGCTTATCACACAGACTCCTTAACATACTCCTCCCATCCGCCGAAACCGGGCGTGTATCGTCAAGAAATCGTACTAGGAAGAAAGGAATGTTGTCTTCCCACGGCAGACGGCGGAACGAGTTTAGATCTGGAACAGCCAGGAAGTCTGCGTATCCTGATTCCGGGGGTGCGACACGTGCATCGGTTGTCCATAGCATATCGTGCATATCCCAACCGAAAAGAGCTGAGCTGAAGCCGAATCCCTTTTCTGCAATTCCAAGGAACTTCTCCTTGGCCATGACCTTGCCACGAAGTACACCATCGCTGTCGATACCGGCGACTTTGACCTTGATGTCGTCGGCGAGAAGTTTGGGGAGTGATTCGACAGTGATCATGGTGGGCGTAGTCATTTTGAGAAGATTTCAACAAAAGCAGCAGGACTAACCGAGTCCAACAGTTTAAATTGAAAGAGACATTTCGCCGGCCCCTGTGACTTTATACAATTGCGTAGTGGGCTGTGAGGTTGCGGGTCCAACATGTGGTCAACATTAATGCCGCGCCGCAGCTCAGGCCAAAAATAATCCCGCGCGGTTTAGACCATAGCGCGCAATTTTCCAGACAAAACAATGTCATCGGCGAAGCTATCGGATGCTCTCACGGAGATGCTCCGCGCTCCGTGGTGTGGGGTTCCGCACTCTATAGGCAGCGCGCTTATTCTTGTGATAAAAACTTGAGATTAAATATTAACCTGATGGGCTTATTGTTCATTGTGAATCTAAAGCGGAAGTACACATCTCAAGAATGACCTGCATTCGCATTCATATCGCTATCCTCGTGTGTGACACGCCCATTGAGCCTATTGTTAGAAAGTATGGCGACTACTTCGCAATATTCCAAGACCTTCTGAGACAAGGCTTCAAAGACTTGGAAATATCCGAGTCCAAAGATATTACGGTGGTATTTAGTGAACATCACATGGTGGAAAACAGCCAATTTCTTGATCTAGAGAACGTCGACGCCGTTCTTTTGACTGGAAGCAGTACGTTACCATCCATTTCAATATTCGAATCGGGCAACTAATATCACTTGGTAGAACACGATGCTTGGGCTGATGATCAGTGGATCCGTGATCTCACAAGCAACATTCGTGAGACCGTTTTAACAAATAAGAAGCCGGTGGTTGGGATTTGCTTCGGACATCAAATTCTTGCGCGGGCGCTGGGAGCCCAAGTTGGAAGAAACGAAGCTGGATGGGAGGTTTCTGTCGAGAAGCTTGCCCTGACTGAGGCTGGGAAGAAACTGTTTGGAAAGGATACACTGGTAAGTGAAGAAACACTGAAGATGCTCAATTGAGGGAGATTCTGATTGAATACAGAGCATTCAACAGATGCACCGGGATATTGTCTTTGATGCTCCAGGCGGTTACACAAATCTCGCTACAAGTCCAAAATGTGAAGTTCAGGGTCTTTACTTGCCCAAGCGAGTGCTGTCGGTACAAGGACATCCGGAATATAATGAAGGTATCATGTCGTGTCTGCTCGAAGCCAGACATGATAATGGGATATTTGATGATAAATTGTACAAGGATGGTTTATCGCGAGTGGGTGATTCCCATGATGGGTGGTTGATAGCAAAGGTAGTTGCAAGATTCATACTAGATGCGAAGACCGAGTAGTTCAAGCAGATACAAGTAAAGTGCTATTGTTATACTGTTACAAGATCGAGATACAAATGATAAAAGTGGAATTAACAAACACGAGCTGTCATATCTCCAACCGCGCCGGCTCCGCCCTATAAAGTCCACCTTTCCCACCTTTCGGCATTCCACTATTTTTTCCCAGATCAAATACAACACTATGTCAAACCAAATTCGTACCATCTGTCCCTCAACGCACGAGGTCATTTTTGACCAGCCTGGTACTTCACTCAAAGAAGCTATCGAAGTTGCTGCTGCCTCAAAGCAAGCTTTTGAGTCCTACAGAACAAGCTCCCTAGAAGATCGAAAAAGTATTGTGAAACGAGCACTGGACATTATTGAGCAGCGCCGCGATGACCTGGCCAAAGAATTGACCTCGCAAATGGGGCGACCCATCCGGTACTGTGCATCAGAGATCAACACTATGCGTCTGCGTGCCGAATACTTGATGGATATTGCCGAAGAGAGCCTGTCCGACCTCCCTGGTCGGCCAGAAGCAGGCTTCCGGCGAATGGTCAAGCGTGTTCCCGTGGGACCGGTGCTTATTGCGGGTGCTTGGAATGTGAGTGAACCCTATTATTGAAGTATCCACAGACTTGCTCATCAATATGATAGTATCCTTACTTGACGACCGTCAATGCTCTTGTCCCGGCACTTCTTGCTGGTAACAGCGTTATCCTGCGCCCTTCGCCCCAGACCCCGCTATTTGGCAATAGACTGCTCGAGGTCTTTACTGAGGCAGGACTTCCACCTCAGGTCCTTCAGGTCATTCATATTGGAAACCTGGATGTTATGGATCAGGTAGCACAGATTCCAGAGATTCAGTCTGTCTCATTTACCGGATCAACAGCAGGTGGAATCAGACTCAGGGAGGCAACCGCCCGACACATCAAGCCCGTCAACCTCGAGCTTGGTGGAAATGATCCCGCATATGTTCGGCCAGACGCCGACGTGAAGCACGTCGCAGAGCAACTCGTGGATGGAGCTGTTTTCAATTCCGGACAGAGTTGCTGTTCTATAGAGCGGGTATATGTGCACGAGAAGATCTACGATGACTTTGTGTGTGCCGTGCAGGGGGAGCTGAAATCGTAAGGCTGATTACATTCAAAAGAAGATATCTCTAACATTCAAATCAGGTACAAACTTGGTGATCCACAAGATCAAAGCACAACCACGGGCCCTGTTGTCTCAACGCAGGCCGCGGAGAAGATCGCTGCTCACGTCAAGGATGCGATTGCTAAAGGAGCTACCAACTCTACTCCCCAGAATCCGAGCTTCGAGGTGACGAGCAATCCTCAGATCCAAAAAGGTAACTTTGTCGCTCCGGTTGTTTTGACCAATGTCAACCATACCATGGCTACGATGAAGGAGGAGACTTTCGGTCCTGTGATGCCAATCATGAAGGTCTCCAGTGACGACGAAGCTGTTGCATTGATGAATGACAGCGAGTATGGTCTGACGGCGAGCGTTTGGACGAAGGATATCACTCGCGGAGAGGAGTTGATCGATCGCATTGAGGCCGGTACGGTGTTCATCAATCGTTGCGACTATCCAAGCCCGGTAAGACACTCTGACTATTTCTAAATCGACGTCTTATCAGTTCATTAATGCTAATATTGGACATCAGGATCTTGCCTGGACAGGCTGGAAGACCTCAGGGTTGGGATGCACTCTTGGCCCACGGGGATACGATGGATTCGTGAAGCTGAAGAGCTACCACATTAAGGATGGCTCGGCATGAGGACATGGGCAATTTTGAAGATGATTAACTAGCGTGATAGTCTAGAATAGTTCAAAAAATTCCAATACCGTTGTTTTTATTCAACTATTCGACTATCTGAGCATGTCTACAACTTTAACTCGAAACCATGTAGACAAGAACTATAGCCAGCCCATAAATATTCACTAGTTATAGATAGCAATACAAATGACCCCGCGGAAATCTTTGCATTATCCAATATATTGAAGCTCATCCAAATAGCCCCACAGTAGCGCGGTCCCGGACCGCGCTGCCTTAGCCCCGAGACCCCACCAAAGATAGTCAACGATACGATCGGAGAATGCTTCATGCACCTGAATGGTTGAAGATCTACCTAATAGCTACCACTCATGCCCCACGCGTTGAGCTCACCGTACTGGCGGGGTAGTAGGAGCGCGATAGAACTCATCCAGTTTTATGGAGATGATTTGAAAAAGGAAAAAGGGGGGGATATTGCGCGTTGTCATGTGCTGGGTCTAATTGATCTGATCGATCATGTGGGCTAGATATCGGTTGGAGGTGCTCCGGTATGGAGATTGTACAATGTAGACTTTGGAGATTGGAAATGGTATAAATTCAGGCCTTCACCAAGGGTCCATCCTCTGCAGTCTTTATCCATTCTTGTCAATTATCCAAACTGTTTCAGTACACTGTTCCATCCTCCCTAGCTCCTTCTATCATATCACATCTACACAATATCAAAATGGTCGGTCGTCTTGAAGGCAAGAATGCCATCGTCACCGGTGCAGCGGGGTATGTACCTTTCTCCACCTATGATAAACCAAACAATGGAGGATACAACTAACAGAAAACAGAGGTATCGGCCTCGAAACCACAATCCTCATGCTCCGCGAAGGCGCCTCCGTCCTAATGGCCGACATTAGTGACGAAGGCCTGAACAAAGCCCTGTCCAAGGTGAACAGTGTCGTGCCCGCCTCAAGCCGCACCGGAAAGGTCGAAATCAAAGTCGTCGACGTGTCAAACGAGTCCCAGGTCGAAGCAGCGGTCGCTCATCTCGATGCCTGGGGTGGACTGGATATCATCTTCAATAATGCTGGAATCATGCACCCCAAGGACGGGGATTCAGAGGAGTGTCCCGAGGATATCTGGGATCGCACAATGAATATCAATGTGAAGGGTGTGTGGTACGGCTCGAAACATGCCGTGCGCGCATTCCGGAGGCATGGAAAGAAGCGCGCTAGCGTGATTAACACTGCTAGCATGGTTGCGCTGGTTGGGGCTGCGACTCCGCAATTGGCGTATACCGCTAGCAAGGGTGCTGTATTGGCAATGACCCGGGAGCTGGGTATTGTTCATGCCCGCGAGGGGTTCCGATTCAACTCGCTTTGTCCTGCACCTCTCAAGTATGTTGATGTTGCCCTTTTCCCGGTTCAACCTTTGACGGAACTGACATTCGGATAGCACCCCCCTGTTGCAGGATTGGCTTGGTGATGATAAGGAAAAGCGCTTCCGTCGTGAGGTTCATTTTCCTACCGGTCGGTTTGGCGAGGCGATTGAACAGGCCCATGCGGTGATCTTCCTTGCTAGCGACGAGAGCAGTTTCGTGAATGCTACTGACTTCGTCGTCGATGGTGGCTTGACAAAGGCATATGTTACACCCGAGGGTCCAGCGACGGAAGCACCGAAGAACTTGGCTGTATAAATGGATAAAGAATTTGCTAGTTTGTACATAATATGAGTAAGAGAATGACGATCAACATCACGCAAATGAGATCCATATTTGATTTTGCTGCATTGCTCGACAAATATTCCATGGCCCAGCCTCGGACGCAGGTGATTGCCACATTGCCTCGAGGAGTAGAAGTGTTCGGTGCATATTTCCAAGACCAAACGTTTCAGTCATGGCATTCAACCGTCCTCGTAGGCAGTCTTGCTGGTCGGGGTTGAGAAGGCATGAGCCCACCACAGCGATCGGCCAACAGAGGCCGGAGTTGATACGCGCACTGGGTGACAGCTCGCTCAGGTATGACATGGCTTCTGTCACTGCATTTTCCACCATACCTTTATATATTCCATCCCTGGTATATTGGAAGCCACCCAGGGAGGTGTATAGATAGATGAGTATGGATTCTTGGAAGATCTTTCCAGCCAGATGGACCTCCCTCCCAACATTGGGATAGGGCGACCAGCGCAGGATCTGGGCTTGGATGGATGCAAACATGGCGATATCATCAGCTGTTGGAACGACTGCCTGCGTGTCGTCCATGATCCACTGTCGGCCGAGATCGAAGATACACGGGATCAACAGCAATAGTTCCAGCCAGCAACCGCACAAATTGCCCACGTACTGGGTCTGAAGTAATTCGCGTGACCGTTGTTCGAGATCCAAGTTTAAAAAAAGCTGCCCGCTAAAGCGAGCATCGATTGAGATCATGCTGACGGTCGCAGTATAGGTGTAGTATTCGATGACGAAATCTTTCAAGTCTCGTGGAACTGCCGAGTCGCTCTGGGCTAGCAATTTGACTAAGAGTGAGTTCGCAGCAGATAAGTGGTCAAATATTGTCCCGTTCATATCACCCTTTGCGGTCTAATTTTGTTAGATTATTGAGCACATTATATTTGAATCATGGATTTCCTACCTCGGTGAAGCACATCAGAAGCGCACCCACTAGGAGCATGAGAGGGTTTGATTCTTTCCCGTCGATGAAGTCGGTTACCCCACGGCGGAAATGCTGAAGGGCTTTTGTATAGTGGCTGTGGGCAATTGTATCTGATTCATCCCGTGATCGAAATGCGCGGTGAGCAGCGCTTTGGGTGATGACCAGCTGCAACAGCAAGTCACTAGAAAACGCTAGGGGTACAATCTGTACTAGAAAGGGGTTGATAGGGGTGGAACCATTTGCCATGCAGTCGGCTGTTGTAGCCAGGTAATGACTGAGAAGCTGATAAGACTCGGCATCGTAACCAGGCATCAGGGATAAGCTGCGCGGGGGCACATTTCCTATTGAGCCAGATGTGACAAGAGCATCACTAGTGGTAAATCTGGTAGCTGTTGACAGTCGACGTTGATTATGTGTCTCATCATGCAGCATCGTGTCTTCAGACTGGTCTCCAATATTCACAGAGTGCCCTGCACTCGATGAAACGGATGGCGCTCGTTGCGATAAGGGACTCCCAGGCATCGATATTTCATCGAGCTGCTCAATGGCATCAAAAATATTCGGCTGGCATTCTGTCGCAGATACTTGAGCTTCATCATCATGGCTGGAATCTCTCTTGCCGGGTACAGTTGGGGGCCACTGGCAGCCCAGGTCATTGCGTTGACAACCAGCACAGATTGGACGTGTCTCGTCACATTTCTTCTTGCGACGCCTGCAGGTCAAACAACCAGTCCTTACCCGGACGATTCGCTGCACACGTCGATCTGGCGGCATATTTGATTCAAGGAGAAGACAGGGGATCTCAGCGCCGATCGTATCTCTGGGCAGAGCTGATAAGAAAGTGTGGGGTAACCTTGGCACCCCCGAGTGTCAACGATGTATACTTTTATAGACAAAGTAGCTTGATCGTTTAGTCTTTTTTGTTATTTTAGCTACTTTCATTGTCTCTCGGTACGTTTGGCAGTGGCAGCAAATGAGACATTACTACAGATTGCATTTATCTGGGGAATAGAAAGTCCTGGACCTCAGCTTCCTCTTGCAGCACCTCGTTATATGCAGTCGCGTATGATTATCTTCTGACCTGAAGTCGCCAATTATCAATATCAGAGCCCATGGGGCCACTTCTGATGACATAGTGTATCATTAGCCCTATGGCAGTGTTTTCTCCACTGGTCTTTATAGTGCACAATCTTCGACGATACACTCACCCTAGCAATAGAAATAGTAACATCCTCATAACAGTATGTACCGCTACGTCTGAGAAGGGGGCTAAATATATTAGAAAAATGCATATCGAATATGAAAGAATTGGGCATCAGCCATGCACTATGGTGGTCTAGACTAATATGGAAACACCGTAACGCAAATTTGGACCGAAAGAGATCGGGCATTTGAAGAAAATATTCCGTACATATCAGCAATGTTGCCAGCACATTCCCAATCGACTCAAGCGACATGATCCCAGGGCTATTGAAGACACAAACCAAAGTTGTCAACCAATAAAGAATTCCCCGGAACCGGGAGAACCCCTGTACCGGGGTCCCAATGTGGCATATGGTATTGGCGATCACACGTGACTAATGTGCCGAAGACCCGATAATCGACACCTGAGGCGACAAGTGGAGCCACGGAATACCGTTTCAGGCTTCTCTCCGCATCGAAACTGCCCTAATGACAACTGGCGACGGGTCAGGCCGCCAGATTCAAGAAAATTTGTGATAACAGAGGGGCAAATGGGGTCTGGCCAGGCGTCACCATCGTGTCAAGCTTTATGTACCAGCCAATCACTACCCTCAATGTTACAAATTGGAGAGACGGTGGGTTTTCTTCTGGGCGGTGTTAAGGCGCTTTTTTGCTTTATCCCCGTTCACAATGGAATATGATGTCTGCCTGAAGTCTTTTTCCCTGGCTATTGATTCAATATAAAAAAGTTCCCCCCTGTTGCAGTCTGGTTTTTTCCCTCTAGGGTGTCAGTGTCGCGTGCCCATTTAGTTGGCTTTGCATATATAATTTTTCATCCCCCCCGATTATTGTCGATTGGTTCTCCGTATGAGCATCGAGAATGTCGGACCATAAAGAATCTGGTTCGGCCAGATCACGGTCGACATCAATATCCAGTACCGATTCTGAATTCCAGGCATCAAGAACACAGTCACGATCTCAGAGCTTGGCTGGTTCCCTGAGGACAAGGCTACAGTCTTTCTCAAATCCAGGAATGACCCAGGTGGATCGAGTCTATTCGGGTCGACATCTCAATGACCAGTCAGTATACCACAGTGACGATGAGTCCAACTATGGTGAAACGTCCACCGAAAACAAGCAGAAGCCCGACATTATCCAGGAAGTGCGAAACGGGATTGTGAACGAGCGCGATCTGGATCTGGAAAAAGCCGATGCTGCACAGCCCGAGCTGGAGAAATCGAGGACGTCAAAGTCGAACCGGTCTCGTCACGACCCAAAACTGGTAGGTTTGTTCCATCTCCCCAAATCCGCACTCGGTATTAAGTCATATAGGTATCATGGGATGGTCCTGAAGACCCCGAAAACCCGAAAAACTGGACCAACAAGAAGAAATGGGCCGCTACCATCACCGTATCGTTATTCACATTCATCTCGCCGGTCTCTTCATCAATGGTTGCACCGGCACTGCCATCACTGGCAGCGGATCTCAAAGTCACGGATGAGGTAGTTTCACAACTTATGCTCTCAATCTTCGTTCTGGCCTACGCTGTTGGCCCATTATTCCTCGGCCCACTGTCAGAGATCTACGGCCGAACCATCGTCCTGCAGCTCTCCAACCTCTTCTTCCTAGTTTTCAACATCGGGTGTGCCGTATCACAAACAAAAGTCCAAATGATCGTCTGTCGATTCTTCGCTGGACTAGGAGGCAGTGCCCCACTAGCTGTAAGCCAAGCCGCAAAACCACCCCCTAGAAAAGCTTATATCTGACCACACCTACAATATAGATCGGCGGCGGTGTCCTCTCGGATTGCTTCCGGGCTGAAGAGCGCGGAAAAGGAATCGCAATCTACAGTCTTGCGCCCCTTCTAGGCCCTGCCCTGGGCCCCATCGCAGGAGGATTCATCGCCGAGAACACAACCTGGCGCTGGGTGTTCTATTCAACCTCAATAACCGACGGCCTAATCCAAGTAATGGGCCTTTTCTTCCTACGCGAGAGCTACGGCCCAAAAATTCTCCTCGACCGTGCCGTCCGCCTCCGCAAAGAAACAGGCGACGAATCCTACCAGACGGAAGCAGAGCGCCAAAATAAAACTCTACCCGAAGTCCTGCGCAGCTCACTCATCCGTCCCTTCCGCCTCCTCCTCACCCAACCAATCGTCCAAGTCCTCGCCCTATTCATGGCCTACATCTATGGAATCATGTACCTCGTCCTCTCAACATTCCCCACTCTCTGGACAAGCCCAAATTACTACAACGAATCAACCGGCATCGGCGGACTGAACTACATCTCTCTCGGACTGGGCTTCTGGCTCGGATCACAGATCTGCGCCCCACTAAACGACCGCATCTACCGGCGTCTCAAGGCCCGCAACGACGGTGTCGGAAAACCGGAGTTCCGCGTCCCACTACTCTTCGTCGGCGCCTTCTTCATCCCCGCTGGCTTGTTCATCTACGGCTGGACCGCTCAGTACCACTGCCATTGGATCGCGCCGAACATCGGCGCTGTACTGTTTGGTACTGGAAACATCATTGCCTTCCAGTGTATCCAGACTTATATGGTCGATACCTATACGCGGTTTGCAGCTAGTGCGCTTGCTGCTGGTGCATTTCTGCGCTCGATAGCTGGGTTTGGGTTTCCACTTTTTGCACCGTATATGTATAGTGCTTTGCACTATGGGTGGGGGAATAGTTTGTTGGCGTTCGTGGCTATTGTCATTGGCGTGCCGGCGCCGGTGTTTTTGTGGAAGTTTGGGGAGAAGTTGAGGAAAAAGAGTACTTTTGCGGCTGGCTAGCTCCTGACGAATTACTGGATTAGTACACTCAGATAATATGTGTAATATGCTTAATTAATGTTTTATTCACGATGAAACTAAGAAACTATGGCGAGTACAGCGGCTTTTCGGCATGTGTCTGTCGTCAGGAATGCCTCGGCTCTCCGGCTTCAGGTCCTACGACAGGTTCTACCCGGGGACCCCTGAGTTGCACATGCGTTTTCATTCATCAGAATCTGACATGTAAGTTATGCTGAATCACATGCTGACTTTTCTTTGTCTCGTAAACTTCCTCCAATCGACGGTCTGCAGGGACTTCCAAGGTCCCCATTAATTAGGGGTCATAACACAAGCAAATCCATGTGCATCGTATGTTGTACGCAAAATTGACTAATGCCATCGTCAATTTGCACCGAAATCTCAGTACAAAACACATGAATGATATGATGCCAAGCCTTCCTTACTTCCATCCCCACTGAGAGAATATACTGGATCGCAGGGCTGCAGACCCGAGCAGTGGAGATCATACATTTAGATCCATTAATGATGTTTCGAGAAATATTGATAGTGGTAAAAAGTATGTATTTAGATCAAAGAAAATATAGAGAAAATAAAAAGAGATCACAAAGCAGCCTATCTACATACTAGTCTGCCTGCTTTCCCGTCAGACGGGGGGGGGGGTATAGAGAATCTATGGTCACATGATAATATGAGATCCGAGACATAATTAATCCGATTCGCTTTGCGAATATCAGTCGACACCAAGGGCAACCAATGGAGTATTTACTCGTGCTTGGTCTCGCTGTGCTTGGTCTCACTGCTGCTGCTCATAGCAGTCTCAGCCTTCTCGGCTTCAGAGTTGATACGGAGGTCGGAGGTATCGAGACCCAGCTCGGCCTGCATCTGGGTAATCTGGGCAATGGAGAGCTTGGGCATCTCCTGTGCGACCTTGTAGGGCCACTTGCCCTCGGTGTGGGCCTTGGCGAAGATGATATCAACTTCCTCGAGATCACGACCGGCGGTCTCACAGTAGAAGAACCAGGCGAAGGGAATGGCGATGAAATTGACCAGCGCGAAGAAGAGGTAGATACCCCAGTCGGACTGGTTGGAGAACACGGGAGTGAACATGACGACGGCGAAGTTGGTGATCCAGTTCATGCAAGTGGAAGCGGAGGCGGCCTTGGTACGGGTGCGGAGGGGGTTGATCTCGGGGGGTAGATCCAGGGCAGAGGTAGCGTAGTAAAGGCGAAGAAGCAGATGAACAAGAAGATACCGACGATGGCACCCTTGGCATTCTGCGTGTTCGAGTCGATGAGACATCCCATGGTGATCATGAAACTGAGACCCTGGCCGAGGAAACCAATCAAGAATAGGTTACGGCGACCGACCTTCTCGATCATGAAGAAGGATGGGATGGTAGCGAGAGCGTAGACAGTGGCGAAAACACCTCCCAGAACCAGGGGGAGCTTGCCTGTCATGTGCAAGTTCTGTTGGAATAGGAGGGTCGAGTAGTAGATGGCGGCATTGCAACCAGTGAATTGCTGGAAGAACTGTCCAGAGCAACCGATCATCATACGCTGGAAGTGCTGAGTCTTGCCTCCAGTGAACAAAATACCCCAGCTGTTAGCCTCGACATTCTGCATGGCCGCGAGATCAGCCTTCATAAGGTTGAAATCGGCGAGCACATCATCCGCATCGGGGGCACTATCGTTGAGCTGGGCGAGGACCTGGATGGCCTCTTGGTCATGACCTTGCATAACGAACCAACGAGGAGACTCGGGGAGCATGAGAGCACCACCGGTGACGAGAATGGCGAACAGAATCTGGAAGGCGATAGGGAACCGCCATTGGACGGAGCTGTCGACATAAGAGAGACCGAAATCGAGCCAGTAGGCAATGAAGGTACCGACAGCGATGATAGCACCCTCGAAGCACACGAGGAAACCACGGTTGTGAGCGCGCGAACACTCAGACTGCCAGACGGGAATAGTAGCGGTGTCCATGCCGTTTCCAAGACCGGAAATGACACGTCCAATAACGAATTGGCCCAGTCCCCAGTGGGGGCCGAAGGAAGCAGTAGAGATAACAGTACCGAGGATCATGAGAAGACCACCGGCGACCAAGAGAGGAGTGCGGCCAATACGTTGGCCGTAGGCCATAGTGAAGATAGCACCGAAGAAACAACCGAGTTCGTAACAGGCAGTGACCGCACCACGAAGGACGGCAACGTGCTCCGACTCACCATGGAGGGCGGGGAATTCCTTAGTGAACTCGGTACCGGAAATGATACCGGACATCAAACCCTGATCATAACCGAAAAGTGAGAATCCGACAACGGATGTAAATGTAATGGCGATATGGAGCTTCTTGCCCCGCAAGCCGGAGGTTGTGGTCCACATGATGAACGTCCTCTATTAGATGGAGAGAGGAAAAGACCAAAGCTACAAGGAGAAAAAGAAAAAGCTCAGACAAAGAGGATATTTCGGTAGCCTTATATGCATTCGATCCCCATGTTATTTGCCAAGAGAAAGAAAAAAGTTTGGAGAGTGACATCGGCGGCGCTACCACATTGGATAGGCAAGTCTTGCGACCCGCCGTGGGGGCCAAGTGAAGCCAAGTAGAGACAAGGGGCCAAGGGCCATGGCTAGTGGGGTTGCGGGGATACAAGAAAGTCTTGCGGTTTGCTAAGTGCAACGGCTTAATTTGACCGTTTAGGTATATTAAATTGCGCTAAAATAACAACAGTTATTGGTCATTTATATCCCCTACGTAAGGGGCTTCAGTTTTTTTTATTTCACTCATCTGTGTGGGGGGTGGATCAAATTGATTCCTGGGGGCTCCTGGGGGGCATCTGGGGACGTCTGGAGTTTGGAGTTTGCGGGTTCGGGACGACGCTGTACCGGAAAAGGAATCTTATCCGACCCTCTTCTCTGCAACCCACGGGGAAGAGGAAATTGAGGTGGATCAGGGGCCGAGGACTTCAAAATCCTTCTCTGCAATTGGTAAACGGTCAACTCCATTTCTTTGCTTTTTTTTTTTTTTTTTCCCTATTTGTCTACTATTTACTTCTTTTTTCCTTCCTTTTTTTCATGTCCCGTGCCGATTGGTATGGCTGAATATTACGTATTCAGAAAGGATCTCGTTTCAGTTGCCTTTTTACAATATGTACTTCCGAATCTCGCCATGCCCGATGGCCCCGGTTACGGCCTTCAGCCATACGGAGTACAAAGTACGTTAATCCCGGGGTTTTGTGTGGCCGTCTTCAGCAATGATCATCGGGCTCACGAGACATTGGGTAGTGACATGAGGTGGGATATATCAATGACTGGCGTAGGATCTATAGAGGTCAACCTTGATGTCTTCTAGGTTTTTTTTACAATATTTCATCCACGGATCTTTCTCGATGCCCGAAGTCCGAAGAGGCTCGGGAAGAATCCCGGGAATTATTCGGATGAGTGTGTTAACGTCTACTCCGTATTCCGTAAAGGAAGTCAAAAAGTTCGGGAAGTCATGTACCAAGTCGGGTGGATCCGTTTGCCAAGATATCTTCCGCATTAGGAAAGGATGGTCAAAAGAGTGTCCATTTCAAAAGATTTGCACAGGTCGGGACCCTTCCAAGCTTGATATATTTGCTTACCATGACTTGGCTCAACCAAGCATTCTGAGGGTCCAGTTTTCCAAGTTACCAAGACGATTCCAAGAAACTTTATGAAGCGAAGCATTTTGAGATGTCTTGGCCATATTAAGAGACCATATAAAAAAATTAAGGGGAAAAAAATTTAAAAAATTTCACACGGGCCCACTCAAGATCCCGTGTAAATACTCAAAAAAGCCATTTGGAGAGCGGGCGTTGTCGGACAATTTCACCTCCGGGTTTAACATTGGCCTTGAAATTTCTGCTTTCGGAAATAAAAACGGAAACTAGATTGGTAGATGTCCAACATGATTATATATGAGTCTAGATTAATTTTCCCTATTAGACCAATAACATAATTCTCCGATTTGTCGTGCATATGAACATCGCGACAATCCTCGGTACCTTCCCGAAGAAGAATATGCGCGCTGTCCGCGATGATACCAGTACATCTCGCTTAGTACTCCGTATGCGGTTGCTTGATCCTACAACACATAGACCGGGAGCCTATACTCTGCGGTGGCTTGCAGATCACCGCAAAGCCGTTCGGAGTCAAAGCGACACCTTCGTCATTATAAAGCCTCAATCCGCCTCCAGTGCGTGGCGCCGCTAGGGTCTTGGCGTCCTTGTTCCCTCGAGTTCTTGAGAACATTGAAAAGCCCTGGAACAAGTTCCCATGCGGCAAGGCTGACTCTCCGACTTCCTTGTAACCCGAATATATTACTATGTTGTAGGAATTTAATCCCACTACTGTTGATTGGTTTGTGGAATACCGAGCTCCGTTACGGCCTAGCGGATGTGAAGTCAGACCTGTTGATCAGAGTAGTTTGAGGTATAACATTGATGTTTGTAATTGGGGGTGAAGAGAGCGGAGGAATTCAATGTACCAAATCTTAGATAAGCTACACAGTTTCAATAATCAGAGAAGGAACCTTGGAAGTGTTTTGGCACTACCTATGTAACCGAATTTCCCGCCCACTCTACGTGTATCTAAAATATATAGTCTACGAGGTATCCAAAAGCTGGAGAAAAGAATACAACGAGGGTATTCAGCGTAATATTGTCTATATAATGTCTGATACGCTCGATCTGCATATTCATAACCTCGAAGATATTGCAAACAGAAGGATATCAGCAATGGTGAGGGAAATCCGGAGCTCATATAGCAGATAATTGCTTCTACGCTTGGCTATGAATCCATCTGAACTTTCCATTTGGCAAAAGTCTGGGCATTCTTGGTGGAGCAATATATACTTTGTGGAGATATATATTTCGTGGGGTAGAGGTAAACTAGGGATGCCCCCATACCCGTCGGCATATGTATGCAGTCTGTGTGGATCAAGTTTGGAAGCATCATCCGGGCCATCCACCATGATTTGCAGAAATTTCAATGTCGTACATAGCATTCAATCAAATTTTTATAGACAAGGACAACTATGTTCACATCTGATACAGCAGTTGCAGTGCATCATATAAATGGATCATTGTTTCCCCCCAGTGATACCTGACTCCTCCTGACCGTGTTTCTGTAAATCATTAGCATTAAATTATTAATAGGGAGAAGAGAGAAGGGTCCATACCAGAGTACGGTGGTACTTGATGCCGACGTTGTTTCCAGTGGTCGCGTCATAGGGTACAGGGCTGGTGTAGTCGTAGGTAGGGTGAAGACCGTGGTAGGTCTTCTTTACTACTTCAGCAATACCATGGCCAGCAGAGCACTTGCCCGTGATGGCAGGAACGGCCCACTTGGAGGAATAGTGCTTGGTGGACAGAGGGCCAGGGTAAGTCTGGTTGATGTAGGCATTGCTGGTATCAACTTTCCAGTTGACATAGCCAGTCTTCTCAGCGACCAACTTCAGCAAATTGGCACCACAGTCCCAGCGGCCAAGCGAGGGCAGACCCCAATTAGCGGACAGGGAGGCGATAATTGAGTAGTGTGTGTAGAAAGTGTCGTCGGTAGTACCCTTCAGGTGGTTCGGGATAGCATCGCCAACCAGGAAGCTGAAGACCCGGTTAGGGTGGGAGTAGTTACCGCCCTCATCAAAAGTGACCAGTACCAGATTGTCCTTGTTGAAGTGCTTGTTCTCCAGCAGGGGAGGCAGGAAACGAGCGACCCAGTCGCCAGCCACAGTGATATCGGTATCGTGGGCATCGTTGGTCATGTTCGGTGTGATGAACATGTGCTGGGGAAGGCTGTGGTGTGCCACGTCCTCGTAGAAAGTGGTGAAATTCTTAATTTGACGCGGGCGCACGGCGTCGTTGGTAACCGAGTCATACAGAACCAGCGGGTTGTGCTTGCGCACGTACTGGTTCGGGCCGCTGAGGGGGTACCGCATGCCCTGGTAGCCGGCATGGGGCAAGTCCTCTTGGTACTCACCCCAAGCGATGTGCTTGGTGTCAAACAAATCGGCAATAGTTGAGACATTGGCTGGGATCTGAATGAAGTCGTCATTGTCCATGCCGAATGTGTCACCCCCGGCAGAAGCACAGTAGTTGGGCTCCGAGGGGTGAGTGACTGCAAAGTAGTTGGTCAGGAGGATACCCTCCTTAGCCAGCTTGGACAAGTTCTCATCCGCAGCAGCGGTTTCAAAGTCCTGCAAAGGGGTGAGCACGTGGTCATCGTTATTTAATGTAAGGGGCAAACCCACTGTGTTCTCAAGCCAGATGTTCACGAAGCGATCAAAAGCCAACCCTTTTACGTTTGACACGGGAGAGTAAGGTAGGGCCGTAGCACGGGCTGCATCGATCTCAGCCTGGGTTGGGTTCTTTTCCGTGGTAGTCTTGGCCGTGGCCAGGGCCAGGGCCCCGACAAAGGCGAGAAGAGTTTGTTTGGCGAACATGTCTGGGATCACAGTAGTACCAGCGATGAGAAAGGCAGAGAAGATCGGGACGACACGCGATCTTATACTCCGAGCCTTGGAGGCATGACATTCCCCTCACCGGCTGGAAGAATCCCGCTATGTTATGCGGCACTAACCGATACCACGTTGTGATCGACGCAGAGCTAACTGGCTGCATTTCCAAGCCATTGTCCTAATGAATCTAGGCTTGAAATGAGCTTTCAATTAGAGTAGCAATGAAGGTGGTTTAATTGGGTGGATAGTGGGATAGGTGGATCGGGTACCTGGTCCTTGCGTTGCACGTTGTTACTGTCCGTGCCCCAACTGGTCAGCAGCTCATCTCTTCGGCCGCTTTTACCATATATATATATATTGATTTATATTATTCATTCATAAAAGCTTTTAGTAGAGAGCCTTGGAATATGCTTACCTTTTCTTGGCTTTTGAGAAGTCTGAAATATATGCTGCTATCACATTTAGCTCTTTGTTTGATTTGTTTTGCAAGGATTAGTCCATTTGAATTATTCCAAGCTTATCTCTCCAGGGATGATCCCCCCGCTTCTTTCTCTTCTCCCCTTTATTTGGAATTGACCTCTTTGTTTAAAGACTCTAAAGAGTTCTCATTTAAAAGAAGACTCATCAGCTATAGTATTCTGTCAGAATGGCTACATATACATTTATACATAATAAGGTTGGATTTAAGTTTGTGTGCCCATAGCTAAAACCTGATCAGTTTGTTCATGAAAAGAAACATTTGCTCTTCTGATTTTCTTGCCAAAGAGTTTCTACGGTTACATCGGAGGAAACAAAGGAAAACAAACCACAAGGCCCTTCCCGTCTGCGGGGTATACTATGGCTTGGAAGATTCTAATCGAAGGTTTGGAAGAAGGTAGTGGCATATCCCTAGAGACTGTAGCACAGCAATGGAAAGATCTCAGGTGGTCAATGTCGCTAAGATCACGGTATATAATAAAGTCATAGTTAATATATTACACCAATAAAGCTCATACAATTCATCCTTGACATCAGCTATTTCATGTATGCCAAAACTGTAGTCATGCGTAATAATGGACTTTGATGGGACCCCCGTTGATGAGCCCTGGGTTGGGCCTTAAAGGTTGGGCCTATAGCCACTGCTGGTTGGGCTTTGGGCCCGGGATATAGGCCTATTTGTGGGATTTGCGGAGGTCTACATGACATAACATGTATGACATATAATTTCCCTAGCTATCGTGAAGGGTTGAGGAAAATATGTACATAGATATGAATTTTATACCGTTTGTACCTTTTGTATGAGTATGCCATATACATGCTACCTATGTAATTTCAAGATTTATCCCGATTGGGACGGGCTTATCGTTGGGCGAAGGTACCCAGGCGGTGTCGGTATAATGTACTAGGCCACTCTTTCGTAATACTACACTTACACCCTACTGCATACATATGTCCACGGGTACGAATCTGAAGTAGGTTGTCTATTATCTCATTTATAAGCACCGTGCAGTGAGTTTAAAGGAGGAATTTGGAGGACTCCAGGTGATATTCAAACTCGCCAACACCCACCTGACACCCCAAGCCCCTCAGCACGGTGGTGAGAGCTGGCACATTGAGGGCGCGATAAATGAGCATATCTGAGCCGCGGCTCCGTACCACTATGAAGAAGAGAACATTACGCCGAGCCACATTGCGTTCCGACATGCATTGAACAAGATGAAGATGGACAGTGGCCATAAACAGGTGAAACCCTTCGTTCATGGTATATATACTTAGTAAGATGTATTTATTATGAGGTCCAGCAGCTCATAGGGTGCACAGGGTGAATATGACTCGGCAGAGCTATTTTACGGCGTCGAAAACGGTGAACCTTGTGTTCAAGAGCTAGGCAGGGGTTTGACCCGTCCGGGTCGTCAGATTGCCTTTCCGAATGTCCTCCATCGTAGGTAAGATACAGCCATTTGAGCTCCGTGATAAGGGAGAAACTGGTCATCGCAAGATCCTCGCCATGTTTTTGGTTGATCCGCACATCCCGATTCTGTCCACTGCCAATGTACCTCCGCAGCAGAGGGACTAGTGGGCTACTGAAGTGCGAAAACTCCCCTTGTTCAATACTCTTCCACTGGAGATATCTGATATGATCATTAGGGAGGTCGACTTTCCTCTCAGCTTGGAAGAAGCATTAGTCGCGAGGCAGGATCTGATGTTTGAACCGGGAGCCATTGATGAGAGTATGAACGATGACCTGGAAGAGGTAAGTTTATCTGGAGCAACAATTCAGGGGTAAGATCGGATCTCTAAAGACATCTAGGCAACCTTTAATTTCAGCGAAGATTGACTCTAGAAACATCCAACAATTGATCAACGGGATACAGAGGTAAAAAAACATCTTTAGGTAACAAACCCCTACCCACCTCCGTGTCTGGCCAAATCAAATATTATTATTCGACTAAATAGTTTTGTTTGAGAACACTATAAACATATTTACCTAAAACTCAATGTAGGGCCAGGAACAGGAATCCCACTACTTAGAAGATGAATCTGTTGTAGCAGTCACCTGGTTGGTGCCTGGTAGTCAGATGTCACATAGCTATTTAGGAAGCTTCCTGCTTGTAGAGAATCTTTCTTCTATTCTCTCCTCACCCTATCAGGATCCGGGCTTAGATGAAACTACCTCACATGCAGTTGATATTTGCCGGGGTAGAGTTAACGCACCGACCCTATTAATATGCAGGCGCCAGGTCCCTTCCACAACGTGCCATATACCCCTCTTTGGCATCTGATAATGTTAGATTTCACTTTCCAAACTATTTAAACAGCCTTGAATTTATACTCAGATACTCGATACTCCATATGTCCTAGGAAAGTGATATAACACATTAGGTAAGGATCGGCATCCCAGGGCTATGGGTGCCCAAGATTCAGCCCTAGCTAGTTCAACTCGAATGTGATCAGTCAGTTAACATCTCTTGGAGTTCTTGTGTGCTCGACGCACAACACTTCTCATACTAGACCATATAGCTCTGTTCACTTTACAATATGATCTCGCTCCTAGATCTACCTGTGGAGATCGTGCTGCTTATAATCGACTCCCTCTTCCCCCAACTCGACACGACAAAACCAGACAACAGTGACGCCTCTATCGCAACCCAAAAGTGCTTGAACGCGCTTTCACAAACAAACAAATGGCTCTATGAGAAGTTGGAAACCCGCTTATACAAGTTCAATGCACAACATTGTGGCCAAACATCATTGGCATTCGGCGCCTTCTGCGGCTATGACGCTGTCGTTCAGAGGTCCCTGGCAGTAGACTCGTCGAAAATAACGAATGATTTGAGGTTTCCAACACACGACTGTCAAAGCTTCCATTCTCCACTTTGCTGGGCAGTTCAGGGGGGCCACGTCTCTATTATCAACACACTTCTTCAATCTGGCGCTGATATTCATCGGGAATGTGTCAACGATTGCTGTAATGTGCCGCTTCTTGGCCAGGCCGCAAGGAATGGCCATTTGGATGTGATGAAAGACCTTGTAGGAAGAGGTCTCTGGCCAGAAATCTTGTGGGAAACCAATTTCGCAAATCTGCTGAATGAGAATGAGCCAGGGCGCAAAGCCACCCTCCGCCTAGCTGCCGAGGGTGGCCATATCCCGTGCGTTGATTACGTTCTTGCTACGGGAGAGTATGATAATCTCACTTGCAAACAATACATGCACAAAATAGCACTGATTGTGCCTGCGACTGTGGCAAAGGGTCATATAGAGTGTGCCCTGTTTTTGCTGAGTCGCAGTGGTATCGTTGAGAGAACTGGTTTCTGTAACTGTGGAGTCAAGCCTGCCAGGTCTCTAGTTTCTGATCCATCCAAACTGATCATGGCACTGGAAGATCCACATACCATGGAGAAATATGGCCCTATGCTTCTTTACCTAGGAGCCGCTACTGGTTGTCCGCCCTTATTTGAAGCGATGGTTCGACTGGGTGTCCATATTGATACAAGATTCCACGGGGGCAACACGCCGCTCTGTGTTGCCGTAATAGAAGCACGAGCACCCGAAGAAATAAAGAGATTGTTGGAGCTAGGCGCCGGGATCAATGTGGGGAACTCGCAGAATCAGACACCACTTTATATTGCAAGTCTACTTCGGCTCAAGGGAGTCATGAAGGTGCTCCTGGATGAAGGTGCCGATACCGAAGCGCGGGGGACTGGATCCAGGGTTGCTCAAACACCGCTGTGTCTCGCTGTTACCGATTTCGGGATCCCAGTGTCAAATGCAAACTATTCAAGGCGCGCTGCCCGGTCTCCCAGTAATGAGATTGTGTCATTGTTGCTGGAGAATGGTGCCAACCCCAATTACGCCGATCCAGAGCTTGGAATAACTCCTCTCTGGCTTGCTGTTCGGCCACAGAGCACGCTTCAGCCGTTTGGTAGGGATGCTATTGTACGGTTGCTTCTTAAGAACGGCGCAGACCCGAAACTAGCCTCGCGAAACCAGTCAATCTTGTTCTGGGCTATATCGCACTGCCACTACGATACGATAAAGATGCTTCTTGAGTGCGGCGCCAACCCTAATGACTATGGGAGCAATTTTGACGGCTCAAAAACCCACCATTCTGGGAAACCGTTATCGCCTCTGGCGAAGGCTATGAAGCTGAAACATTATCAGGTGGCCGAGCTTTTGCTTGATTACGGTGCAGACCCTCTTGTCTCGCATTGGAAGGAGACGTCATTGGTTCATGCGACAAGATCTATGAATAGTTCGTTCATTGGGAAAATGATTGCCGCAGGCCTAGATGTGAACGAGTCTGTGATGGGCGAGACATCTCTCCATCTGGCTGTCTGGCAAAGTAACGTTGAAGTGGCTGAGTTACTACTTCGTCGAGGAGCAGATCCGAATATCAAGGTTGGGGGGACTTCATGCTATTCATCAAATTCAATTTTGTGGTGGGCTTCCTATTGTCCCTCTCCGAGTGGTGCAGCGATGGTAGAGTTGCTATGTGCATATGGTGCCAGGGAGCTATATGATACTGATGTTTACACGGATGGACGCACACCGAAGGTTGTTCCTCCGGTTTCAGGATACTTGTAACATGACGAGGATGGATTGTTCAAATAGTTTGTTTTGCGGATCACAAGAGTCTATAGATATCTCTTCCACCGTCCGGCAGCCGATTAACTAGGAATCCAAAGGGATCATCAAATACATGTACCATATCTAGTTCTGACAGAATGAGCTCTGCGAATGAGGAGACAAAACTAACATAAAACAATACCAATTCTTTGCTCGTTATTCTTGACTCAATGACTATTACATTGCTATCTTGACAGGTAAAAGAAACAAGAGAAGGAAAAATTAATGACACCGTCAATTAAGAGAAAGCGGCACGCGGCTCGCTTTCTCTACCGACATTGGGTCAGGTTTGAGTCAAGAAAAATCCCCTGGTGACATGCGGAGGGTAACATGAAGGAAGAAGATGAAATAAGAGGGGCACTAGGGAAGAACGTGCACGCCGGGGTAATATTTTTACACAGAAAGACCGCTAACACCGTTGCTGCTCAAGATTTACTCAGGCTTCTTGCCAACCATGAGGTACATGGGGGTGAAGAGGTTCTTCTGAGCACCTTCGACGAGACAGTCAGCAGCCAAGGCCAGGCTGTCGGCGGTCTTCTGGGAACCCTTGGGGAAGAGACCAATGGACTCGCCGGCACCGACGAAGCGGTGGGCAATGCCACGGCCCCACCAGGTCATGCGAGCGATGGTGAAGAAGTCCCAGGCCGAGCCCATGTGCTTGAAGGAGCCCGCCAGCGGGTAGTACCAAGGAATGGGGTCGGGGCGAGCAGCGAGATCCTCGTGATGCTTCACGTCAAAGCCAGCGTTCTTCATGGCGTCGAGACCTTCGGAGATACGGACCATGTTGGAGATACCGTCACCCTGCTCGATACCGAGGCGAATGCGACGGTGCTCAGCATCGTCGTTGTTGTACTCGTCAGTCATGAGCCACTCGTACACAGCGAAGGTACCACCGGGCTTCAGGACACGGAAGATCTCGCTGTAAACACCGACAAGCTCGGGGGCGTGGACGGTGGCCTCAATTGCATACACGGCATCGAAGCTGTTGTCGGGGAAGTTCATCTGCATGAAGTCGCCCTTGACGAAGGCCATCTTGTCCGAGAGACCCTGCTTGTGCGCGTAGTGGGTGGCGCGGTCAATCTGGTAGTCGTTGTTGTTCAGACCGGTAACGTGAGCACCGGTGAACTTGACCATTTCGCGGGCAGGACCACCGACACCACAGCCAACATCCAGAACCTTCATGTCTTCAGTGATACCAGCCTGGAGGGCAAGGTAGTGCTCGTGGCGGGCAATGGCCTGGTGGAAAGGCTCACCGTAGGCGAAGCGGCAGAAGTGGAAGGAAGAGCCCCATCCGTACTCATAGAAGTCGGTGGCCAGGTTGTAGTAGCTGTAAAAGAATAATCAGTATGAAGAGCGTGGATCAATGGGGTTTATTTCCGAACGTACTGTCGGGTCAAGGTAGCATATTCAGCTTTGCGGGCCTATCACGCGCAAACTGTTAGCGATAAGAACCAACTGTCTTGAATACACGCTGTCATACCTCACGGATCTCGGGTGTCTCATCAGCAGCATTCTTGTTGTCCCAGTGCTTGAAGTACTCGTCGACGGCGGCCTTCTGAGCGGCGGAGTCCTTTCCGCGCATGGCAGAGAGACCACCCTGGGCCTTGGCAGACTTGCCGTGCAGAGCCTTGTTGAAGGCGGCATCACGCGCCTTGTCCTCACGTTCCAATGCAGAGGGAGCCATGGTGAAGAAAGTCGCAAAGATTAAAAGGGGTAGATTGTAAAAGGAGGTAAAAAAGCGTCAATTTCCAAGATTTTCTAAGAGAAAACGACAAGGTAAACCAAGACTGTAGATACCAGAGAAGCGAAGCAAGAAAGTGAATGAATTGCGACTGGAGAAGTAGGAGAAAGGGGAAATAAATAAGAGTCGAATCCCAAGCAACTTTTTGACAATCTGAAGTGGAGAGCCAATCAGGGGGTTCCTCCGAAGAACTAGACTGACCCTTAGTGTGCCTGGGGGGGACGCTATTATTATTTGGGGTGGCCACACCCTTCTGTCCTCACGGGACTCCAAAGTTCCGGGCTGTGGCTGAGTCGGACGCCCGACCACCCGGGAAAAAATGATGACCTGAGGCATAAATTCACGTGATGCACCAGCCACATTACGCCACACGCCACTTCTATCGATCTTGATAATCCAACTTTGGAAGCTCTCTCACCTCTCGGATTAACCCCATACAATCCGACATGCCTCCCCAAATTAAGCATGATTTGAACCGATCCGGCTGGGAGTCGACAGACTTTCCCTCCGTCTGTGAGAATTGTCTTCCCGAAAATCCTTACGTCCAAATGATCAAGGAAGATCATGGCGCAGAATGCAAGATTGTAAGTCTTTTTTTGCTCTTTCCAAGCTTCTCCATAACCACACACTAACGAGTTAGTGCACGCGCCCCTTTACTATCTTCCGTTGGAAGGCCGATCGGACCTCCCGCCAAAAGCGATCCATCATCTGCCTCACATGCGCGCGCCTGAAGAACTGCTGCCAATGCTGCATGCTAGATTTGTCGTTTGGTCTTCCCCTTGCCGTCCGTGATGCCGCTCTCAAAATGGTTGCCCCAGGACCGGAAAGCTCCATCAATCGCGAATATTACGCGCAGAACAACGAGAAGGAAATCGAAGAGGGACGTGGTGCTATCGAAGAATACGAAAAGACAGACGACAAGGCTCGCGAGCTTTTGCGCCGGCTTGCAAATAGCGAACCATATTACCGCAAGCCCCGACGAATCGAAGCACCTGCCGAGGATGATAAAGTAGAGGAAGGTACGGATCAACCACGAACAAATAGCCGCTATGGAAATGGTCCCGGTCCGGTTCGCACCAGTGAAAGCCGCGTCGGAAACCGCCTTCCAGGCCGTGGCGGACGAGGTGGTGGCCGTGGTGGTCGTCCGTTCCCAAGTACTACCCAGTTGCCGCCCTCGGCCGCAGATATCCTTCCCCCTACGGATCCCAACGTCACATCCTTGTTTATTACAGGCGTGGAAGACGATCTCCCCGAGCATGCGCTCCGCACATTTTTCAGCGAATTCGGCCAGCTCCGGTCGCTTATTTGCTCCCACCGCTCCCATTGTGCTTTCATCAACTACGTCAACCGCGCAGACGCCGAAACCGCCGCAACCCACTGCCAGGGCAAGGCCATCATTCAGGGCTGCCCTCTGCGTGTTCGCTGGGGCAAGCCGAAGCCACTGGATAACCTGGACCGTGAAGAGAGAATGCAAAATGCCCGTGAGGGTCGCCAGACTGTGGGATCGGTTGGCAAAGGAAAGCAAGCCGACCGACAAGCCATTACCTCTGCAGGCGAGGGTGCTGGCCAGGAGAAAGCCCAGCCTCATGTTGTCGCACCGCCACCCGGATCAGGCGAGGTCCAGTACGCCAGCATGAATGGCGATTGAACAGGACTTGCGCGGAGATACCATTAAATCAAATCGAGGTTGCATGTAACTTAGGATTCGGAGCGGGCGTTATCAAGGATTGGGTTATTCTATGCAGATCTATGTACTTCAATCGAAAATACCCCGAAGACGCCAATGAATAAAGAGTCGGGTATCTTATAATACATGTCCGGTCACTGTCGTAGCTTATTTTTAATGCGCCATATGCCGTCGGCTCGACATGGGACCGCAGGGTGGCTTCGACGTCGTTTCCAGTGTCGTTTTTGAACCTGGAATGGACTCGGAGAGTGCGCTCAGGGTCAACTGAGCATCAAAACAGGGAAACACCCCCATTATGACGAGCAAGCCTTGTGAATCTTCACATCCTGCTCACCGACTTTGATGGAGTCATTATCACCGCGTTCAATCTGGTCATGAATATTGAGTTCTGTAGAAACAATCGCTCGTTAGTACACAGTTTGTATGAGCAGTACAAGGACCAAGCCACGAGTAAGAATCGCAAGATTGATGAAACACATACCCCACTTGGCAGCTTCATCTCCCTGCTCCCTCGAGCCTTGAACAATGTTGTGGCGCAGGATATTCGCAACCTCAATCGCATGGTTGATTTGCATTCCAGTGTCAACAGCCGGGCGACGGTTCTTCTCAAAGTTCTGGCGCGCTTCCTGGCGCGCAGCGATGAGGACTGGGAGATCATCTATAGCGGACGTCAGTGTGAGGGAAACAGAGGCCTCGGTGGCGGTTGTGTTTGTCAAACGAACTGTGAAAGACAACCCGGGTGGACCGGAGGAGTTGACGATAGGCGCTCTTAGCGGCTGCGGCAGTGGAGGTAGCCATAATGAAAAGAGGAATGTCACAGAGAAGTATAGACGTGAGTGTGTTTAGGAACAAGTCGAGAGGCACAGGTTGCAAATTGTCGCTGCGGATGATCGGCACAGATAAGGAGATGATATGAAGTTATGGATGATACTGTAGATGTGAGGTAGGAGTTACAATCGTCTGAACAAGAATGCGGATCGATCAAACCAGAAAAATTGAATGTACAAGTCAACAGAAGGAGTAGGACCTGGTACCATCCAATCTTGAAACTCCCAGAACATATGACCCGTGATTGGCTGGAGGGGCGGATATTTGGGGCAGAAAAAAATGTATGCAAAAAATTCCATCGCGGGACCCGACGCTCTCCACACACAACTTGGTACCATCACCAATACCATTATACAATGGCTGCTGCTCAAGTTGTTAACATTTCCCTCCCTGCCTTGCCCCAGGGCTGGGCTGGCGAGAAGGATTTCAAGATTGTCGGCGCTCTGTCCGGTGCCACCAAGCGCAACGTGGAGCCCGTTGGCCCGCACTTCCTGGCTCACGCTCGCCGAGTAAGTTCTACAAATCGACTAAATTTTCTTTTGCGATCTCATCAATTAACCACCTTTTAGTCTCGTCACAACCGTACTTTCTCCGAGGATGAGCGCCTTCAGGCCCAGAACAACGTCAAGAAGATTGAGACTGAGGAGGATGATGATATCTCCGAGGATGAGGACCCTATGATGCTTGCCCGTGAGGCCAAGGACTGGAAGGTCAGTAATGCAACATTTATCTTGGTTGGTCGGTTTCTAACTCCTAGCAGGGTCAGGATCACTACGCCGTTTTGGGCTTGAAGAAGTACCGCTGGCGCGCAACCCCCGAGCAGATCAAGCGGGCTCACCGCAAGAAGGTCCTGCGTCACCACCCAGACAAGAAGGCTGCCCAGGGCAACACCGATGAGAATGACAGCTTCTTCAAGTGTATCCAGAAGGCCACCGATCTGCTTCTGGACCCCACTCGCCGTCGCCAGTTCGATTCCGTCGATGAGCACGCCGACGTTGAGGCTCCCACTAAGAAGCTCACTGGTAGCAAGTTCTACAAGGCTTGGGGCCCCGTCTTTGTTGCCGAGGGTCGCTTCTCCAACAAGCAGCCTGTGCCCACACTCGGAGACGAGAACAGCACCCAGGAGCACGTCGAGACTTTCTACAACTTCTGGTACAATGTTGACAGCTGGAGGACTTTCGAGTACCTCGATGAGGATGTGCCTGATGATGGAGAGAGCCGTGACCAGAAGCGTCATGTCGAGAAGAAGAACGCCAACGCCCGCCGCAAGCGCAAGACTGAGGACACCGTCCGTCTGCGTGAGCTCGTTGACGAGTGCCTCGCTTCCGATGAGCGTATTAAGAAGTTCCGCCAGCAGGCTCGTGCCGGCAAGGACGCTAAGCGCCTCGCTAAGGAGGAGGAGATGCGCCGTCTCAAGGAGGAGAAGGAGAACGCCAAGGCCGCCGAGGAGCAGCGCAAGAAGGCCGCTGAGGAGACCGCCAAGGCTGACCGTGAGAAGAACAAGAAGGCCAAGGAGGCCGCTAAGAACGCTTCCAAGAAGAACAAGCGTATCCTCAAGGGCTCCGTCAAGGATGTCAACTACTTCTCTGCCGGTGAGCCCACCGCCGCTGAGGTCGATGGTGTCCTCAGCGATGTCGATCTCATCATGGCCAACATCGATGTTGATGAGCTCGCCGTTCTGGCTGAGAAGCTCACCCTTGCCGGCACCGATGGCGCTGCCGTCAAGACTGCTTGGTCTGGCGAGGCTAAGCGCCTTGTTGACGCTGGCAAGCTGAAGGCCGGCGAGGCCAAGGTCTTCGTTTAAATATTCTTGTCTACTAGATAGATGAGGGGTAGCCTATGTACCTGGGCTTTCCTAATCATGACTATTCACGCCACATAGAGTAGAAAAATATACGGTGCTCTTATCCAAACACATCATAGTCTATCATTCATAATTCTTGTCTTGCTCCATATAGTTCCTCAATTCCGCACTCTCCACCCCACAGAGCCGTAGGCTTTGAGACCACAGACTATGTCCAACTTCCAAGGTTACTACTGTTATCAGCCAACTGCATATTTGACTACTCCCAGCCACGTGATTGGTCACGGATCAAAAAACGGGTGCCTCACTTTCTGATAATCTGTTTCTAGGCTCATGCTCCCATCGAGGGGAAACAGGCGGTCTTCGTGGACGTGATGGATCTATCTGGCCAGGGTCAGTATGTCTAAAATTTATACCGGATATTTCCATCATGTTAACTAGTGGAGGCATTTAGAGCTACAAGAACCCAGTCTCCGGAAGATCATACGAGTCCCCAAAGACAGATTGCTTAAATATGGATCCTCTCAAGACATAGAGCTTGAAGCCGAGAATATGCGCTATATCGCCGAAAATACGACCATCCCGATTCCGCACGTTCACGAGACCCAGATCCATGATGGTGGCGTTGAGTCTATATTAATGGACTATATCGAAGGCCAGACGCTGCAAGATGCATGGTCCAGCATGATCCCTTCACAAAGGATGTCCGTTGCGCAGGAACTGCATGGATATATACAGCAACTACGAGGACTAAAGCATGAACATCTGGAAAGCCATAAGAATATATATACACGGCGCCCAATCTACCAGGACGAGTACCTATTTTCGAGAATGACAACCTCCGTCCCGGATCTCGTGCGAAGCGATACGGCCACTAAACGGCGGGAGGGTAATATGGTCTTCACGCACGGTGATCTGGCACCGAGAAACATCCTGGTTGATGACCATGGTCATGTCACTGCAGTATTGGATTGGGAGCTTGCAGGATGGTACCCTGAATGGTATGAAACTGTTAGAGCGTATAATTTTTGCAACGACATCCCTGGCTGGACTGCCTATTTATCAGCTATTTTCCCGCCGGATCATGAAACGGAGTATATGGCTGTGGCATTTGCTAGACATATGAGACGATGAATTGAATGCGATATATGTATTTAAGCAGTCCATTCCGAAAGGCATCGTATCATTTTCTTCCCTCATGAACCTACGTCCAGCATTCCACACCCTCAGTTTGAACACAGGCCTATTCTGGAGAAAGACGCGACGCAAAGATCGATGCGAGACCGAATCCACACTTGGATGGCTGGAATATTCTTCTGTGATAAAAGAAGAACCGCAAGGTCATGTTGGAGTTATGAAAATCGCCGGTTCTAATGGTACTATTTCGGCCTATATGTACATTGAGAATGAATCCAGTGATCAAAGCTTTAGCCCTCGACACATGTTACTCCTAGCTTTTGATATGTTCCGAGATAATGTAATCCCACCCCCACGCAATGAACATGTCAGCCGCGGCCCAATTTCTCTAAACTTCATGATGAGTGATCAAGTCTGTTAGAAAGCCGAGGCGTGGATTGATATATAAACTACTGGTATATCTCAGCAAATGGCGAGGTAAACTACAGTCTAGTTCATCTCTAGTGACAGCCATGATTTTCGACCCGGATACTATCGATATTCCCAAGTCTTACGAGACTCTTCTATTGACCGATGTCAAAGTCTCCCATCACCCGGCCGGGGCTCCTGAAGCTACCCCCGTTATTGTGGTGACGCTGAATCGACCGGAGAAGAACAATTCATTCACTCTAGAGATGATGCATGTGTTTGAGAAGATATACCCTATGTTCGATGTTGACGAACGAGTCAAAGTTGTGGTGCTTACCGGTGCTGGCAAGATGTTCTGTGCTGGTGCGGATCTTGAGCGAGGATTTAGTGGAATGGAGAAGGAGAGAAACAAGGATCACCGCGATAGGTAAGATGACGAAGCTGCAGCACGTAGCTCACGTACCATTTCCGCTGATACCGATATCAATAGCGGCGGCCGTCTCGCCTTGGCCATCCACCGCTGCCGCAAGCCTACCATAGCGGCCATGCAGGGCTCCGCTGTCGGTTTGGGTATGACAATGTGTCTGCCGGCCGCCATACGCATTGGCTGCCAGAAATCCAAATACGGATTTGTCTTCCCCCGACGGGGTCTGACGATGGAATCAAGCTCTTCATTCTTTCTCCCGCGGCTGATTGGTTACTCGAATGCTCTTTACTTAATCACAACTGGCAGCATCTTCCCACCGACGTCCCCACACTTTGGGACGTTATTCCAGGAGACATGCCCTGATTCAACTCAGGTAGTCGCGCGTGCGTTGGAGCTTGCTACGGAAGTCGCGGAGAATGTTAGCCCCATGGCATCATATCTTTCGCGAGAACTTATGTGGCGGAATCCAGGAAGTGCTGAGGAGACCCACCTGGTTGATTCGGCAGTGCTGTACCATATGTTTAGTGGGAGGTATGTTGTCTCCGCCTTGTTTGATCAAGCCTGCTTGTAGAATCTCATATGTCGAGAAGCAATGCTGACCGTATTATAGGGACTCAAAAGAGGGCATCAAAGCATTCTTCGAGAAACGAAAGCCGAATTTCAATGCAACTCTTGAAGGTGATGCCCCACCAGGCTTTCCTTGGTGGTCTGATGTCGATACTGGGAGACGTCCGAAGGCAAGCAAGGCGAAATTGTAGGCAATGGCCATTGCCGCCCAGCCATCCAGAATGTGCATATTTTGATATAGGGGGCAACGAGAAATTAGATACTGTAACAAGACTGAAATGTGATATTGGGAATTCTTCGCATAGCTACACAAGACATGAAGGGATCTCGACACAACAATAAACCCAAGTAAATATTTGCCCAGATTTCAGAAACAGCCTCTTGTGGAACCTCATCAAAGATGGAACATACATGGATGTATCCCCAGAAAGCAAGCGGGTCCGGGGGAACTCTTTGAGATAAAGTTGAATCTGAATCTGACAGCCGCTCCTCTCTCCATAATTCCCAGCTCCATCCACCTCTATCTAGCTCCACTTTTGTAACTCAACCTTATCTCACAATCCGAGTTCTACAAAACTATACCAGATTATAGACGTGGAGGGACCACGTCAGATAAAGGTGGGTATCACGACAGCAACAAGAAGAGAAACAACCGTTTGATGTCGAATGATTTAGACGATGAATCATTAATTATTTATGAACTCTGCCATGGCCTCCTTTCCATCACTTGAGATCCTGACGCGGTCCTGAAAACAGAAGTCGACGATGGCATTGGATGCAGAGACACCGGGTCCTGGAGATTGCCATCCCGCTGCTCGGAGCGCTTTTTGATCCAGGGCCAGAGGTTAAACACACCACCGCAGATAAATATGCCCACCCAAAGTATCAATTCAGTTCCATAGATAATTATCCCAAGGACATTAATAGTCGGCCCAAACACTGCTTGCATATTAGCCATTGACCGGTTCTATCTGGCGATGAAGTTGACTTACGAACAGAGATGAGCGAAAACAAGTCCCCAGCAGCATCAATTCCGACAAATATGAAGCTGATTCCTCGAACAGTCCGGTGGACATAAATATCCCAGTAATGTCTCAGTACGCCTGCTGCAAGTAAACATGCACTCAAAACTGCCATCAAGATAAGAGGCCATTCCAGTCCACGCCTTTTTGCAGCTTGCAAGGCAAAGATGAGTCCAGCTTCAATACCACCCAACAGCAGAAGAAGCGAAGTGACTGCGACACAGCATTTCATGATTTGGTATTTCTGAGTCCGAGTGAGTATTACGAGGATCACGTTAGATAAAAAGAGAAACATTTACCTTCCCATAGTAGAGACACTGTGCCCAAGTAAGGAGGCTGAGTGTTGTCAGGATTTGTGGCTGAATCCTCAGGGCAATATTGAATTCTTCCACAATGTTGTACACCCCGAGGGGAACCCCTGCGACAGCCCATAAAAGCATCATTGACCCTTGTAGTCCTTCAGTATCATGTCTCCTATAATTGATAATTATTTGAGGAAGGAGCTGTACAAAGGTATCAGCGCGGTCTCAAAGCTATTTGACACACATCAATGGCATACTTGGATAGACCAGCAAACCTAGAAAGAATGATTAGTTCGGTCTACCAATCGGGAAAATGGAACTCACTGCACCCAGAGTACCGAGAACATTCTCTGCGACTTGATTGTCCATTTTTAATGGGGGTTGTCATTGGAAAGAAAACGAGACTAGACCAACATCTGATAAGAATATATCTGGGACACGTGAAGGTGGGTCATATTCCCCACTTCTCATTGGGTCAACACCTGAACTGCTCTACGACGATCAATGTTGTTCAATGTTGTATCTCTTGTTCTATAATTGAGTGGCGAAATACTTTGATATTCCCGTTGCTCGTATAAATTGTGTATGTAACGTTGTCCAACTAGAAATAAAATAAAGTGCTAGGACAAGATATAGCCTTCTTAGGCCATAAACAGATACTAGCCCAGTGTCTGCTTGCGCAAGAACGGGAGGAAGTAGCAGAACCCGAAGATTGGAAGATTGATACAGTTCAACTTCTTTCGTACTCAGTGAGACTCTTCAGGTAAGACTTTGCTGGCGATATTACCTAGAGAAGTCTCTTATTTTAGGTCCTTTCGAAGTCATAGTGGTACATGTAACATAAGTACGTAGGATGAGAATGATCAGAGAGAGAAATAAATAACATTGTATTGATATATTTATCTCCTTGATCTCTCTCTATTATCGAAGTCTAAGGTTATGAATGCATATGAAGACTGAAATAGCAAATCCGGGGAAAGCTCCACCCTCGATAGGGTGCAATTATCGCCAATTAGCTGAGATGAAGGCGGATCTATGGATAGTTGGCCATGAAGAACGTGGAGGTGGAGACCCAAGTCCCCTTCTATGCGATTCCAGTAAATATACATAGTTTAAGACTAGATAAAACTGCCGTGTGCGTGTGCCGGGTGAATCCTCCATACATACATACATCGGCGTAAATGTACTTGATTGGCCTACCCTCTTGCCCTCCCCACCTGAGTACGGTGTATAAAAGTGAGGATGGACGTGATCCCCAGTTGGGTATTTGAATCCCGACCTACCAGCTTGCATGCTTGCGTGTTTACCCCACTAAACTCGGAATTGATTCTCTCAATATCTCATCTCTCTCCGCATCTAATCTCTCCCCGCATTTATCTTTCCCGAGGTCATCCACCTCTCATATTTCTTCCACATCTCTTCTCTCTTCCACCTCTTAACCCTCTTCCACATCCCTTCTCCCTCAATATCTCATCTTTATCCGCCTGTTTACCCTGAACAGCTCGTCTTTGAGATATAGCAAGATGACCAATCTAAGCTGGGAAGACAAGTGTGCCGCCAAACGGGCCGAGGTAGACGCCAAAATCCCCACTGGATGGCGACTACCAGCGGAGATCCTGCAGCAAGTTGATAACAATGAGCTGGAAATCATCGACGTTCCCTCGAAGTGCGGCATTCTCAGTAAGGCAGAGCTCGCAATTACTGAGATTCCCGACGCAACATCGCTACGAGGCAAGCTCGCTGCGCAAGAGCTCAGCGCCATCGAGGTGACCACTGCCTTCTGCAAGCGTGCCGCCATTGCGCAGCAGTTGACTTGCTGCTTGACGGAGACTATGTTCTCAGAAGCTCTCATTAGAGCAAAAGAGCTGGATGCGCATATCAAGACTACTGGAAACCCTGTTGGACCCCTTCACGGTATCCCGATTAGTCTGAAGGAGACCTTCAACATCCAGGGCGTACCGACTTCGCTCGGATTTGTTTCTTTCTTGGATCGTGAGCCCGTGATCCAGAACTCAGTCTTGGTAGACATTCTTTTGGAAGCAGGGGCGGTGCTGTACGTGAAGACCAACGTGCCACAGACAATGATGACAGCGGACTCGCACAATAATGTCTTTGGTCGGGTGTTGAACCCACACCGAGATATCCTCACAGCCGGTGGCAGCAGTGGAGGGGAAGGAGCTTTGGTGGCCATGCGTGGATCTATTTTAGGAGTTGGCACTGATATTGCTGGGTCGATTCGCATCCCAGCATTGTGTTGTGGTACCGTGGGCTTCAAGCCTAGTGTCGGCCGTGTTCCGTATGCCGGCCAAACGAGTGCTGGAAGACCGGGGATGACTGGAATTGCTGCAAGCGCAGGACCACTGTGCCACTCAGTTCGCGACGCAGAGATGCTCCTCCGTGTGGTTTTCAATGCACCATCCGATGATATGGACGATACGGCACTCGGATTTCCGTGGATCCAGCCTATGAAACCACCAATTCAGCTCACGATCGGCGTCTTGCCGGAAGATCCTCAGTCACCATTGCACCCCAACATGCAGCGCACTCTCAAAAGAGCAATCGAGAAGCTAGGAAATGCGGGCCATCGCATCGTGGATCTATCTAGTCAGATTGACTTCTTGGGAGCTGCGGCAGATTTGGCATTCCGCTTCTTTCGCATCGACCCGGACCAGACAGCGTTGCAGCATATTCGTAATTCTGGCGAGCCGGCGATCCCGTCTCTTCGATTTACATACGACCTCGATGGAAAGGGAGAGGAGCCGACCTTGCGAGGATTGTTTGCCTTGAACACCTCCCGAGCAGAAATCATGGCTAAAATGCGCCGCGTGTTCCTCGACAATCGTCTAGACGTGATCATCGGACCGGGATACCAGAGCACGGCAGTGCCTCATGACACCTACGGGGTTCCAGTGTACACAGTCATTGCCAACTTGGTCGATGTATGTTTCCTCTGTGCCATTTGTCGACATTTATACTAACTCAAATACTAGTATCCCGCATGCGTCATTCCTTATGGTCTGTCTCAAATGGCCGCCGATGCTGAGTACGTGCGCGACGTGGAATATTATCCGCCTTGTAAGAATTTTCTCGAATATATCGCAATCATATATGCTGACTGAACTCAGATCTCCCAGAGGAAGTCGAGAACGCGCCCTGCCACGTGCAGCTTATCGGCCGTAGACAAAAGGATGAGGTGTTGATGCAGCATGCTCTGATTGTGGAAGAAATCCTGGCCAAGTGATCCATCAATTCCGCGAGAATGAGCAATTTCGAACTCTTTCAACAAATTTAGCAGTATTCCTTCTAAAGAAACAGAGCAAGTTCAAATAGGGAACGTTTAGTTATAGTAAGGCAATAAGGCAATAAAAACTTCCAAGGTTGGCCAAAATGATTACATAAGTTCAGCCTAACCAAAGTTGGAAGAAATCTTTGAAACGTCCATGGTTGGATTTAAGATTAAAGCACAGAACCATGGATATATCTGCCGATCGGAGGAAAAAAAAAGTTCCAAAGTTGTTTACCCTCCAGGGCTTCAGGGCAAGACGTGCAGACGTGCGACATTTGCCACCTGTGCCACTTAATTTTTGGATATTCAGCCACCGTTTATATGTTGGAGAACAAAAATAGAACACAAATCAAAGGAACTATGATTGTGTCGGGAAGAGTACGTATGCATCTGCGTAAGATGAGTATCCCAGCCACCCCACTTACCCGAATAGGACTAAATGATCATCTACTCGGGATGATATCATCAGGAATGAAAACCCGTTGTTAGGGGCTTCCACATTGTCATTGTACGGAGACGGATGGATTCCTGATAGATCTTATACTGTGCGTGCTTGGCCGAACCCGAAGTGAACGTGGACGGAACGCGTAATGCTTGGCATAAAATATATTCTTAAGGGACTTTCCAATCTTGGAGGCGGGTCCCATATCCATAATAAATTGTGGACTCTCCCCCTGTCAGTTCTACTTTCTAGACCCTTAAGAACCAGCCCTCTCTCCTATTTGCGCTTTCTACAATCCTCCAGATTTCTCAACCACATACAATCCTCTATATTTCCAAGGCATCATGGTCTCTACTCTTCGTCTCTGCCTCCTGGCCGTGACTCTATTCTTCAACTTCTCCTCCGCATTCCCTCTCGTTGGCCGCGACATTCAATGGTCCTTCACCCTTTTCCCGTCACCCTCATGCAACGGCACTATCGGTGACCCTCACGTCGGATCTGGCAGCACAGGTTGTCGCGCCAATCTCAACAGCGTGGCCTCTGCCTACACCCTGAACACAGTCGCCGATGGCTGCCGCATCGAGTTGTTCGATAACACCATGTGCGACCAGAACGAATTCTCCGACGTCGCCAGCCAAGCCAATGCCACTCAAACTTGCCGCATGGCTGGAACAAGACGCCGCTACGGTTCATACCAGGTCACTTGCGCCTGAACATATTCAACCTTCTTTTCGAATATCACTGTTTGATACAGTCAAGGGTCTCGGGGCGGGCTCCTAGATCCTATGCGCAATTTGGTTGAAAGTCCGCTGGGCTGTCGATTGGGATTCCTCGGTGGACAAGGATATATATATATAGATATTTTAATGATACCCTTAGATTAAATGAAATGAGTTTACGATCGTCAATTTTCGCAACCCAGCACTCTTTTTTTCTGCTACTTCCTCATCGACGGGGGTTCAATCCACGATAATCGCTGGTTTATGCGTTCTGGTATCGGGCAGTCTTTGTGGATGACCTACGCCACATAGATATTATGGAAAAAATAGAGGAATTTGAGCTGTCGCAAAATCCGCGCAATATCTCGGTCCCTTCACAGCGGCGAACTTTTATGCGTGGCCTTGCAACCTGACTGGGATCAGCTGGATGAAACGGGGACACGCAATGGCGGGTGACCTGATACACGAGGGATCATTTCCCGCGCGACGCGCCGAGGCAATATAATAATTAAACCATGGAGGAAATACTCAATTGGGCAAAATTATCATATACTATGATGCACACTGCACTGGTGTTGACTGGTCCAACACCGTGGTTCATGTCCAGGATGTTGTACTGCGTTTACGGATGTAGATATTCCTGCACTCTTCCCATATTTATAGCGCTATAGGTCTATCCTCTAGATAAAACTCTGCAGACTTATGTATGCGTTACTCTCATTCGTTACAAGTTATCAGATCTTGTCGGTCTCGCTCGGAGTTAAGACAGGGAACTTCCCGAAATAGGTAAACCCCGAGGAAACTAGGACGCCGGAAGCGGACAGACATTCTTTCGCGTCTAATTGTTAAACTATTAATATGGCCCAATCGCAGTTTTCCTCAGTAGGATATCCCCTGCAAGCTGTTCAGTTATGACAGTAAAAGCCGAGTCATTGGACGGTGATACCAGCCCGCCGGCTGCTGTATCATTTTTTGATCCATCTCTCAAGGAGGTTCGACGGCGGGTATTCTACCAATGGACTCGCACTTGTAAGAAAACGCCCAATGGAAACTAGGGGAATACAAGGGAAATTAACAGAGATCGTTAGTGTTAATTTTGTGCGTCTTCATATTCGCTGTACTATCTCTCTTCTGGGGGTCCCAATACCGCACTGAGGCCAACTTCCCAGCGTTGAATGTATGGGTTGTCGATTTTGACGGCCAAGTTGACCCATACCGCTCCAGCGAAACCATTGTCGGTCCAGTAGTTATCGATGTCACCAACAAAATCCTGCAGTCTGACAGCCTTCACCTCGGCTACACTATCAAATCCCCCGCCGACTTCAACTATGACCCTTGGGCCGTGCGCCAGGGCGTCTACGACCAACATGCTTATGCCGCTGTGATAATCAATCCAAATGCCACAATGCTGCTCCGAAATGCAGTCTCCAATGGCAACACAACCTACGATCCGACCGGTGCCATCGAGACCATCATCATCTCTGCGCGCGATCAAACAACCTACTACAGCTATATCCTACCCAACCTGGCCATCCTACAGCAGATGGTGCTAGCAGAGTTCGGTCCGCAATGGATCCGGTCGGTGGCCTCATCCGTCAGCAACCTATCATCTGTGCCCCCGCAGGCGATCAACCCGGCCATTGGGTTCACGACCGTTGATCTACGTCCTTTTGCCCCGGCTGTTGCTGCACCTGCCGTGACAATCGGTCTGATCTATCTGATCATCATTGCGTTTTTCAACTTCCCATTCCTTATGCCTGTTCATGCCCTGTTCATAAAACCAGATGGTCATCCGCCGCTGAAGGTGCCACATTGGCTCATCTGGCGAGCTCTCTCAAGCATCATTGCTTACTTCTTTCTCTCTCTGTGCTACTCACTCGTGTCTCTGGCTTTCCAGATTACCTTTGACAATGGCTCTGCATCGGATGTCCTGTCCGCAAGTAACCCCAATGCCTATGGCCGTGGCTCATTTGTCGTGTTTTGGATGCTGAACTGGGTTGGCATGGCTGCTTTGGGATTCCCCTGTGAGAATATGGCTATGATCCTTGGGTTCCCATGGAGTGCCTTCTTCCTGATCTTTTGGGTTATCACAAATGTTGCAACAGGGTTCTACGCCATTGATCTGGCTCCGGGGTTCTATAAATGGGGGTATGCATGGCCGTTACATCGAAGTAAGTTCTTATTGTGGCTACGGTGCTCTGCTGTTGATCTAACTTTCTTTTCCAGTTGTCGAAGCTATGCGAACCATCCTTTTCGATACCCATTCGCGCATTGGATTGGACTTTGCTGTTCTCTTCATTTGGATTGCAGTATCCTTGGCATTTTATCCTTTTGCCGCCTTCATCATGCGGTGGAAGATGAAGCGGGGGATGTAAAGCAGGAAAAAGAACAGGTAGTGAATAGGCAGGGATAGTCATTTTGCTATCAAGTATTGCTGGCTTGTTGGCTCCCTAGGTGATATATTATATGGACTAATTATGTACATAAGGGTGGAATGCATAAAATGCTGTATCAAATGTGCCCAGGTGAAGCGTCCCAGTTCGACACAGACGTAAATGTATATTGCTGTCAACACCTACATGGCCGAGAATGTTATGACCCTCGTGGTTCGTATTAAGAAATTTATCTAGTTACACAAGGGAGAAGTTCAGACAGTTCAGGCTAAGTCATAGGGCGCCATCTCCGGTGGTAGCCCATGTAAGCCCGAATCCCTTCGAGCCAAGAATAATACTGCTACAAAGCCATCTATATACATAAATGTAGCTTCATGAAGGTGCCGTTGATCTAAAGTTGCTTGGAATATCTTGGCCTTGGCACACAGTCAGTCTGTGTATCTTGTATCACTTCATCAAAGTCATATTACATACATTAGGTAGTAGTGATATCACCCTGTCTACCAACCAGATGCCTGGTATATCAATTTCAAGAAGGGTTGTGATTCTTTATAGTCTGGGTTGTGCTGTATATTGCCCTAGAGGAAATCGAAACAAGATTGAAAAAAAGGAAATTAAATTAGTGTCATACTAGAAAGGACGCGACAAGAAGATATTTCCGACAACCAATCTTCTGTTGCCGTTAGACGTCAGGGTTTGTTCCGAGAAAGAGTCACCTGACTGTTTCTTTCTTCGCCGTTGATATATTGTCTTTTCCCTCAAGAAAACCGGGAATTTACTGTTCCGGTCTGCCTTCCATCTGTCGTGCATTTTATGAATAACCTGATTCCAAAAGAACCATATCAATTGAGAGCCTCGGAGCAACAGCCCGCCTCATCCTCGACTTCTCTTGTTCTTCGGACTGTCTATGACTATGACTTCCTTCCTCAAGTGGGCCAGGACAGCTATGAATCGAGATCCCTGGCCTGTGCTTCGATTTCCAACAAGTGGGTTCGAAGTAATCAAGCCGTCACACATTCTTGATGAAGAGCGCTTTGAAGAGTTCGAGAAAGGGCGCTACTATCCTGTCAATATTGGTGACGTCTTAGTGTCTAAATACCAGGTAGTTGGCAAGCTGGGCTTCGGAACTACCTCCACAGTATGGCTCGCTCGTGATTTCGGGTAAGCCGAGTCCCATTGAGTCTTCTTGGGGAGAAAATATACTGATCCAACCAGGGGCCATCAATATGTCACATTGAAGGTATATACAATGGATGGAACTAGTCAAAGGGAGGTTCAGACTTATGAAGCTCTAAGTCAAGGAGATAGATCACATACAGGCTATGCTCATGTGAGGACTGCATTAGACTGGTTCACGATCCCGCATCAAGGGAGTGAACATCACTGTGTTGTCCAAAAACCCATGTGGGGGAGCCTTCGACATTTAATGTACCGCTCTCCGGAACATCGCCTTAGCGAGGATCTTCTTAAGAGCGGACTTAAGCAGATCTTCCTTGCGCTTGATTATCTTCACAGCGAATGCCAGCTCGTTCACACTGGTGAGCATATACTCTATATCATTGATAGCTTTTTTTACTGTGATTAAGCGGACCAGGCTACTGACAAAGATTTCTAGATATCAAAGGCGATAATATCCTCCAGGAACTTGAAGAGATGTCAATACTTGACAGGTTTACCGATAGCGAGATAGAGCATCCGTCGGCACGGAAATCAGTTGATAATATGCCAGTCTATGCCTCTCGGCGATTTGAGTTGCCTCAAAATTTTGGCAGAGCAGTTCTTAGCGACTTCGGCTCAGCTGTACGGGGTGATGAAGAGAGGAACCATGACGCTCAACCCACCATCTACAGATCACCAGAAGTCATGTTAAAAATCCAGTGGAGCTATCCCATTGATATTTGGAATGTTGGCACTATGGTCAGTTCCCCCTTCTGATACCATGTATATTCTCACGTCACTAAACCCATAAGAATCCTAGATATGGGATTTGTTTGAAGGTAAACACATGTTCATTGGGATGGACCCAGATGGCAAGGGTTATTCCACCCGTGCGCACCTTGCTGAGGTGATCGGAATACTGGGTCCTCCGCCTTCACATTTTCTCAAGCGTGGAGAGCGAAGTCACGAATTCTTTACTAAAGATGGTATGCCATGCTTGATGGGTGAGATCAATTCCGAATTGCGTTGTGCTGACGCGAAGACATGTTTGATAGGACACTGGAATAACCAAGTCGATGTCCCCGGGGGATTGGCTTTGGAAATCTCCGAGGAGCGTCTCAGCGGAAGAAACAAAGAGATGTTTCTTGAGTTCATGGGGGGAATGCTTCAATGGCAACCAGAAGACAGAAAGACGGCCAAGCAACTACTTAAGGATCCATGGCTAGAGAACAGAGCATAGAGTTACTTATGTACCCTCCCCCGGTGAGCCGTACAGGAACAATGAACTACCACAGGGCTCAGGTTTAAGAACGAGTAGACCAATATCCATATAATCCTGTTGTGAAATTGCCGCTGCCATTGTATTCGAAGAAAGGAGAAGGTACTCGTAAGAATACGTAGGAGAATATCCGACACAAAAGATACTCAAGTAGATAGATAACAATGGCAAAAGATGAATCCAAACATCGATATGTTTGAACCCCATCGACATCATATCCAGAAACAGCAAGATAATCTCGAAATATGACCGACTACGAGATTTCCTTCCACCGAGCCTGAGCTTCAAATGCCTTTTCAAGGCGCATGTTGAAGTACCTTCGGATCAACTCCTCTAGCTTTACCTGGGTACAAATCAACTGCATTTGTGCATCGGTCATCGGGATCTGGGTATCACTGGCATTTAGGGACATATGAAGGACTCGAGCCTCAAAAACGGCACGGGATTGAAGATAAGCCTCAGTCCGTTTGCGCAGATATGAGCTCCACATAGCGGATTCCTGATCCATGTCATCATGAAAGATGGAGGGAAACACGCGAAGCGAGTTGGCGTGGGAATTCGCGAATCGGAGTCCTTTCCACTTATGATCATAGCAGATCATGACGGCTTCGTTAAGGAGCGCCGCGCCAACACCGTAGCCACGAAAGCCTTTTTGAACTGTCCAGGCACGTATCAAGGCATTGTAGTTCTCACCCGTTGGGAAAGTCGTTGCGTTTGGTTTCGGATGGGATTGGGTGCCACTGTATGTGATGCTCATAACAAGCGCCCCGACAATGCGACCCCCGAATCGATGAATGAGTACAAACGTAAATCCATCGTTTGAGTTGAAGGCGGGATCTTCCTGAGTCGTAGTGGCATTGTCATCTTTGCCAGGATCGTGCCCGTACAACCAGTTCAGTGTTCCAACTTTCTCAGCCTCATCGTGATATCTCCTCACCAAGCGTGTGATAATGCCCAAAGTGCCCGATACCGCAGTGGCACAGATAACAGCAATGTAGGGCCAGCCTGATGGGTCATGGTAAACGACCCCGATGCTGTAAGCGAAACCCACGGTTACCAGGGCCAGGGTGGTCGGGTGGAGGATGAGGGATTTGGCGGCGAGGTGGTGCTGCTCAGCCACTGACACGGCGATGAGCTTCAGTGCTGAGATGATTTCGAAGTCCTCGGTTGCTACATCGGTCGATTGTCCTGGAGAGGCGATATTTTTGTGTGCGCCCTGGTTGGTGCTTGAGTTCGTGTGGCGGGCTGTTTTCTGGTCAACGGCATCCTTTGGCTTTGTGCCGGTAACGTGGTCCCCTGGACACGGGGATGTGACCATCCGCGCCATAGTGAAGTGTCTCTGATAGGTGGTAGTAATCAATGAGTAGAGTTTAGCAGGTGTGCGAGGAGTGTCAAGGTGGGACGGACGTGTTTGCTGTGACAACAAACGGCTTCACAGGGACGCAAACAATATTTGAGAGGATTGTGGTCAAGACTATAAATAAAAACTTCACACTAAGTACTGGAAGGTTCAATTGCTTTGTATATAGTATGCTCTACTCGGTTACTATTCTCTCGCATTTTAGAACAATGCGAAGAGTATCTAGTTCAAGCATGTACCTGCATAGACCAATCTGAGGGACATATGGATAACGAGATTCCCCTTAAGGACTGTATCACAATGTTCCAGTAGTATATGGCCCTGACCAATGCAACCACATGAAGAGTACCTGCAAGGACCCGTTAGATGTACTACCGTGGAATAACATGCCTTACCACCACGTGGAAAGAGAACCAGCAATATAATTTGTAGATAGAACACCGCGTAGGAAGTGGACTTATAACATCAAGACAAACGCGAAGCTGGAAGGTAGGTATGATCTTGAGTGACATACTGTTAGCGGAGAAGTCTGCGCGTGGAAGAGGTACCTCTAGATGAAGCATTTAGGGCTAAACATGCACCACGTGGAATCTTAACAATCAGCCCGATATGAATTTCCCCTACATATAGGTGTGTAATATACTACTGGCTACATAGTTGACGCATGCAGCATGAAGTACAATATGGATAATAATGTAAAGTATGAAATATGTAAGTGAAGAGGACCCCAAGAGCCTATACAGGGTTATCATGCGGCTATGAGAGATTCAAACAATAGGCTAATTTGAATTAACATTCCAATCTAACCCAGTCTAAAAGACTAAAAAACCCCTTTGACAAACCATCTAGCCATAACTAGATATGCTGAGTCAAAGCTGAAGTTCGGGGGAAACCGGAGGCGAAAACGTAAAATATCCCCACTTGCAGCGCCCAAGATTATTTGGTTTAAGAAAATTCACTTGCAAGCAAAATAGAACGAGCATATGACTATGGAAAACGTTGGTCTCCGCACGCCTGGCGTATTGAGCGTCGTATTTGGCGCTCAAGGCGCCTTTCTACTGGCCAATGCCGTCTACACCTTGGCAAATCCTTCCGCCGCATCGAACCTTCCGGATTCTCCCCTGGCTGGAGTTCCCAACCATACAGTCCGATGCATAGGGTGAGCTTTAAATCCTTCAGGTATTGGTCTTAATGTTAAGTGTCCATTGCGAATAGTGTGACCTCTCTTTCTACGGGGACAATATACGCCATTGCGAGTTACCAGCGCAATATTCCGATTATGGTTGCTTCGCTCCCTGGTCGCCTTTTCGCCGGGTATGTGTTCTATCGGAACGGTGGCGCTTGGACTCGGGTTGCGATTTTTGAAGTCTGTATGGGGCTGGTGAATGCCGCAGCACTTGCCTGGGATCTATACCTATAAGACCGAGGTATGTACTAGTTGTGGTTTATTTGTGAAGTCCCGCTGAGAGGGAAAAACCTGAAGATCTACGGGACACTCTGTACGACACTGAGAACTAAACGATACTATTCCATTTTAATGGCCTATACAAACCTACATCGGGGAACCAGAGGGAACCGGGATTTCTAGATTAGACGGGCCGAGGTCAAGCGCGTGTTAGCCACGAGACCGAAGTGGAGTCTGTGGAAAAGCCATAAGTCCAAGCATCTAGACAATCTTTAATATACAGCTAGCCTTCGGGTGGTTATTGCGCCAAGGGCTAGGCCTCACAGTTCACAACCGATCAATCTCCGGCAAGATGCCGAGAAATTTCCTTATGGGATCTCGGATCAATTCTGGGGTACTGGAGAAAAGCATAACATAACATAAACTTCCTCTTTATCCACGTTCCAATATGTGATATATACCCATTTCCGGCTAATCCTGAGAGGTTCGACGTTCAAAGTGATGGACCGGCAGCACGACCACCCGCCGGAAGCCGATTCGTACATGAATCAGCGGCGGTCCACGGTCGGTAGTTATGAATGCAGGGGCTAAATCGGCTAAATCAAAGCAATTCAACCGGCTCAGGAGTTCGGATGTGGGGAATACAGTTGACTTCACCTCAAATTATACAGTCTTTGCCTCGGGATTTTTGCCTCTTGGTTTTGGGGGATTATAATCTGAAGTAGTACAGTGTATATAACTTTCGGTAAATCAAACAAGGGTTGGATGTCAAGGTTAATGAATCTCCAGATTTTGAAATGCGCGGGGTCCCCGGAATGTCTCCATTCGGTGGAGCTCCGAATCATGTGGCCGGCAGAGGCCGACTCAGAAACTCCCATAGCAAATCAATCTGTTATACGGTCTTCCCGTTTTATCCAGCCGTGTCAGGGTCTTTGGCTAAGAGCACCGGTTAAATCCTCGAATATCATGCACGGCCCAGTGGTGCAGCCACTGACGGTCTTCCAAGCCAATACCACGCTAGTTGAGCCCTTCCCGTCTCACAGTCGATCCGACCTGCCCACACGGCTTGATGAGAAGAGGAGACCGCCCGCCACGAAGCTTGGTCGTAAATGGGCTGATTGGGCCGATTACCTCATGTTTTCAGGTTTCAGACCTGATGTCCCCCCTATACCCCCCCATGGGGCTAAGTTCCCGGGGAACCTTGGCTTTGAGCCCATTATCCGTAGCCGGGCAAATAAATACTCGCAGATCCCCGGTCGAGACGTAAAAAAACGCGCTGGCATTTCTCCCAATATTGCCATTCTCTTTTTATTTTCGTTCCCATCTGAAGTTGGGTTCTTTTCTATCACCTATCCTTGTCGATCCTTGTTGTGATACACAATGGTGGCTGCTCTTGCGGGAGAGTCGGCCGTCTCGGCCAAACGCGCTGAGCTGTCGGGCAAAAATGGGTTCAAGGGCCTGCTCAGTAATAAGAAGACAACATGTATCGGACTTTTCGCGTCACTCGGAGGGCTGGTGTATGGATGTACGTTGACGAAACCATGTCGATATACTCGTGAATAGAATCTGATATCATCCAGACAACCAGGGAATGTTCGCTCAAGTTCTGACAATGCCGGCGTTCCAGGAAGCGGTATGTCTATTGCTCGTTGAGCCCACCATTTTGCACTGCTAATGGCTTTCTCCATATAGACTCAAGATTATGCGAAAGAAACGGGTATTAAGCAAGGAATGCTCACGTCCATCCTTGAACTTGGTGCTTGGGTGGGAACACTGGCAAACGGATACCTCGCCGATGCGCTCGGTCGTCGTCTAACTGTTTTGGTTGCCGTGGTGGTGTTCTGTGTTGGTGTCATTGTTCAAGCCTGTACGGAGAGCTCAGACTATGTCTTCGCAGGCCGATTTGTGACCGGTCTGGGTGTTGGTAGTCTGAGTATGGTTGTGCCGCTGTACAATGCAGAATTAGTGAGTGAATGCAATAACCTCGAGAGTTCGAAAAGGGAAATGACTAACAAAGACGGAAGGCACCACCCGAGATTCGTGGCTCGCTCGTCGCTGTGCAGCAACTGGCCATCACCTTTGGAATCATGGTCAGCTTCTGGGTATGTCATGTCCATTCTCGTGAAATCTCTCGGTCCTGACGTTTGCAGATTGGCTATGGAACAAATTATATTGGCGGAACCGGGGCAACACAGTCGGATGCTGCATGGCTGGTCCCAGTCTGTATTCAAATCCTCCCCGCTGTCACCCTGGCTGTGGGTATGATGATGTTCATGCCGCAGTCCCCCCGTCATCTTATGAACACCGGTCGCGAGGAAGAATGCCTGCAAACACTGGCCCGCTTGCGTGATGCATCTCCGGATGATATGCTTGTTCGCATTGAGTTCCTTGAAATCAAGAGCTTGTACCTCTTCGAACGAGAGACAGCTGCCGAGAAGTATCCCGACTGGCAGGATGACTCGTTTTCCAGTCGTTTCAAGATCGGAGTCCATGATTACATGTCATTGATCACCGACAAGTCTCTGTTTAAGCGCACAGCAACGGCAGTACGTTTCATGTTCAATGTGGTACCCCCATGAATATTGCTGATGGTATCATAGTGCATGGTTATGGTGTTCCAACAATGGAATGGTAAGATATGCGAAGCCCCGAGTATTGAATTCATCACTAACATTGTTATTCAGGTATCAACGCAATTAATTACTATGCGTAAGTCCCCGCAAATGCGGTCTCGTAGCGAAAGATACCTGCTGACACTCCCGCAGACCATTCATCTTCAAAGAGATGCATCTAGGCGGCAACACAATCTCACTACTCGCCACCGGTGTTGTTGGAATTTTCGAATTCGTTTTCACCATCCCTGCCGTCCTGTGGGTTGACAAGGTTGGACGAAAGAAGATCCTGATTGCTGGCGCAATTGGAATGGCAAGCTGTCACTTCATTGTCGCGGGTATCATTGGCGCGTACCAGGGTAGCTTCGAAGAGCACCCAGCTGCCGGCTGGGTTGCTATTGTCTTTGTTTGGATTTTCATCATCAACTTCGCCTACTCATGGGGTACGTACAAATTCCAACCGGGGGGCTAGACTCTGCTAACCATCGTCCCATTACAGGACCTGTCGCATGGATTGTTACTTCCGAGGTATTCCCACTCAGCATGCGTGCCAAGGGTGTCAGTATTGGTGGTAGCAGTAACTGGGTAAGTCAGATAGACCACCAAGTTCGTTGGAAATCTCTAACTGGGTACTCTACAGTTGAACAATTTCGCAGTCGGTACTGCTACATCTCCTTTCCTCCAAAAAAGCAACTTCGGTGCATTCATCTTCTTCGGATGCATCACAACCATCGCTGTGTTCTATGTCATCTTCCTTGTACCCGAAACCAAAGGTCGCACTCTGGAGGAGATGGACGAATTGTTCGGATCGGTCGGTCTGGCAGCTGCAGATACTGGACGCAAGGAACGAATCGAACGTGAAATTGGGCTTCTTGCCCTTGTCGGTGCGGAGCCTGCTGATGAGAAACACCCTGAGGCTATGATGGATGAGAATAAGGTCGCGGTGTCGAGGCACGAGGATGTCGTACCTGGCCCAAATAATTAAATGGAGGCAAGTCGCGTTGAAACAGGAACTATTGATTCGGAGGCGGACCAGTTCTGTCAGGATGTATCGACAATCGGTCGACATAATTACATACATATTAGCTATACCAAGTGCTTTACCTATACCTTGACGTTTCTTCACTCCTTACTCTGTGCCTGTATGCAAATTCGGAAATACATAACACACATCACATGCACCTGGTCGAAGATAGGTACTCAGTACTTCTGCAAGACAAAAAGAAAGGGCCAAAAGCACCAAAATCAAATTTTTCAGCTCATTACTCCGTACTATGTATAGAAAATTGAGAGCCAAGGCTGAAGCCCAAACACCAGTCACATTTAAGGCACTTTTGTGTCGATAGGTCCCTTCTCTCCTTGTTTTCCGTTCTCACTCTCTTTCTTTCTCTTCAAACTGTTTCGACCCGCCTTTCAACCCCACACAATCCCCACAGTCCAAAATGTCTACCACTTCCACCTCCTCGTCCGCGAGCGCAACCGGCACTGCGTGCGGTGCCAGAGTCTGGGAAATTCCCACGGCAGATGCAGCCTGTGCAGCCATTCTCAGTGGCAACATGACCGATGTGATGGACGACTGTTGCAAGCACGCGAAGGTCTCCAAGTACGAGAACAACTGTGGCATCTACTGTCTCGCCCAGGGCCAGGATATCAACAAGCTCCAGTCCTGCATCACCAGCAAGAGCAACAACTACCATGACGTCTTCTGCAACGCCGCTCTCAATGCGACCGCCTCTGCCAAAGGTACCAAGTCCACTTCCTCGGCCACTAGCACCCAATCGTCTGCTACCTCGTCTTCCACCAACGCCGCGATTGTGAACCAGCCAATCTCCAAGTCGGGTCTTGGACTGATCGGGCTTCTTTTCGGCTCTGCTTTGATGGCTGTTATTGCTTAAATCCTGGAGATCTACAGATGGGTTAATTGGTTCGGGGAAGGATTCGACGGTTGTTTTGATAATATTTTTCTAGCGGATGAGCGACCGTGTTTTTCTCTCCTCGTATATGAATGTGGCATTCTCTTCATGTAAATTAGGATTTGACATATCTAATGGATTTATTTTTTCCTTTCAGCCTAGTTGGACGTGACGTAATTGGGTAAGCACTAGGTCAGCTTATATTCTACCCCTCGATCCCTTGTTAGCCCATCAAATACCAAGCATCACCTACCTCCAAAGATGTCCTCACTTGCAAAGACCGTCATCGCCACAGGCGCCTCATCGGGCTTGGTAAAACCTTATTCCTTTGGAATATCCAGACTCGAGCTAACATGATCATAGGGATTCGAATCCGTCAAGCAGTTACTCCAGCAGGCACAGCCATACAGCTTCATTCTAGGTGCTCGTGACACAGAGAAGACTCGTGTCGCGTATGATGACCTGAAATTCGACACTTCAAAGCACAGTGTCTCTATCTTGCCCCTGGATCTTGTCAATCTCAAGAGCGTGCAGTCGTTTGCTAAGCAAGCACTCTCTGAATTGGGTCAAAGGCCATTGAACTATCTTTTCCTCGTTGCAGGTCTTGCTGCTGGCGCTGATCAACCGGGACCTCATGGCTCGAAATGGTGCGAATCGTACGTGGTAAATCATCTGGGTATGTTAAAGTTCGATCCATCTACTACTGAAGAGAAGAGTGTAAGAGGCTGGAGCTAATCATGAATCACAACCCAGCCCAGCATTATCTGACCCACCAATTTGCTGAGGTACTATCTGCCTCGCAATCACGTATCGTCGTTGTAACTTCGGGTATAATTCGTAATGTGAGAGGAAACGACCCAAGTAAGTTTGGTTCCATCTTTCCTAGCCTGTCGTCAAAATCGGTGTTGTTCACAATGCTGACTTCATATAGGCACTCTTGACGTCGACCTAAAGGCAAACTCCGGCGCGAGCGCAAAAGTAGTGTACAGTGCATCGAAATTCGCCCAGCTTCTGGGTGCACACTACTGGCGCCGTAGCCTTCCAGACTGCAAAGTCGTGGCTGTCTCGCCGGGTCTCGTCCCCAACACCAGGCTTTCCGAACGTTCGGGCTTGGTATTGACCATGGATATGCCCGATGCCAAGACAGTGCCAGAGGGTAAGGACCTTGATTTGAATTTTTGAATTGAAGATGGTATCTAACAGTCCATAGGTGCCCAGAATATCCTCCGTGCATTCACGGTCGATCTCCCCGCTGATCCGGAAGATATTTTCTTGACCAGCTGGGGTGAATGGTGGCCTAAGGATGTCTATGCTCTGAGTCTTGATCCTGCATTGCAAGATAAGTGGTGTTTGAGCAAGGAAGACATTGAGAAGTCCGAGCCGGTGTTCCAGGAATAAGGAGCACAGTATGAAGACTTCACTCCAACAGGTCTGCAAATGGTGTATTTCATAAAGCCTGTTTTCGGAGAAAATAGGTCTATTGATTTGCGAATCGGGGAAGTACATAGATCTGAATGGGTCAGATTTACACGGGAGTACTAGCACTTTTTACGTGAACTTCTATAATTCAAGACTTATCTAAAGAACGCGTTTTTTCGCGTGTTTAAACGTAATATATAAATTTAGCTAGTTATTAATAAAATATTACCCTAATCTAAGAGCTAAAAACGGGGTCTAAACATAAGGTAATTAAAAAAGTCACGTTTCTTAGAATGTTTGTATTGTTTGGTGCTTATTTTGGGCTTTTGGCCCCCATCGTGGGCCCGGTGGGCTTTCACCCCGGGCCCATAGCCCACCGGTGGGCCCTGGGCTTTATGGGCTTTGCGGAGGTCTAGCCTTGGAGCGGAAGTTTCTGTGTGCGGCGCCTCAAGCCTAGGCGAGTACTAAACAACAGAAAGCCACAACAATACAAAAGGACATAAATTAGCCACAAGATTATTATATTTGCAAATATAGGAAAGAATCTATGTGAATCTAACTATCATGCACGCAAACCGGAAGTTTCCAACCGGTCGGAATCAGTCATACTCTGAAACTCAGACAGTGTACCGCATCAGCATGCAAGACTCGCAATCTACTAGGCGCCTGCAAGCTTGCGCATGGCCGCAAAGTTGGGAGAACCAAGACCAGAAACAGGGTCCCAGCCCTTGGTAGCGTTCCAGCTGGCACCTGGAACCGAAGGACCACCGTTAACGGGGCCACCGAAGCGGCCATGGCCGTCGCAGCCAGTACTAGCGCCGTCAACAATGTCCTTCAGGCCATCGCGGCCGGCTGAGTACAGCCAGGGGTTGAGGAAGCCCATGGGTGCTTTCTTAGCCTTGAGGCGGGCGTCGTTGAGGAGGGCGATGATTCCAGCAAAGGCAGGTGCCGAGCAGGATGTGCCGTCGACGCTGGTCAACGAGCCCCTATTGTAGATAGCGTAGTTCTGGCCTTGGGCTGTGACGTCAGGGAAAGCTCGGCCCTTGGGGTTGAAAAGGCCGGACCAGCGGTCGCCCAGGGTGTCGAGGTACTCAGACACAGCGGCTTCTTGCCATTTCGGGCGGTCCCAGAGATCGGAGAAGCCGCCGGACGAGAAGTACACGGCCCTCTCGGGGGCGGTGTGGGTTGTCGCGCCGACGGATGTCACCCACGGGCAGGCGGCAGGGAACTGGGGTGGGAAGTGGGTCGCGTTCCTGCCGTCGTTCGTCTGGCACGCAGCGCCAACGCCGGAGTCGCCAGATGAGAAGATGACGGACACACCACGGCTGCCGAGCTGTGAGAACAGGTTGCAAACGGTACGGGCGTACTTCTCGGGAACGCTCTGGAGGTTGATATTAGAGACTGACGAAATCACTAACTAAGGAAGTATCATACCTGCTCGTCCTCGCCATAAGAGGTGGAAATCACCTGAGGAAGGTCCTTGCTGTCCATTTTGAGCACGTTCTGGAGGAATTCAAGGTACGGCTCGTTGTTGTTATCATTTGGATCAGGCTGGTCGAGATCGGGAACAAGTTTACCACGACCACCAACGCTGAACTCGGTAACGGGAACAGGAGAGCTGACTCCAACAATGTACTGCAAGTCAAGGTTTGCCTCGCTGCTGTCAGACTTCGACTGTTGATCATTACCACCGCCATTGTACTGGACGACGGTGAAGTTCTGGCCCTTGGCAAAGGGTGCGACATTTTTCTCAAATAGTTCCAGATCAGCGTAGCGAGCATACTCCTCCAGGTAGCTGGCAAATCCGACCTTGTTTCCGTTGCTGTCGCTGGCTTGGTAGTCACCAATATTGTACATATCCTTGAGACACTGGGGAGTGATGACGCTGTTGCAGTCTGGGGAAGCGGACATGGCCTTCGAGCGGAAAGCCGCGTCAGTTTCCTTGACCTGAGTGTGCAAGATGGCCGAGTTGGCGCGCAGCTGGCCGAAACGGGTGGTTGGCTGGATCATGTTGATGTGCGACTTCAAAGCCTTCGGGACGGAGTACCTGAGTGTACGGAGACGCTCAACGTGCTTGACACTGTTGACGTAGAACTGGAAATTGGCTGCCAGCAGCTTATTTGCCGTCTCCACGGTGGTGTAGAAGGTCATCCAGTCGGCATCCTGTTCGATCTTGGTGATACCCGCACCTTCGAGCCAGTCACGGATCGAATTCGTGGACTCCGCGCTGGGCTGCAGCATCCGCTTCATTTCCTCGTGGGTATTGAAGTGGTTTCCATAGCTAGGGTGATCAGGAGTTGACATCTCCATCACAGCTGCTTCGAATCCGGCAGTATCCCCCTGTGCCAGAGCAATCTGCAGCTTCATGGGCTGATCAGCACGCGGTGTGCGAGAATATCTCCATCCTGTGGTGGGTCAGTGTATCAATTCTGTCGGTTTGGTTTAGAACGCAAGTTACTCACCCTGAGGAACAGCAGACAAACTCTCGAACACATTAGCTGCAGCAGAGGACGCGAGAAGCGACAAGACCGCGAGCGAGAGGGCTCCGCGGTTAAATAGAGGTACAATCATAATAAACACAGGTGATCTGAGGACACCCTATTTGACACCGGTCGGGGCCTCCACACAGCGAATACAGGGAGTATAAATAGTCCAACAGGAGATTATCAAAAACAAATGAGGGGTAAAGACCGTGAAGTGGTATTTATTATGGTTGCATTGGTGGGGGGAATGAATGGGGCGATAAAGAATGTTTGTTGATGAAGCCCAGGATAATACAAGGTTGACAAGGACGGTGTGCTTTAATCGAAGTTTCGCGTCATATCCTTGGCATGATAAAGTCCACTATTCCAGTCCAGTGGACCCTTGGTGGATGCCCGTTTAGTGAGACTGTTCTCAATCAATGGCTGGGATATTGCATCGAGGTCTGCCTACATAACTCACATCGTGACCAACAGCCTTCCCAGCCCGAGGAACAGTGAATTGGTGATGTGATCGGTACTCTGTACGTACTCCGTATGAAGATAAGTCCTCTATCCCATTGTGATATTCAGTGCATCCGTCGGGGGTCCGTTGATCGGCAGGGGGTGATCCACTCTGAAGGAAACAATGTGAGGGGCGTTAGGGGGGCTTGTTTATATTGTCGGGTGGCTGGATGGCTGGACCCTAAAAAGAATTCTCTGGTTTTGATTGACAGCCCACAGTTCATCAGTTATCAGATCTGATGGGAGCTGGAAGATGTGTTCAATAATCAAAATCATTCATCCCCTGCCAAGCTTCTCGAGGGGGGATGTTGAGATGGTGAATATGCACTGCTACACTAGCCGGCAGGGAAGTTGGGATGGTCATGCACTGCTGCTGCAGCTGACAACCAATTAGGCTATCGCATCAAGCATTAAGACAGTCTTGGAATAGGCGCTAGGCTTCTGTGGGGCTGAAATGGGCTAAAAAGCACTGTCGCAACCAGAATATCGATTTTGTTTGCATTGTGTGTCGGAGGCTGGGGTCAATAATCTGCACAAAATTATTGTGTGCCAGAGTAACCTAGGCACTAGAGACCGATGTGGCTGGTGATCTCTTCAGGACTTCATTATTTTATATGTCATCTCAGCCTTGGGTAAAAAAGGGCTGGGCAAGCGAGATGTACGGAATACTCCGTATGCTTGCTTCTGTGAGACATATCAGGGGTCGACATGGTAGTTCCTGTTAGCTTGAACTATCCAGCAGGTGTGTTTTCCAGGCGATATTTAAAGGTTGACTTCTTTGGGAAGTTCCTCGGAGTTGAAACGATCAGAGTCCGCCGGTATTCCGTACTATCCCGTGACTCTCTACCAAATTTGTGTCCACGCGCGATGCAATGTTGAATTTTTTTTCAGAAAAAAACAAATCATATCTGAAATTTCTAAGTATTAGAGCCCATGACTTCAATAATCGGTAAGTTTCTGTCTATGAAGATGCACGTCAAACTAGTTCCAAATATATAAAATCCAACCGGGTTATGCATTACATACGGAGTATATACTATGTACATGTCTGTCCTATCGTCCAAAAAATAGCATGACTTCTATAAAAAAACCATGGAAAGCCCATGGAATCATTTATAATCAGCAATGACCGGAGTTTGGACAGCCGGAACAGCGTCTCCGATACCTGGCTCATTCATTTCCAGATGATGGGCATAGACCATTGAGGCGATGGCATCTTCGGTCTGGAGATATGTTCGGTTGCCTTGGATGAACCAGAATGCAACAGCGATGACCAACATAACACCAAAGACGGCAATGGCGAAGTTCATATCGCTGGGCGCCGGGTTAGGGCTGCCAGGGAACAGGAAGAAAATGGTAGTGATGATACAGTAGAAGATGCTGACCCAGTTCAACCACGGACCAATGCGACCGAGCTTGAACGGACCCGGGGGCAATTTCTCACGGCCGGTGATGAGCAAGGCAAGAATTGGCATGGCGTAGGAGACAGTCAGGGCGATGGTGCTGACGCTGAGAATAGCCTCAAGCACGGTGTTGGCAAATAGATATAGGATGCCGACGATGCCGATGACGATACTCTGTCCCCAGAGAGCGCGGGCAGGAACTTGCCACACAGGGTCGACATGGCTGAAGTACTTGCTGAAAGGCACGCCGCCGTCACGGGCAAAGCCCCAGGTCAGACGGGAGGCAGTGGTGAGGATACTAATGCCCTGGCCTACACCGTTGAAAATGAACAGCGCAATCAGTACAGCGGCACCTTTCAGTCCAACAGTCTCGACCATAAGCTCCATGAAGGGGAGGTCGGCGTTGACGACACGGTCCACATTCTGGATGCAGAACAGACAGACCACCATGAAGATGAATCCAGTTACGGCACCGAACAAAACAGCCATCCAGATGACTCGAGGAGCGTTCTTCCGAGGCGCAGGAATTTCCTCCACCATATGAATCACCGAATCGAACGCAGTCAACCCGTACGCTGCCTGTACTAACCCA